ACCAGAGGGTTTTAAAGGACAAAATTCCTTTTCTATTGGTACTTTGATGATAAGTTCACACAAAGTCCAAAAATAGTTTTTCACCCTCACCCTTGGTGGTGTTTAGCCATGCAGGTAATTTGGCCTCTAATGGTCCAAGTTTTGTAATCTTTTAAAGGGGACTGATGTCTTTAAACATCAATATAAAACACCAAAGATAAATTAGATGGAACTCAAAGTTTAGAAAGCATGCTAAAATTAAAGATACTCCTCTCTGGTGAGCTTTCAAAAAATAAATCTCTTAAGTATTACATTCACATTCAACTTTATACAACAACAAATTTGGTATCCTGGGTGTGTTTCCTGCTGATATCCTGTATGTTTTCAAACAGTGTGAGTGTGTATTTTACTTCCAAAGGAAAGGAGTGTGTGTTTTTTGTATCCAGGTCTTGTGATAAGGTAAATCAGCCAACACCAACTTTGCCTCCGTTCCAACCTCCTTACCCCTCCTATCGCCCACCCAGGTAGAATTCAGATCTCACGGCCTCGGTCTTACCACGGGGCAGATGACAGGTACAAAAAATAATAAAAAACACACAATATCACACTTGTGCATGTTTTTCTCACACACACACTTAGTCAGAAGTATCTTTCTTCGACACACACACTCCCACGTAGATCCAAACCCTCTGTGCCGCCCCCCCCTCGCCCTGAGAAATGTGCCATATCGGTGCTGAGAAGCAGGTCAAGCATTCTGTGAGTGCAGCAAAGTGAGATAATTGCAACAGAGACCGCTTTGGGCTTACTATTAAAACACCCTCCCCCCAGAAAACATCATCCAAACTCCGCCCCCTTTTAGACCTAACCCTTCACAACTTGAACAACATTCAAAACAACGTATTTTTCCAAAGGCGGCCTCCAGTGAGGAGCCGAGTGGCAGCGGTGGTGAGCTGATTGTGTTCAGGATGGACAGGTTATGGAATGCTCAGCGACGGAGCGATTAACGAGGCGAGCTAACGAGCTGCCTGATTGGTCTGATCTCTTGTTCTCTCCCACCCTCTCCCGATCTTTCCCCTTGATGTGGATCTGTGTGATGTTCGACAGGTTTTAGGTCACAGAGGCGGCAAGGCCAGTATTACAAATGCTCCAGCTTTCCAGTTACGCCCAACGACTGGTACCTTGTCCCTCATCGCCACCTCCGCCTCCTCACCATCCCTTTGAACCGAAGGGATGAAGGGGTGAGGGTGAAAGAAGGCATGACCAAGAGTATGTGTGAATGAGTGCAAGTGATCGAGCACATGTGAATTTATGTGCAAGTAGGTGTGAGTGTGAGAAAGGAGGGTAACTGAGGGCAAAGAGGGTTCACAGGCAGTATTCATGACTCTGGATTGTTTTTAATGAGGGATTGTTGGCCTGAAGCCCTCTTTTAAGGTGAGATGTATGCCGCTGGCACTGCTTTACTGGAGGATTAACACCACAGACTTTGATGTACACTGAAAGAACACAAAAACAAAGTCATCTACACTGCAAAGCCATCTAAGACGGCGGTCCACGTAACTTGTCACACTCCCTCTTATGCCTTATTTCCATACAAATTAATGAGAGCAGCTCACAGGAAATACATTGGATTATATAGACCGTATCATCCCTTATTCCACCACAGTAACCAACACTTTGCCAAACATCTAAGTGAAATTATCTTCAACCACACATTTGTATTTAAAGGTAAATGTTAGCGTTAGGGTTAAGATATAGAAGGCAAAAATAACAACAACAAATAATAACAAAGAGTTAAAAAGCTTTGACCTGATTGGATGAGACTGGAGGGAGAAATCACGCACACTTGTTTTCAAGGCCTTTTGCTTTCCCTGCCACCTTTTCAAACACCAGGATCAGACTCAGCATGAATTCAGGCTGGTATGGCCAATTTAAAGCACTTCTCAGACAAAGCTAAAAAAAAAACATGAATAAACAAGGAGCCACATGGAAAATGCAAATATGTATATCTATGTATATTTTGATTTTCTTACAGACCTCCCTGAAGATTATAGACAGTTAAGTTTCGTATTATATAAGCTATTATTCCCTTTGATCAAGCACATATCAGCCTCAAAGGCATCAACAAGCACTGCTGCAAATGCAAAAATGCACTCTTAAAACCTTAACAAAGAAGACAACAGATGTAGAAAACTAATAATATTTTGCTCTCGCTATTGCTCCACATAACAAAAGACCACATGGATCTCTCATTTCTCAGTCAGTAAAAGTATCTCAACGGTTCTGAAGCACAAACAGCAAAAACAAGCGATCGAAATTGGATCAACAGGACAATATAAGTGTGCTGCTCTGGACAAAGACCTCAAAAGACTGATAAAAGTAGCCTGAGGCTACAGTTGAAAATCTGTTACCAGGGAATAAAATGGGTCCATTTAGAGTGCACATATATGGAACATCCCCCTCCCCCCCAAAATGAACATCTTTGTGCACCGTGTGTATTGATGTGGTCACTTCCCATTAAAAAAGAGCAGTCCTGTGTGTGTTTGTGTCAGCTGACCTGGATCTAATTATAACCACTACACTCTCATCCAGATATTCACCAATCAAAACAGGAAAGTTGACTTCAGAGAGAAATTTATACAGAAACTATGTGCAGCAGTTTGAATTATTGAGATTGTCAGGTGTTCTTATTGAGCTGAAAGCAGATTTCTCATTGGTGGGTGATGATATCTCTGTGTGTGATGGCATGTTTTCCTTTGACCAGACAAAGAGATAATGTGAAAGTCAAAGCGACTGTCATTTGACATCGCCCTGCTCTCTTCATGCAGACATCAAGTCGCCTGGGGGGTTGCCGACCACTCAAAGCCAATGCCAGAGTCTCCTGCGCCGTGCATGACCTTTCCTTGTGTTTTTAATTCTAATTCAGAATGTCGTGACCCAGCCTGAAAAGCAGGAAGAGGTTGTGGTCACACTGTGCACACAAAGGTACTGGGGTCAGTGGAGCGTCTTCCAAAATACAAAAAGCCGCTGAATGGAAAAAATATCAATGTTAATCTGAATACTAGGAATAGGTTTGGTGTAGTAGGAAAAATGCAAATGAACCTTTGGTTGGCTAATGCAACTTATTTGGTTCACCGAATAGCATTATGTGAAATGTCTCCAAACGCATTTAGCGTATGGTGTTGTAGTCTTTGACAACTGAGGTCCACATATCAGAGACAGCTGTCTTGACCTCTCTACATTACACTCCAGAAGTTCTATTCAGGCTTTAGTTTTGCTTCTTACAGGGATTCATGTAATCATCGGTGCATGCATTTATCGTTTTTTTCACGTTTGGAAATCATCTATTGGCAGTTCAGAAAATTCAACACTCAAAACTAAATAAATTACAAACTCATATGTGATCAGTGGGGAGTGGGGTTGGTGGGGGGTGGTTCTTTAATTAAGTCCTTGGAGGTGCTCACAAAGAGAAGTCTTCCTATCTTCCTAATTTCCTGTTACAAGACATGACCGGCAATAATTGATTCAGGAAACAGTTGAATGATAACAATTACACACACAAAGACGTCAGGATGGTGCTAACAAGAGCATACAGCTTAATTAGGAGCATCATTAACGAGTAAACGATTTGATAAGGGATTCAGGGGGTGGATGAGGGTTATTGTTCCTCAGAAATTCAAGATAAAACCCCCAAGGATGGGAAGTGACCCACATTCGAGAGGAGGAAGATGGGGGCAGCCCCCATTCCCCTAACTGGCACCCCCATTTCCCCCCTTGGGCAGCCCGCTGATTGGTTCGTTACCCATAGTAAACATGTCCACTACCCCCCACTATGGCACACACACACACACACACACGCACATATCCACACACCCTGCCCCCCTTCCAGTCTGTCTATGATCATCCTGCCCCCCTAAAGACCCCTGGCCAGATTCCCTCAGTGGTCTGATCAGATTCATTCACCGCATAACGTCACACTCGCTCCATGTGCAGGAATTCAGAGCAACAGAGGGAGTAAATATTCTTTTGTTCCACATGCTGCGTCGGAAAAAATGTCAACAGACAGGCAACAAAATATTTCTTTTACGATTTGTCAATTCCAAACAAGATAAAAACAACATTTGTCATCGATAAAGTTCCTCTGCACGTGCTGCCATAAAAACACAAGCTGTGTTTGTTCCTCTACTCCAGTCTATCTTATCAAATACCATAAAAGCTGTGATGAAGTGCAGACTTTTATTGGAGATATAAGCGGAAGTATTCCAAATACCATCCGCATTTCACTGACAGAAGCTTAAAGTGACTTCTCCAGTTAGAATCATCCTCCATTCTGAAAATAAATTCAATTTATAAAATCTTGAGTCTTATGTTTGGATGTTTCATGTAAAGTCACATAATTCCACAGATGCTGCTTACTTGTATTTTAAAGTGTACACTTGCTTTCTGTACTAGTGTTTCCAGTATGGACAATATTACTCATACTTGGAGACAAAACATTTGTTGTTATTTTACCTTGTATTGATAAACAATGCCAAAATTTTAGATGTAATTCCAACATTGAACACCAGGTGGAGCCTTGACTTGTGGCCAAAGTTGCAGGAAATTGCATGGAGGTGTGAATGGAAGCAAAAAGTTTCTTGACCATGTTGGTGTCTGAGTGTTTGTACCGATAATCTAGACTCTACGCTATTAAAAATAAAACTAAACAGACTGCGAGAGACGTTCTCCTACCTGACAGGCAGAAAACTGACAACTTCAGCATCAGTATTCTCCAAAGATACATTTGTCATCAGGATTTTCCATCTATGGAGGTTAACACCAATGTTAACCCTTATTTTCTGCTGTCATCTGTCCATATATCAGCCACACAGTAATAAACGAAGCATGATCGGTTTCCGCCAGTTTGTCAATTTTGAGCTACGGTTGAACACACGAGGGTCCAACATGACAATCTCCAGAGCAATGACTTTGCTCGGATAATAGACAAGAGTTTTTCTTGGTCATTTAAACATACTTCTGCATAACACATTCCATTCGGGGAGGCAAAATGCTGCTAAAATCTACACAATGCTCCTTTAGGTGGCTTTGTTAGGCAAGATAAGGTTTGATTAAATCATGCATCCAAAAAGAGATCTAAATTTATGAGTGGTCTGCCTGATAAACTTATCTGGTGATTAAATAAACATGGTTTTTGGCTATGAAGATGATGCTGTATTGTTTTGGTCTTTAGTCATTGTCTTTGTTGTATGTTGTGATGTGGTTGCTAAATTTTTTAAGGGCAAACAAAGAAGTGAGTGTATCAGAATTTAAAGTGTTGGACATCTTTTGGGCAACTGTGTTAACTGATCTTGGTTGCTTTTGTGCCTCCCATTAACAGACAGGTGTACTATGTACCTGTAGGCACTTTGAAACCTCACACCATGGAAGTCTACCTTCAGTTCAGATCAACGCCAGGTGCTGTATTCATTTGGACACTTCTGCAGAGGTGGGAGCTGTACTGCTAAATCACATGTATTTCAAGTTGTTCTTTGGGCTGCATACTGCCACATCAGAGTAGAAAAACTCCCTTGATGTGATGCAGTTTCATCTGAACCCTCCGGGGATTTGGATCGACATCTTCTGAAGGTTAAAGTTTTGACTGTGTTGCATGCTAGATGACTTACCTTTCACCATCTGATGTCTGTGCCTCTCTGCTCTCCACTGGCTGTCACTTCCTGTTACTGCTGCTCCGATGGGTGGAGGGCCGTTGTCCTCAGGCGGAGGTGCTGCTGGCAGCTGCGCTCAGACAGAGGAGAGAAGCGGCATGCTGCTGTTAAAGCCTTGTGATTGGTGGAGTAAGAAACAAAAGAATAAATCACACAAAAGAAGAATTGTGTGAAGTGTGATGGAGAGATAAAAAATGATAAAAGAAAACTATTATAAACATATAAAAGATAAAAATAGATTTACATTAATGCAAGTTGTGATGTTTAAGCTGCCTTTATGGTTTATAAACTCAGAAAATCAATCCTATTGATGCTACATTTGTGAAATTTAATATAAAAACATGCATTTCTTAATTTAAATTGAATAAATTTATGTACTATTTATACCAAAAGAGGAATAAATGGGTGAGAATTTGTATATCCAAAAGCTCCTTGGTGTATTTTTCCACCTGGCCTCAGTGACATCAGCTATAAGAACACCTGCGCCTCAGCCTCTCTGCCTTAGTCTTTAGCACCCCCAAGTGTCCATGTAAGACCAAGACTCTAAAATGGTACAAAAGTGCTGTTGATGTTGATGGCCCCAGTCTTCACAACAGGTGGTGCTGTTGTAAATATGAAACTGATTCTGCTATCATGTTGTTTTGAGAATTGGACATCTGTCTTGATGACATAAATACTTTTACTGGATGAAAAATGAGTTAACATTTTTAACTATAATATATTTGATGTTATAGTTCAGGTATCAACAGACCACAATTAAAGCTCAATGATTTTTTTGTGTTCTTTTTTGTTATAAGAAATGTATTTATCTATACTCATGGTTAGTAAACTATTTCCCACCTAATAAACCTTTAAAAACTTTGAAATCTTGTCATGTTCTACATGGTTGCAGTAGAAGCAAGAAATTACAAGGTTTGCTATTAACGTTATTAACACTTATTGGTCAAAAAACAGGATTGTCACCATTTCAATGAAAAAGCATAGTCATTTGATCTGCTACAATTATACTTACTAGGAAGAAACATCCTGTCCTGGCCTGTTGAAATGAGACGAGAGGGATCTGATCAAACCTCAGGGCAAACCGGCTACACCAAGCTCTGAAAAACAAATATGTTTGCATTTTTATTTTATTTTTTTGTGTATCTGACAGTAAACATTTGATATAAAGAGGAGAAAATAGAAAATAGAGACAAAAGTCATGGCTTTGTTGAAGGTCATACTGAGTCTTTTAAGGATTTCCATTGCATTGTTAGATAAATGGATTCCCATTCAAAGATTTTATGAAAGGACAGAATGTGTATATATAAAATGATAATTTTGGTCGAAGATAGCATGCTAAATGCACGTTTAGTGCAGATCAGGAATTTTTTTTAAATTAAAGTTATCAACAGTCTGAGTCATATTTGGAGAACACAAGACTGAGGGAGAGCTTTTTTAAATTTTCTGTCATGTATTTCAATACATATTTAACTTAATTTATCATTTTGAATTATTTTTTGTAAAATTATTGTTAACCAAATGTTTGTTGAAGTGATCTGAGCTCAATTTCGAAAAGTTTGGATATCAAAAAAATTAATTGACAGTGAATGCATCACATCACATGGTCACGTGACAAAGACACCAACCGCCTGCAGCCGGTTCGTCCTGGAGGTGAAAAAACTTCTCTGAGAAAAAGACCTAAAAATGGACAGAGAGGACAGCCCCAGCGCCATAACTTGCAAGTTTTGTGGGGAAGCATTCACTCTGACAGGTAGGATGTAGCTCCTCATGTTGTAGCGCCCCTCTGTGTTGAAGACTCGCGAAGTCCACTAAAATGGCGAGCGGACCGAAGTTGGCTAGGTAGCAACCACGTGTTGGTGGCAGGCTAGCTGCACTTAGCTAATGTTATAGACAGGTGTGATTTGTACCTGGCTGTTAGACATTTCTAAATCAATATTAAAAACTACCACCCGAATATTTTCTAACTTTTCTTAAGATGTTTGTTTCTAATCACAAATGTGGCAAAATCAAGGTCAAATGTCGGTCAAGTCAGTCATTGAATGTAGGGGTTTTTTGCGTGTGATATCCAGCTGTTTTCTGTCCCACCTTGTAGCGCCGAGGTCGAAAAGTGTCTTTTAAGTACCAGAAAGTTTCTGCGATTTGCCCAAGAACAGTGACATGTCACCGGCCAACATTAAATTAGTTTGTCCCTCTCCTTGGGTCCACGTGGCGTCCTTTCCTCGCGTCCTAGCTCCTCCCCTTGAGGAATTGAAAGAGAGAGCAAGGAAGAGACATGAGGACAGAGGAAGCATATTTGTCAAATGATCAGACCAGAGCCGGCCCAAGCCTCAATGGGGCCCTTAGCAAAATTTGAGTTTAGGGCCCTTTATTTCTGCCAATAATATTGATTATTGATCATTCACACACCTTCACAAATCTCTCTAACATTCCATGACATGCAAACAAACCTTTATCTTGGCATTTTTTTCTCTTCTTCCTCTTTCTTTTCTCTGTTCCTGGAGGACGTGTCCTTCTTTGTGACATTGTTTTGCCCTACAACTACCTGCATCACACATACATGCAAAAAAATAAAATATTTCAAATATATATATTAGTGCTGGACGATAATTCGATAACAATATATATCGATCGATAGACGTGTGGTGCGATAGAAAAAAAACGGGTCGATAAAAAGTTCGATAGAAAAACACAGTTTCCCTTTCTTTTTCATCATAGCCTATCATGTAGCTTTTACTACAGTCATTACTTCCTCCCAACCAATCACAAACGCAGACCCAGGTACGCTACAGCACCAAGCCCAGTCCCTATCAAACCACAACAGACAGCACGTGTATTAGAAAAAATGATACAGCAAGGAGAAGCGGAGGACATTGTCCCGAAAAAAGGTTTCAGTAGTTCACCAGCATGGCAATGTTTTGGTTTTTAGAAGTCTGACAAAAAGCGAACAGCGGTCGTTTGCAAAATTTGCAGAGAATTAGTAAAAACAAAGTCTGGTAACACAACCAACTTGTTTTACCATCTAAACCGATCGCACCCGCAGGAGTACGAGCTGTGTCGGCCGCGCCGTGGCTCCACGTCATCGTCGGAGGAATCCTCTGGAACTGCTGCCAGCACCAGCACAAAGCATGTGAAGCAGACCAAACTGGACTTCGTTTCTTGCCAAAATACGACAAAGCGTCCGAGCGGCATAAGGACATCACCCATGCAGCAACATGCTCCATAGCGAGGGACATACTGCCAATAACTACCGTTGAAAAGCCTGGCTTCGACCAGCTTCTAGCCACTCTTGACCCGCGATATGAAGTGCCCGGCCGCAAGTATTTCTCAAACACAGCGCTTCAGGCATGAAAATGGGTCAGGGGTTGAAAAGGTGAGAAGGGTGCGGAGGAAATACGTTCCGGTGTAGCTTCTTAAAGTGGAAGAAAATGAGCTCATATTTTACAAAGACGCGAGTATTTGGATCATGGCTACTAGCAGGGGGTGCATTCGGCAGGGGTGCATTCTACGACACAACACCGGCGTGGATAAGTCCTGCTTCTCGTGCTTAGTTTGTGTATTAAGTCAATCACATGATAATTAAAAAAAATAAATCTCCCGACCCCGGGAGAAATATTTCAGTGTTCAGACACCAGGCTGTGGGCAGTTTCCCACACAGTTAAAACTGGTAGTATGCTATTCCCACCTAAAGCTATTCTGTTTATTTATATATTTGTTTGTTTTCATCAAAAGACTATTTAAATATTTATTTATCAAATTTTTTGGTCACTTTAGTCTTTATGTTTGTCAGTATTTACTGACGTCACTCAGGCCACTTAAGTTGATTCCTTTTTTTTTTTAGTTCTTTTTTAAAAAACTTTCAGTTGTGGTAAAATAAAAAAGGTGGTTGAATAAAGGTTTGAATTTGAATTCAGTGCTTGTGTGTTCTTTATTAAAAGTAGGTCATTAAGCAATAGCATAAAACATCCAGGGCTGCAATTAAAATATATGTTAAATAATTATAACAATTATATCGATTATTATCGATATCGATCAATATGATTTATTTTTTATCGATATGCTTTTTTTCTATATCGTCCAGGCCTAATATATATATATTTGGATTGCTTTTGGGGGCCCCTACTAAGGGCCCTAAGCTGGCGCTTAGTTCGCTTATGCCTTGGGCTGGCTCTAGATCTGACTTTAGATCACAGTTGACTGAATTTTATTACAAAAGATGAAATGATTTCAAAATCAAAAAGTACTTGTGTTTTGCCTTTGACAAAATGTTTTTTTTCTTTCAGAGGATGGAGTTGAAGGCAATCCCCCTCGTATGCTTTTATGTGGCCACAACTACTGCGCATCTTGTCTTCAGTCCATGCAAAGTGACGACACTATCAGATGCCCGGAGTGCAATGTAAAATCATCAGCAGTAAACTCATCAAATCTAGCTCTGACACTTGATGAATAATGTATTTTGGTGCACTGATCACATAATTTAGACTTTGCATTAACTGCAAACTTGTTCCTTTTGAGGCAGTTACCAGCCTGCCACTTTTTCATCTTGCTGTCCCGTCAATCAATCAATCAGTCCATCCTTTTTTATGTATTAATATAGTGCCCATTCCCAACATCCAAAAGATTATCGAGACAAAAAAGCTGGTCTAGACCAGACTCTATTTACAAAGACCCATTGAAATGATAGGATAAGTTTGATCCCAGTCTTGTAAGATTAGACCCACTTCCATCTTTAACCACAGGAGTGTAGTACTTTGTAGCATTTAGCAAGTTGCAACAGAGGAAAAACTTCCTTTAACAGGCAGAAACCTTGGGCAGAACCAGAGTTATGTAGGATAGTCATCTGCCGCTGCTGCATTGAGTTTGGAGAGGGGATAGAGGAAGATGCAGAAATCAGTTGTATCTTCACTTTTTAAAGAGCAATAATTCAGTTAAGGTCTGGGGTTAATTTGAATACAACTGAGTTAAGTTGTTTTAGTTAAATAAAGTAGATCAATAAACAAGATGCACCATTTCAAGTAGGATGTATGCCACTTCAACCAATCAGACCAGGTTTCTAATAATCTACAAAGCCCAAACTGTTTCGCCACCTGTCAATCTTCTGCTTTAAAATTCTAAATGCATTTAGTCGAAGTTATCGGACAGAAATAAACAATAAAATCTCACTGCAGGTCGAATCGACCCTTCCTGAAGGAGGGGTGAGTGCCCTTAAGGAAGATGACCGAATCATTGGCCTCATTTACATTGCCAAAATTAACAAGATGAAAAGGTAAGTCTTACCTTCAAATGTGAAGCTGACTCACACAAAAGCCTTTTAAAGGGTTATTCCGGTGTAAAATTAATTTTGGGTCAAACACACTGTAACATCGATTTGGACACTGCCTTGAGAGATGAATGTTGCCGACTGCTTGCTTCTGTAGTTATACCAACTTTAGTAACGACAGCGCGGTAGCAATACACAGCGGTCTGAGGAGCCATAAACATTTGGTTGAGGTTTGTTTATGGCTTCTGCGGTCGTTACTAAAGTTGGTATAACTAGACAAGCAAGCGGTCGGCAACATTCATCTCTCAAGACGGTGTCTAACTCGGTGTTACAGTGTGTTTGACCCTGAATTAAGTTTACGCCGGAATATCCCTTTAAACAACTGTTGCCATCTTTTTGTGTAATTAAATGATAGATTTATGAATAAGAACTTGTTTTTACTCCGATCATTATTTATGTTTCAAAATCCTTTGAAGGTTACGCTGTGAAAAATCAAAGAATCGTGGATGGAACACACAGCAGTCTCCAGACAAGAATGCTGACATTGAGGATGTTGAGCAGCAGGTTTGTGTGTGGGATCAAAAATGGTGGAGGTCGGGGGAGAAGTTGTCATTTCAGCCCCAAACCTCAGTTGTAAACGTCTTGTCTTGAGCTGTTACTGAAGCTTAGGTTTTACTTTGGGCATCTGTATTGCCCCTTGTGGCAGCATTTATTTGTCTTCTGATTCTGTTATTCAGCCAGCAGATATTGAGACGACTAATAAGGCAGTGGATGAGGCTTTGGTCCAGGCTGCAGAAAATCTTGATGTCCTGAAACAGATCCGCGAGGTGAAATTCCCAATGTGGCACACACCTTTTAAAACATGACTCTTGACTTTTTTATTTCCTGAAAGGCAAACACAATCAGTTTCTTATCTCAGAAATAAAGATGAGAAGACTTTGAGAGTTCTCTGTGTAAGTGTTTTGTCTGTGCAGACTCTGAAGAAAGGTCTGGCAGAGCAAATCAAAACTGACCAAGCTTGGCTGGATATGGACATCAAGCAAGCGGCAGAGAAGGCTTTCCATGCCGTACAAAAGTGGTATGATTCTACGTTCAAGTTTAGTCCAGCGACCGTAGGTCTGTTGTAAGATTTTTCTTCAAATGTTCAGAGTAACAGTCATCTTAACGCCTTTCTTCCCTTTGTCAACAGGAAGGATGTGCAGCTGGGTCAGCTGACAAAACTTGAGGAACAGTTCTCTACCAGCAGAGCGGAGCTGGGACGTGTCCAGGAGAGAATACAGTCTTTGGCGATTGCCATTCAGATGGCCAAAGAAGTGCGCAGAATCCCCTCCCTGAAGCAGTACTGCACCCTGGATAAGGTATGAAATGATCGGCTTTTAGATATCTATACAAGAACTTCTCCGGATCCTCTGAAACCACCACTTAGAAATGAACTCGCAGCTGTGTTGTGCTGCTGCTGTTCCATTTATAATCCTACATTTTCCCGTGAAATGAAACATGTCCGTGGATACTCAGTGATGCTAACCCTGTGTGCTTGTGTGTGCTAGGTGCTGGAGACATTGCAGACTCCTGTAGACAAACAGTCTTTTGATATGGAATGCATTACCATGGGCTCTGGACTGAGGTTTGTAACTTTTACCCTGCTTTTTTTTTTTCTTTTGTTGTCACTTTAAACATTGCACGATATCAGCAAAGTGGTGGTACTTCAATTAAATTTTATACAATTCAAATTACTTTAAATTTATGTGTTGTTGTTTTTTTAAGCTGTGTGTTTCAGTCAGAGGGTCTAAACCAGAGCCTGGCGTTGTCTCTGAAGATGGAAACTAGAACCCCAAGACCGTAAGTCCTCAGACACTCTTGATTTGTCATTGTGAATAATTTGAATAGATTTACGTCATTATTAGCAATTTGATCCATGTATGAAATGCCGAAGTTTAAACCTAGGCAAGAAATGTATCTACTGGCATCTACAATCGACGGGAAGAGAAAAAGGAGTGCACACTTGCAAATCGAAAGAAGCAACATCCTCAGTTTCCATCTATCTTCTGAAAATTTCATTTTTTTTGTTCTCCCTTGAAGCTTGTCGAAGTTTCCACCACAAGGACATCAGCAGGGGAACTCCTCCAGACGGTCCCATTTGCAGCATGCAGAGGGCTGGAACAACTACAGCTTCCCACCACGCTACAACAAGTCCCCCAGCCCACACAGACGGGACAAAGGGAGTCAGAGACCCACCTCACCGCGAGCTTCCTCTCCAAGCCCCAGATTTCGCCACAAAGCCGACCTCTCCCAATCAGACATCAGAACTCCAGACGTAAAAATTGAAGAGATTTTACAAGAGGGGGAAGCACAAGGTGTGTGTGTAGCTTTCATGCAATGGGGTATGACTTTGGTAATTTTTCATATGAGGTGACAGAAAGGCATGAATCTAATTTTGTGAACTGCTTTGTTTTTTTTCAAAGGCCCCCCACCCACTGGGCCTGAACTGGCTAAAGACAAATGGAGAGTCCAAAGGAGGTGGAGACATCAGATGCTTGGCAACAGGAGAAATGGTATGAAGATATATGGAACTATTTCTCCTTGTTATGGAAGCACAGGGCTACAAAAACCTCATAGATATCTGATTATGTGTTGTTACCCCAAAGACATATGTTCATTAGTCCTCCTCCTCCTTCTCTCATGCCCACTTTGTGATCAAAACTTTGCTCTCCTTGGACTCTTGCTATTTTCCCTCCCTAGTTTCTCCTTCTTCTGTCCATCTTCTAACTTTCATCATCTTCTCTCTCTTTTATTTATTCAAAATGGAAACCCTCACTAAATGATTTTCAATTTTTCCGCTCCATGTGTCACTCTTTTTTTTTTTAACAGGACTTCTCAGCAAATACAGTGGGAGAATCTTACGTAAATGAAAAGAGGTCTTTATTTTTTGTCCCAAATAAATCGAACCCTTGGTTTTTCACCGTGTCTTAAAATCTCCACTCGCACCTGAAGTTGCAAAAGTGTAGTAATGTGGGTCCTGCTCACTATTCTGGCAAAATAGCTGCACAGCGCCCCACTGGAGTCTGGACGAGGTTACTTCCACCAGATGTAGTTTGCTTTTTCTTCAGACCCTTTTTTGTTGTTTTTTTCTTCTTTTTGTCAAGTACAAGTCTTCTGTCAGATTATCTCACGTTACATTTCCTCCCCTCCTCTCTTATTCTCTATGCATTTTTGTACTAGTCACCCCATGGGTGGTGGTAACCCACATCGTGAATCCAGCTCACTTCTACATCCAATATGTCTCAGAGAAGAGGGACAGAGAGCTTCTCTCTAGGAGGATCAACTATTACTGCAGCAGTGGAAGTTGTCACTTCACTTCCAGTGACACGGTGGAGACTGGTACGTCTGCTTGTTTATTTTAAAAATGAAATGACTGAAGTTTATAGAACAAACTTACACTGATTCAGTTTAGTGTAACATCTATTGGAGGCCACATTCATGATTGCTTGCCGTTGTAGATACAAACAATGATAGTAATTTTACTTACATTGTACCTTTTAAAAACAAGGGTTTTCAATGATTCACTGAGTTATAAAATCAGTTCTATTTTAAAAAAAAGTCACAATAATGGATTAACACGTCATTTATTTCTACCACTTTATGTTAAAATTTGTGGTTTTTCTGGTTTTCCGCCAAATAACATTAAGATGAGTCACTGAGCGGTGAGTGAAACACTTCATATGCCACTTTTTTTCTCTCTGCTCCTCTACAGGCGCCGTCATCTTGGTCAAGCAGGAAGAAGGGCTCTGGTGTCGGGGTCAGGTGGTGGAGGTCTCACAGAGCGGGTGTGCCGAGACTGTAAAAGCCTGCCTCGTCACTCAGCTGTCCAGTACCAGAGTCTTCCTCATTGACTCTGGCCCCACCAAAAACTTTGCAATACAGAGGTGCTCACAGTTTGTTTGTAGTTGATATCTGCTTCACTGTTGAAGGTCCATACTACTGCAGTACACTCGTTCACTTTAACCATATTGTATGTCCTAATTTATAGAAAGACTGTGAAACGTCCTCCTCTCTTCTCTGTCACTTTTTTAGTGAAGGAAGTGACCCCGAGTTATCGCTGAAGGCTGTAAACAACCACCTGAGGAAGATGTGTGAATCTTTGCACGTAGAGCTGAGTGGCTTTGCTCCTCAAGCCATCAGGTGTTCCCTCAAAGACCTGGTCCCGTACGATCTGGTAAGACCACAGAAATTTGAGCGTGCACAGTCCTTGTACCTGAAAACTTGACCCTCAGCGTCTAACACTGCAAGTTTGTGTGTTTTCAGACAAAAGGCTGGAGTCAAAAAGCTCAGGTTGAATTTTGCAGCATTGTCGGAAATGCAGCGGTGGAAATGCAGCCTCTGGGCCAGGACAAAGACTCTTTGTTCGTGGAGCTGAGGAAAGCTTCCATGCACCAGTCCAGTAATGTGCCCACCTGTATCAGAGAGTACCTGGTTTTTATTGAAGTGGCCAGGTAAACACCATCCTCTGGGAGTTACGCTACAATCACTGTACCTTAGAAGCTGGACGTCAGAACAGTTGTCTAGCCATTTGCCTTTATTGTTGAATTACACAATACAAGACTAAGCTGTTAAAAGTACAGCTTTTACTACAAAGTGTCGCCATCTTGGATCTTAAACTGTGGGTGACTGAGGGTTTCCAAGCTAGATTTTAGACTTCTGGGGAGACTCAGGATGACATGTCAAACTTGTATCTGAGAGAATAAACCTGAGTAGCAAGTTCTTTGTTTTACAGATGTAATCAGATGATGAGAAGAATTGAATTAAACTCGTCCTACTCTGTGGATATGAAACCCCACCAATAAAATAGTCCTTGATTTGTGGCTCTAATCCTCCAAAATCTCTCCTAGATATTACTCTCCAGTGTCTCTGGGCAGGAAGCCTCTGTCCTACTACCCTCCTGTCTATCCCAAGGTGAACACAGAGGTCGATGCTGTGGTGTCTCACATAAACAGCCCATCAGACTTCTACATCCAGCTGGTAAATATTCACAATTAGAAAGATGCACATTATATTCAATTTGCTCAAAGGAGGCTCACAGCTTTCTGTTGAATTGAAAGAAAAAGAGAAAAAGTGGGAACCTTAACGGTTAGCATCTCTACTAAGGCTGCACGATATTGGAAAAAAATAATATTGCGATTTTTTCAACCCTGCGATATATATTGCGATATTAAAAATACAGTATTTTCACCAGATGACCTGAATAGCACTTAATGTTATGCTGCACTGCTGAAATCTTGAGGACAGTTAATCTGCTCTGATCTTACCTCTTTTTGTGAATGTTAGTAGAACGGCTTCTGTCTGTCTCAGAGATATTTTTAGCTTTTATTGTGCTGGGACGTTATTGTGGCAACAGGTGAACACAGAAGACGTGTTTTGGTCGACATCATCCTTCTTTTAACCGAAATAATTCCAGATAACTGACTTTCCTTTTCTTTTTGGCAACAAATCTTCATTTTCGGTGGTTTTCGCTTGTTCGTTGTTCATTTTGCGATCGTTGTTGTTGTTGTTAGCGGTGTTGTGCCGAGAAACGCATGTCCTCCGAGAATTGCATGCACCTCGCAAAACGCGCACTGCTTATAGTAGAGTGGTCCACGGAAATGTACAATTTAAAACCCATACAGTTCTTATTTGTTGGGCTTAACAGTCATGAGTAAAGTTCCGAAAGTAATTCTCAGCGGACACACGTCTCCCTCCATGTGCAGAACATGTGCAGGGGTGGGTTTTCTCCTCCCTGATTTTGATTGACAGCTGGCTGGGTAGTCTGATTGGCAACTGAGAAGTGAGTCTGATTGGCAACTCAGTTAAGGACGAAGGCGATTGGTGGATCGCTGCACAGCACATGCAGAGTCACATGGAGTGTATCTCAGTCGGTTACCCTTGAAATTAAATGCGTTCATTCGCCTCCAATATCGCAGGCTCTGCGATGTGACTATCGCACACACGTACATCGCGATGACGATAGTCAAACGATATATCGTTCAGGCCTAATCTCTACAAGCTTTCAGAAGGGGAATTTTGTAAATCTCTGTCTCTGTATTTCTCTCTGTAGTTAGTTCCTGTTTCATTGTTTGAAATTTTATTCTTGTCCTTTTCCTATCATTCCCACACACCTAAACTTACCCACTCCCACTAAGGTTGACAGCATGGAGTTCATGTTGCTTCAAGCCAAGCTCCAAGAGTGTTACAACGCAACATCAGCGGCTGAAGAGGACCTCAAAGTCTACTGCCCTGTGATTGAACAGGCGTATGTCGCCCTGTTTGAGGACAAACAGTGGTACAGAGCTCAGGTCATAGGTGAGTGTGTGTGTCTGTGTGTGTGTCATCGTTAGGAGTTTTATTATGAAGGGAATACTTTAGTAATCAAGTAATGTACTAGAGATTCAAAAAGAGCATGCTCAAATGAGGTGTTTAACTCCTGTCGTCCTCCACTAAACAGTATTTCTTGGAGTTACTTCTCACAGATCTTGCTTAAGAACAATAATGATAATTGAATTTCCCTTAGGGGATAAAATAAAATAAAGTTATTCTTAAGTTGAGCTTGTATTTCTGTGTTACAGTATCAGTCATTTGTATGAGTAGTACTTCAAATAAATAAGCTGACAGTAAAGAACTCATGTGTCTATGCGTTATGTAGGTCATCTGGGAGAAAGAAAAGTGGAGGTGCGGTATGTTGACTTTGGCAATAAGAAAATCTTGCCTGTCTGCGACTTGAGGAAGATTAAAGATGAGTTCTTTGCGCTGCCCGCCTTGGTGAGAAAACAATAATAGATCACAGATATTAATTCCTTAAATACAATTTCAAATGTGCTGCTCTGTTATCACAAACTTAGTATTTCCTTGGATGAAAATTAAAACAAGTATGGACCATTCACATTTACTTTTAGTGTTTTTACATTCAGAATGGGTTGAAAATTAGTAAATGTCTCTTCTAATGTCCAGGCGATCCCCTGCTACCTGCCAGACGTGACCCCTGTGGATGGAGAGACCTGGAGTGAAGCCTGCATCAGCAGATTCATCAGCCTGGCTCATCAGAAACTCATCACCATTATGGCTTTAGGTAGTGTTTACATGTGCCACCCTGTAATCCGAGCGTGTGCTTTTATTATTGATCAAAATCACCACTCTATCTGAAATCTGTTCCCTGTGTTTTTTTATTTTTCCTGAAATCCTGCAGCATCCGTCCCAAACGACAAGCCCTTGCCTGTCAAACTGTTTCAGAGCAGCTTGGACGGGCCAGTGGCAAATATATCCCAGTTTCTGGTCAAAGAGCAGCTGGCCTGCTTCAAAGAAAAGTGAGACTTTAACAACAGCAAAAACAGACATTAATTTAAAGAGAATTCAGAACAGCTTGTTACCCTTTGTTTTCGTGTATATTTGCACAGATCTGATATTGTTGTATTGCTGCATTCCGATGTAAGAAGTTCAAAAGGGAGGGCTGTTAGTGAGAAGTAGTAATTAAAAAAGAAAGAGAGTTTGATTTATCGTCTAATCTGGAGATATATGTCTGGGTTTGTAATAATTATTAATCTTTATTCCTTCAATTATCTTTCCTCTTAAATTGTTTTAGTTCCTCTTCTGCTGCCCCCCGACCAAAGTCCAAGGATGAGCCTGACGTTTGGGACCCTCCACTGGACCTTGATTCAGTCACAGAGGGGGTCGATGTCCAGGACCAAAAACCCGACAGTGAGCAGGATAAAGAGCAGCAGGAGTTTCAGCCTGGGCTGAAGGTACCCGCACAACTCAAAGACATAAAAGTGCGAGTCAGCCACGTAAACTCACCGAGCAGCCTCTATGTCCAGCTGACCCAGAATGACTCTCAGCTGATAAGGTCAGTGGTCAAATAATGATTTATAAATCCTAAAAGTACTTTTTGTAATTGTTTAAATTAAAAATCTGAGAATTTTGAGTAGTAGTCTGTTGATTTTTTTCAGGATCTCTGAGCTGGTGAAGAAGGAGTGTGCTCTCGTGGAGCCTGATGAAGATGCTGTGTGGGAGGCAGACACGTACTGTGCTGCTCACATCAACGGGGTTTGGGAGAGAGGACAGATCTGCTCTGATGTCAGGTCCAGCAAAACTGCAGAGGTATAAAAACAATTATTCCTAAAATGCAAAGTTTGACCTTCCCTTTATCAATTTTTCAGCTACTTCATGAAACATATTCAATCTTAAGTCTGTATTTGTTTTTTCTTCCTCTCCGTCTGCGGTGCTGTACCAGGTGTTGCGCTGTGACCATGGAAACAAGGTGATGGTCCACATTAGCAACCTGAGACCACTGCCACCCTCCTTGATCGGTTCTATGGCACTGGAGTGCACACTGACGGACATCAGGTGACACACACTAACATAAACCCCGAGCGCAGTGCTGCATCAAAGTTCACATGAACACCCAGCCTGTACTGATGTATCGAAGAGTCTCACACACACACACACATAAAAACTAAGAGTACATCTGTGTGGTTTGAAATAACATTAATATCAGTGCGTGTCTAAAAGTTGGGAAAGTTTCAGCGTTCCCTGCTAATTCTGTCCACAGTGTGAAAGGTTTTATTTTTTGTGTCTTAGTTCATGTGAACGTTTTCATTTTTAACCCTTTCTCGTCATCTCTTATTTCTCTTTCAGACCAGCTGGAGGCCTTTCCACATGGACAGCTACAGCCTGTGACTTAATCTCTTACTACTTGACTGGAGCCTCGGCTGTTATGACCATCAAGGTTGTCCCTTCCTTGTGTTTCTCAAAGTCATTTCTGCAGCATCCTTCTTCTTCTTCGCTGTACTCTTAAAGCTTTTTGTTGTTTTATGTGACCTGGTTGTTAGTGAGCGTCTCCTTTCACATCTGTTGTTGTCCAGGAGCTGATCGATGAGCGTCCACAACCCATCACTCTGTTCCGCTCCAACAAGAGGGGACAATTTGTCAACATGGCAGACTTCCTGACCAGCGAGGGCCTCGCCCTCAGGGAAAGGAAACCGAGGTCAAGGTGTGTGATCACTGAGGTTTCATGGATATCGAGAGAAACCGGTCTATGACAGCTAAGTCTCTCTCTCTTCAGGACTCTGTCTCTTATTCCAGGGGGTGCAACTAATGATCCCTTTTATCATTTATGAAGTGATGAGTTGTTGTAGTCATAAAGTGGCTTAAAATGACACCTTCAGAAGCTTTCTACTTATGGAAAAACTCAGAAGTGTTGTGCTCACTGTTTAAAGGAACTAAAAAGAAACCAAAGCCAAGAGGCTGAAATCATCTGACTACTTTCAACAATATTGAGTTCTTGTTTGAGACTGAAGACATTACTGGACATCCTTATTGGCCGTGGATTATCATCATCTTTTTATAAGAGCATTAAACTTATTAAATACCGAAAGTCACATCTGTGGGTAATTTTCAAGCCGTTTCTCCGTATTTTTAGCAGTCAGTCTCTGGAGCGAGTGATTTTTGTTTTCTAAACCTCTGTTATTTCCTGAGTGTGAGTCTCTGTCTTGCTGCAGAGATGCTGGTGATCAAAAGCAAACAAACGCTGATGAACAGACTCCGGTGAGTGTGGCACAAACTGCTGGTCCTGATGGAGATAAGAAAGACGCTCCACCAGCTTCGCCCTTGTTCTTTCCTTTCCCTAAATCTGTCATTACCAACCCAAAGCCCGCACCTCGCACCATCATGTCTGCTAAGAAGGTAAGCACAAGTATATTCAGTCTTGTTTTAAATCTAGGACTTTCCCATCTTACCTCACAATGCATTGGTCTATTGTATAAATTTTCACACTGATAAACTTGACGTGAACTCTTTTTATTCTGCATTGTGTGTTTACAGGTGAAGACTCAGCTGTACCCGCCTCCAGAGCTGCCATGCCTCGGGCACATCCAGGTTAACGTGTCTGCCATTGGAGACGATGGCGTTATTTACGTCAGGACGCAGGATGCAGGTGATAATCAAAGCAAATGACTACATTGAAAAGTTGATGGAGTCTTATTTCTGAAAAAAAATTGGGAGCACAATTGAAAGACGAGCTTCATGAAAAAGCTGCAGCCTTTGAAGTGATGATTTTTCTTCTGCCCTCTTGTTAGAAGACTCGAAATGTTGTTTCCTTTTGTAGAAACAGAAAATAATCGATCTAGTGCATATTGCAGTGGACTCCATTCTGCCTATATCGCCGGTTCCATGTTTTTAAAGTGTTGAGTAGCCCCTCTCCTCTTCAAAAGCTGTGATCTTCTTGTTTCCCAAGACTCCAGTTTTTAACCCTAAAACCAGCGTGTGTCTTTCTCTTTTTATCTCGACTGTGTCATGATGCAGAGAGGAAAGCTGCAGACGACAGCAGTTGTTAAATGCATGTCAGCTGTTTACGATGCATGTGCAGATGAGTTTTTGTGTGTTGGACGTGTGTCAGAGTGCCAGCTGGAGCAGCTCAGGGAGAAGATCATGCAGAGCATCAGGGGGTTACCCAGACATCAGCTCTTCACCTGGAAGTCGGTGCTGGGCTGTGCTGTCATCGGGTCTGACATGCTGTGGTATCGAGGACAGCTGTTGGAGGTGCTGGGAGGACACGTTAAGGTCAGATCACACACAGATCCTTTGTGTGTTACTTCTAGATTGTAATATAGGGTGGGAGTCCAACACATAAATAATCAAGTCCAAGTAGGAGAACCTCTTCTGTCACTTTAACTTCTGTGTTTTTTTTTTTTTATATGAATGTTCATGTCTGTAAATTTTGTTTCCAGGTCCAGTATGTGGACTACGGCCTGGTGGAGAGCATCCCTGTGATCCATGTGTACCCCACGCTTCTGTATGAGGATGTTCCTCAGCTCTGTTTGCCGTGCCAGCTGCACAGCATCAGCCCCGTAAGTGTTTGACTGTGTGTTTGTCAGTGTTAAAGATCAGTGAGTTCATACAAATGAATCTGGATGCACAATACCCTTAAGAAAAAGAGGCTAGAACTCATGGAAATTGGATTTTCCTTCGACAGATTCGGTAAAGTTTTTGTTCTTCATTTTTCATCTGTTTATTCTCTCCTCGTCTCTGCAGGTCGGAGGTCAGTGGCAGATAGATGCAGTGGCCTTGCTGAGGGAGATGTTGCTGAACCGCTGTGTAGATGTGCAAGTCAAGGTAGACTCGAACACAAACAATCGGATGAATGTACTGAGTTCTGGGTAAGATTTAATGTTTGTGCGTGCGCGTGCTAGGAGCTGCCATCTGACCCCAGAGCACCGCTAACAGTTGAGCTCTATCTGGACGGGATGAGTCTCAGCAGGATCATGTGTCACCATGCACACGCCTCTGTGGACCAAACAGCCTCCGAACAAAAGGTTGGTGTATATTTATGTGTGTGTTTCTGCGTGTAAATCAGCGTGTGGCGTCCGTCTACTGAGAGGAAGAGCTTTGCATCACTATGAATGGAAATCTGTTTGTCTGCAGAGACCCTACATGGTGACTCCTCCACCTCTCCTGGATGACTGGGACATTGATACTGAGGTAAGGCAGACTGCAGAGATTACTGAGCAACAATCACAACTACTCGCTCGCCGCTGTGTTAGACAGTCTCTTCCCTGGCCAGCTCTGTACAAACATAGAACCATTTGAGCTGGAAGTCACTGAGAACTGATGCAGGTGTATACTTCAGGGTCTGAGGGGCCCAGAGGAGCCAGCGCTGGGGCCCGTCATCTGCCCGAAGCTGCCGCAGAAAGGAGAGCGATTTAAAGTCAGGGTGAAGCATCTGTGGACTCCTAATGAGGTAACTATCAACCACAAGATAACCGTTTCACACGGCAAAAGGAATGAAATGATGAGATAGTATCATTACTATAGAAATGTACCAGGTGAGGTCTTTTGTTCGATCTTGGACTTTAACTGTAACTCCTGACAGAGCTGAAAATGACATCACACCAGAGTTACTGGTGTTTCAATTACCAAGTCAGAAAAAAGCAAAATCGGAGGCCTGAAACAAGATGGCGACATTTATGAAAGTTGAAAGTTATTTTAGCACTTGGGCAAGTGGCAAGGCAAGTGCTAAAATCGTCATTTTCAGTTCGGACTTCTGACCTCCAAGGTAACTTGAACGCAGCATTAAAGTCAGATTCCTGCTGCATCTGAGAACACCTGACCACCTCCAAATTTTCAATTTTTAACACTGATTTTTTTTTTTTTAATGATCATGAACTCTTGATAAGAGAAACTTAGATGGTGCTTTGAAACTGATAGTTGTTCTTGCTCTGAAGAGATGATTTAAAATCTGTGTCTGTGTCGTGCAGCTGTTCTTGTGGTCTCTGGAGGAAACAGATGATGTGAAAGTGGATGGTGAGACTCTAGATGAGGCTCTGACCAGAATCAACGAGAACCTCGACAGTCTGCCACGACTCAGCAGCTTTCCTTACGGTAACATTAAAATGATCTCAGTTTCATTTTTATAAAGACAAATATTGATACAACATTTGAGGATACAGCATCAGGTTCCAGCAAACAGACCAGCCAGGTTTGATTTGTGGTTTCCAGGTGGACTGTGTCTGGCAGAGTACAGCGATGGGAACTACTACCGAGCCAAGCTGATGAAGATCTCCAGCGTGGAACCGGTCATGCTTCTGGTCCGGCATGTCGATTACGGCTCTGATGACACTCTGCCTCCGAGCAAGTATGATCTTCACACTCTGCAGGAGCACACTTTTGTTTAAATGCCAGCCTGCAGATAGATAAGATACCCACATGTGTCTGCTGTAAAGATGTTGATTTTAGTGGCCGTAACCTTTAATATTTGACCTTTTATCAGATCGTATTGTCATCAAGATGAACTTTGTTTACAAAAAGGAAACAAAATGCAGTTTTGAAGAAACTTGTGTCCCCTGAGGAAATTAAAATGTTCTTATGTATCATTTATTAATCAGGTAAAACTGATTAACCAGAGAAGACCCTTTAAATGCTGATTTATTGCTGATCAGTAGATGGTGCTGTTGTTGCACCTGCATTCTCTGAGAATCCCTTTCTTCCTGTCAGGCTCCGTCAGATGCCAGCGGAGCTGCTGAGCTTCCCGTCCCGAGCAATAAAGGTTGAAGTCGCTGGTTTCAAAGCTCCAAGTATCAGAACAGAGGAAGTCATGCTGCCGTACAGCCCAGAGTGGAGCGTTCGGGCTACGATGGCCATGATGGACCTGTTAAACGGCGACATTACAGCCTACGTTGTGGTAAAGAAATGACACAAAAGCACACAGTTGAGCTCCATGAGGATGAAAGTCATCATCCAGTTTCTTTGACTCTGACTTAGACTTGATGAACACGTCACCAAGCACCAAGACTTTCTGACTAAAACAGGAAATGGAATATTTTCTGTAGTTTTACACTTTGACCCTTCCTGGCTGAAAGTCTTGATTCTGGTCTGTTCAGGCTCGGGAACCTGAGCTCACGGTGCTGCTCTACAATGAGGATGGAGAGCTGGTCCATCTGTCTCTGGTGAGCAGGGGCCTGGCTGAACTGGTGTGAAGCAGAGCGAAGAGGCCTCCTCAACCCCCAACACGCTCTTTAGGTAAGTTTCCAGTTTTAGTCCAAACATAGAAAGAGAGTCATTTTATCACAGGGTTGCAGCCTCAGAGACGATCTGGTTTGGGCATTAACTCAGTGCAGTGGATAGAGTGACCAGCTGAATATTTTTAAACTGCAGTTTTGTGTCATTTAAGGGTCTGTTAATCGACTCCACATCTCTTCTTTTTCAGGTTTACTTGTGGACTTCATGTGTTCTTAATATATATTTTTATTCTGTTGCACTGACACACTGCTGTCAGCTCTGTATGTTACAAAAGACTTGTTAAACTTTTATTATGTTCCTGTAAAGCAGCGTTTTTAAGTTTGACTGCTGTGTTCGAGCTGCGGTGACTCTGTTTGATTTTTCAGTCATCTGATTTGTTCTGTGAAGATTAAAATCCTCCATAACAGACGAACATTTGTGTTTTTCTTTATAAATCAAAGTTCCCTGACTTGTCTCCTTAATACCAGTTATCAAGACGGAGATCGATGATGTTCAATGAAAAGAAGATAAAATTTATTTACATATCATTTACAGTCAGCTAAGAAAATAAATAAGTATTTAACATTTATACAAATTAAAATAATTGTAAACAAATATTGAATCACACCGGACTGATCTGCTGGAATCTGCTGTACAGGTGACATTTGTTTCTACACAGTCTCATTATCCCCAGGCATTTACTGTAGACGTAAACAATAAGTCATTTTTAAAATATTGAGACTGTAACTTAGAATACGTCAGCAAAAACTAGATTTCAGTGCACATTTCAGGAGAATTTATATGGCATCATACTCTCACTGTACCCTGGAGACGCGGTGGTCTTCTGAGCCCCTGTTCACAGAGTGAGTATCCTTGAAGTCTGAGTAGTGTATGAAAACATAAATCAAAAAAGATTTATGTAAAAGGCTTTTGACTTCTTCAAACTCGTGCACGATCAACTGGCAGCTGTGAGTTCAGAAGCATATTCAAGTATTTCCAAATGAAATGACAATAGAGAAGGAAAAGGTTCGATCGTTCTTAAATGAGTGTCCGGTCTCTGGTGGTGTCCCTACACCCTGCTGTCCACTATGACGTTTCCGTCTTTGTCTTTGACCCTGAGCCGTCCTGTTGGGTAGCGTGTTTCCTGCCTGCCGTCGGTGTAGACGGTCTTCACGGTGCCGTCAGGGTATTCTCTCCTCTTGTAGTCTGCTGTGTGGATCTCTCTCTGACCCGTGTTGAAGTGGATCTCCTTGGTGCCGTCTCTGAAAGAGCAGAGACTTGTTAAACTACATGGTAGAAGCTGGTAGGACTGGTTAGAGATTCTCAGTTGAAGGCAGTGAACATGTTTTTTACTCTACTTTGTAAAGCAAGCTTGGGTTCATTTGAAGGCACCATAGAAATTGAAGGAATCATGAAGTGCTGCAGTAAGTAGGGATGGAGCAGCGGTTTTAACTTACAGGTTGACTTGTATGATGGTCCCGTCTGTCAGTACACTCTCCTCTCGACCGTTGGGGTAAAGGTTCTTGATCGTCTGATCTGGAAAGGTGATTTCCTTTCGACCATCTGGGAAATGCTTTTCTGGAGCCGAAATATCAAACGATGTCAATAGTAACTAAAACAATACAGCCATAAACTAAATGAAAACAATACTCCATAGTGAATCATTGAGAAGCTTTTCTCTGGTGGTTAATTTTACTGCTTCATGGTTCACTCACCTGTCTGGTTGTTGGGGAAGTGCAGGACCTCAATGCCATCTGGGTAGGTAATGTGTGTTGTCTGGGCTTCGGCGTAGTAGTAGATCTAAATGTGAGGAGCAGAGCCATTAAAATAAGCTTAGATATGAGCTTAGATATTCAGAATCATGAACTGGGGACATGAACTCCTCACCACTCTCTGGTCAGCTGTGATTTGTTTGGTGTCTCCGTTGAAGAAGGTAACTTTGACTGACGAACCATCTGCAGAAACCTTCTTCTTGGTCCCGTTGGGGAAGGAGATGAGGCGATCTCCACTCGCGAGGACTTGCTCTGTCTGAAGGAAAAACAAGACCAGAGGCTTCGAATCAACAAAGATGAATCTGTGGAGACCGGTGTAAGGCTCTTAAAATCCTAGGAAATAAAACTGACTACTTTTTTGCTCCCTGTTGTCTGTCTGATTAAATCTGAAATTCTCACCCTCACTTTGAGAGCTTTTTACAGTCAGGCTGACTGTCTGGAAAAAAAAGTGCTATACAAGCTACATTTAGTCAACTAACTTGTACAACATTCTCATCAAGGTCTAATTTTCACATGACACACTATCCTGTGTTCTCACCTTCCCATCCGGGTGCGTGATAACCTCCAGAGCTGATTCTGGCTCCTTTGCTTCGCTGCGTTCAGGTTCTTCTAGCTGAGAGTCCGTTTTCTACAACAAGACAAAGTTATTCAATAGGAGTTGTAGAAGCTTAAATGCCTTAAACAACAGTATTTCATGTTTCTTTTGTATTTGTCCACAGATGTGCACAGATTGATTTTACATCAGGAGAGTCCAATGTCTCTTACTGGAGAGTGGTCATGTGACTTTTCTTGATTTGGCTGTTTGTCCTGGCCTTTGCTCGGGGCTGGAGTTAGCTTTTCCTCCTTCCTATTGCCGGGCAGTGAGGAGGAAGAGGCGGTTGAGGAAGAGGAGACTGGTGCTGATGGTTTTCTCAGGCTGCTCTTTATCCCTGCTAACAAGAGAACAAAATTGTCCATTGGTGCAGTTAGAAAACCTTAACTGATAAAGTTTGACACATGACCAGAAGTCTTCATACAGGGCCTGTGAAAAAACTTTGACTCACCTCCCTATGAGCCACAAATCTATCTTTAATAAATGTATCACAATGCAATTAATCTCTATGGAGTTTGAACCTCTTCACTGACCTGCAGCAGCCTGACTGCTCTCTCTGAAGCTCTTTCCAGTCGGTGCAGCTGTGCTGCTGAAAGGAGGACTGCTGCTGCTGCTTCCTCTGGAGTCAAGAGGACTCTGAATGAATGAAAGAACGGGGGTTTAATGCCGTACCACCACCATCAGAAAGTCTCTGAAGATTTATTTTTTATATATTTTAAAAATATTTTGAGATAAATCTACTAACAGGTTCAGGAGAAAGAATCACAAATACGCTTTTTTTCCTACACGACTCTCTTCACATCCTGACCACAGACAGATATTAAAATGATCCAAACATGCTTACAGCAAACTTCACCCCTTTGGTCACAGATGTTAAATTGGTCTCAAACATTTTTGGACCATCTTTAGAACCTTTGTCCTTCTCTGCATCGACCGGGCTTTTTTTCCAGGCACTGAGGCGAAGCTTTTCCAACATCCGGATCTTAAATGAGAAGAGAAGCTTTTCTTTTAAAATCGGAAAAAAAACTAAAAGTGACCACTACCTCAACTTAATCATGATGTCTCATTTCTTGCAGACTAATGCCAACAGATATGGTCTGGTGTTTTTCTGAGTGAAGACCACTAAAATGAAGTTGCAGGTGGATTAGTGGACAAAGACTTTGCAGCACTTGAAGCCTCCAACACTTTATTCCTGACAGAGAGACAAGCTTAGTCCCTACTTCTACTACTCTTGGTCTCTATTTTCTCCCTTTATTATAATGTGACACAGATAATGCCACGCAAAAAAGTCCTTGTATTTAGTTTATTTCAAATCTGTTGTTTTCTCAGGGAAGATGTTGAAAAGAACTTCTTAAAATATTACAAGCAGATTTTGGCTCAGAGTTTGTGAACCTTGACACAAAGCAAGCCTGACAAATTGCAGGTGTGCTCTGGCTCTATGTTTGCAGTCTTCTCACGGACACAGGCTTTCTTTTTTCACCCGCATTATGACTCTAGATCCAGACTGCAGGTGTAAACAGGGTTAAAGTGTCACCTCTTCTTTCAGAGAGCTGTTCTCCTGGTTCAAAGAGTCGATCTGTTGCCGCAGTCGGCCGTGTGTGGAGGCCCAGCGACTCTCCCTCCCCCTCAGCTCCTCATGTAGAGAGTTCAGCTGCTGCCTCAGTACCTGGAGAGAGAACAAGGACAGATTAAAGGGAAGTCCCACCTATTTTAAGATCTGACTCTTGATTACACTGGGGTTCACACAGCTTTGCTAAATCTTCTATGCTTCTTGTGGCTGTACAACACATTTATCTAGATCTGCAATTTGCAATGAAACTAAGATGTGACATGATTATAACATTTGCCATGATTAGAGACTGCCATTGTTAGCCTAAATGGTTGATAAGTGAACTGCAGATCTTAGTTTAATCAGTACGACACCTGGATTTCCTCTCGTTCCTTCTTGTCAGGGATTGCTCTGGCAGCTGTCACGTGTTTCTCAAACAGTTTACGCTCTTTCTGCAACTTCCTGTTCTCTTCTCTCTTGTGCTCTTCAAGTTTGGAGAGCTCTTCGGCCTTCATCTTCTCAAACTCCAGACGCTCCTTCCTAGAAAAAAAAAAAAGATGCATAAGTGGACATAGATACAGGAAGGAAATGCCAAACACGTACTGTAACTTCAACACAAAAATGACAAAGTAGGTTGGTTTTGGTATGATGGCAACAGGCTAGTAGCATAACTATTGTGTTGTCTGGGTTCCTAATGACAAATTCAGAGAAGCTCAGCCTAAGAAGGGTGGGGGGTGGGGGATAAGGGGGCAACTGGGATAATTTTTGTTTGTTTGTTTGTTTTTGTTTTTAACAAGACTGTAAAGCACTTTGAATGGAAATGTTGTTAGCAAGCTTTAAAACATATCACCTGAGATTTTCCTGATTTTTCTCGTTCTCCTGTCTGAGTTTAGTGAGAGCAACGTTTTCCTTCTTAAATCTCTCAATCTCGATCTCCAGTTCCACCAGTCTCTCTCTCAGCTGCCTGGACTGACTCTGTTGACCTGAGAAAACCCGAAAACATAAGTCAAAAGAGAGTTTTTTTGGATACATGATGAAGTTATTTGGAATATCATCGCCATTAACCAATAAACCTGTTTCTTTACCCACAAATGTGCGTCTTTATGAAGCTTTTCTGGCTGTACTGTTGACTTTAAACTGATGTTTGAATTAAATAGGAAAAGTAGACAGCCTCAAGGCGCAGCTGACAACTTGTTACTCACTAACTAATTAGCAAATATGATGCAAAGTGATCTATTGTACCAGGGATCATAGAGTAATATCGGACTCTACTCTTACTGTATAGTAAGTCAAGCTGTGATGTTTCCAAGACCACAAGTGTGTGTCTCCTCCTTACCTGTGTCGTCCTCTGACATTTTGGGCTCAGGAGCAGCAGGACGTGGAGGAGGGGGAAGAGGTGCATTCTGGGTCTTTGGCTTCAGTGAGGGGAAAAGCCTCGTCATGAGCTGGGAGGCCGGAGCAGGATTTGGCTCTTCATTGGCTGACCCCACGTCCATCTCCACACCTTTACTCACTGCCACCTTCCTCTGCATAGTTCTCTCTGACGGCGAGACTGTGTTGGCCGTTACCCTGGAAACTGGACTGAGTCCTCTGCTGTCACTGGCTGAGCTCACTGCAGTGTCCTCCAGGTCGTTCCAAGTGTCATTGTCATCAAAAACAACTCGACCCTGCTGCGTGTCTTGGTCCTCTATCAAAGTGGACTCATCTGCATTGCTGAGGGCGCTATCGCTCTCACCGTCATCAACCTGAGTCAAATCTGACGCCGAGTCTCTGCAGCTGTCTTCATCCTGATACGAGCGCTTATCATACGGCAGGTTAGACTGTGCAGGAAAGCAAAGGGTGCTGGGAAACGATGGTGGCTTACCCTGGTCTTCAAAGTCAGAGGTGCCACAGGCTGAAACGTCAGGGTCATCATGGCTGTTTTCTTTCCTGCGGTCCATCTCATTTACACTCTTACTGCTCAGTTTGTTTTTCTGTGTATCGTCTCTGATCTTCACCACAAACACTTCAGGGTTCACGGTTCCACTTTTGACTGCTAAACAACCACCGCTGCCAATGCTATTGCGTCTCTGAGGTGCGCCTTTAGGAGGAGACTTGATGGGGGTGGAAGAGAGCCGTCGTGGTGGGAGACCCCTGGCTGCTTGCAGCTGGTCCATCTGAAGAACCTTGGAGCACAGAACAGAGTCTTTAAAATCACATGACATTTCCCTACATTCAATAATAGGCTAAACTTTGGTTTGCCAACATCACTTGCTTTATTTTTTGTTCTACTGTTTTACACAAACTTTTGACATTTAGGTTGTGTTGGTGGTTTTGTGCTGCTCTCTGTCTTCTAGGTGTGGTTTCCATTTATGCTTTAACAAGTTTCAATAACTCCCTTCCATGCGCTCCTTTATTTTCTTGTATTTTTTACAGTCTTTTGTAAAATAAATTAAGACAAGAAAATGCTGTATTTGAATAGAATCTTGCATCTTATTCCACCACCATTCTGATCCACACTGCTGTAACCTTAATGTCAAAGTAAAACAGTCTACTAGTGGCATTATGCTTTGATTTTAAAAAGTGTAACTGGCCTCAAATTTAAGACATAGATGTTTAAAAAAACTAATGCACATTTGACACAGACTTTTGTAATTGTGAGTTTTTCTGCAATAGTTGTTTCTTTTTTTAAGGAGGAATTTTATGGCTGGATCCAAATACCAAGAGTACAGAGAGAAAGGAAACAACAAAAGAGGGGAAGGGTGATAACTTGAGATGAAAATCTGGATTACAGCAATCCGATCCTATGTTGTTAGCAAAAACTAGCACAAAAGTCAATTTGATTAACTGACTCCGGATAGACAGATTGATAGGATTATTCTGATCCATCTGATCAGATTCATTAGCTCCAGGGTACAGGATAAAAGGGACATGATACAACCAAGCACAAGTGCCACACTGACATGCACAGCTTTATAGGGCTTGTTACTGCTTCTAAACTTTTAATTTGCAGCTATAAAGAATTGGGTTTCATAACTTACCCTCATGACAAAGGAGGAGTTGGATGAGAAGGACAGTTCTTCTGCTGCTTGCTCCAGCAGCTCAAACTCTCCCAGCTCCACGCTCTCCAGCTGCCGGTCGCAGTCCCAGTGCTTCATCTTCTCCTGGAACGACAGCTCAAACGAATGCTGCGAAACTCCTCCTCTTTCCTTTTCTTCTCCTTCTGACCCAGTTCCCTCCTCTGCCGATTCTTCTCTTGAACCACAAAGTTTCTCTTGGGCAGTGTCCTTTTCAGCTCTTACTGTCCCTGTTAACATGCCCACCTGTTTCGTTACAGGGTTTGGCTGCACGTTGGGAAAAGCTGGAATTGACAAACCCAGTTTCCGATGATTTTGCTCCGGTTGACGTTGTTTGGTGTATCTACTGTCTGGGTTAGTTTGTACAGACTGCTGTGCATCAGTGTTCTGTCTCTGGTGACAACCCAAAACCTTCGTCCGTGCTGCCTTGCTCTCAGCTCTGATATCCTGAGGTGGTGAACTGACACCCTTCGATCTGTTTTCCTTATTGAGTGAAGCCGTTTTACGCTGGATGGGATGTTTCTGGACACCATTAGACCCACCTCCCGGGAAAGATGCAGGCTCTGATTTACTGCGAGGCAGTGCTCTAATCTGAGGTTGTGATCTGGAGTCTTTCTTCGCCTCAGTTTTTGGTGACGTGGCTTTGCGATTGTTGGTAAACCTCGAAAGGCCATCGCCTCGCTTTAGAAAAGCCCTCTTGGGACGAGATTGTGCAGCTTCAGCTCCATCTTGGCCCTGCAAAGGCAATGATACACCAAGTAATGAATATGAAATGTGATGCTTTAAATGTTAAAATGAAAGTGAAACACAGTCATCTACAGAAGACTGGCGGAACATTTTTCACAATGGGTTGCAAAGAGGACCGTCTTACTTAAAGCCCCAGGCTGGAAGATGTTAAGGAAATAAATGACATGAATGGATTGACAAAGATTAAGAATTTGCGGATTGGAGTTTTCAAAGCTGGATTAGATTCTTAAATGCTGTTAGTGTTATAAAGACATTCAGATAGTCTGTTTGTTTGTGTTTTAATCATTCTGTAAATTCTTGCTGATATGACCAGCCCATGTGAGTGTCGGTGGAGTCCTTCAAAATACAACTGTCTTTTTTACTACAGTGGCAGTCAGCATGTATGTCTCTAACAGGTGACAGTGTGAGCCTATTTACTCTCTCTGCCACCCGCTGCAGGTCCTTCTTGGCCTCTGCTGTGAAGCTGCCAAACTGTAGAGTACAGCAGCAGGTCAAGAGGCTTTCAACTGCGGTTCATGAGAAGTTTATCAGCAGGTGTTGAGGAAAGTGAGCTGGCTTCAGCTTCCTGAGGAAGTGGAGTGAGTCTCTGTTGGACCTTCCCCACCAGGCAGGAGATGTTTCTAGTCTAGGTGAGGTCAGCAGAGATACAGAGTCAGAGGTAATTAGATGATTTAATTAAATAGTCTTTTCATTATAAACTCTTAAAAATTTTGAAGCATCCTCTGCCAAGATACAAAGGGATTCTGCCTTTAATCTGCTTTGTTGAGATCCCTGAAAAGACTCCTGTTATAATTTTACATTAAGACAAAGTAGTTTAGGTGGAAAATCTCAGGCCAACATTTTTGTTCTATAGATTCAGCAGGTTAGATCACCTATTATATGGCCCTAAATGTCCTCCACTACTCAGATATCCTCTCACCTTCTGTTGCCGGCTACTTTTCAGTCTCTGCTCCTCCAGCTTCAGCTGCTCCTCTAATAACTCCTCAAACGTTTTCTTCTGATCCCCAAATCCAGACTTTATGGGCCTATTAACAAAGACACACACACAATATCAGACAATGTGACCAAAAAAACACTCATTTAGCTTCTACAACATGAATTGTTCAGGATTTCACTTAATCTTGTGCTAAATATTGAGTCTACCTGTCCTGCAAATCTTGATCTCCTTTTAGTCTTCTGTTTTTATTCAAGGCTTCATTATTCTTTTGTGAGTCGTCGTGCTCATAAAAACTGCTTGTATCCCCGCTCTGTTCTTCATCTTCTTCTCTAGAGTCCCATGGTCCTGAAAATACATAAAAAAGGAGCAGTGGAGGTTATTTAGCACTACAACTCTGTCAACATTTCAGTTAACATTAAATTTGGCTTGTGCAGGCAGCTGTACTCAAAAATGAAAACATACAAGTAAAAAAACTGATTTAATCTTCAGCTCAACAGAATATCCTCACCCTCTGCCTCATCTTCAGTCCCCTCATAACTTGGTTCTCTTTGTTGCTCTGCCTGTCTCCTTGCTAGTGACATCTCTTGTTCCTGGTGGAGGTCATAGGTGGGGCCCTGTTGGACCCTACAGCTGTTCAAAGCGGAGCTGTATGGAGTTCCTGTGTAAAAATAAGCCTCAGTCACGTTATAATATAAGGAGAAAACTGGACAATATAAGAGCTACAATTAACTGCAGAGAAACAGAGCCCTTTGCAGCTATTGCATTTGTCTACACAGTTATTCTCTTGTTTCTGTTTCTTACCTTCTGAACAGTCCTGCGACCCATTCATCATTCCCAGCAGCCTCTGCTGCTCCTCCTGCAGGCGGAGCAGCTCCTCCAACTGATGAGCTTTTAACTGCTCCTGCATGTGCTGCTGCCATTTCTTCAACTGGACGAACAAGAACACAACAATCTTAATCTAAACTGTCATACAGCTAACACGACCGAGGCATGACTCGGATGTGAAACCAGTCCTCTAATAGCTGGATTACATACAATGAGGCTAATCTATTTAACTTGATTCTATGATTACTTTCATTTGCGCCGCAGCGTCATGTGTAAGCTACTTTCCAGGAATCTATCTTATTGGATGAAAGATGGACAGAGCAGTCTTGTACTAGCTTCCTATACAAAATAAAAATCCATTTAAACCTTTGATTTGTTGTCTTTCCAAAATTTTCCATGCAACAAAGGCTTAAAATGATTTGCAAAACATCAAATTAAGGTAAGGTCAGTGCATTACCAGCTAACACACTTATTTAAAGTGCCTCCAAGTGTTTTTAGGGAACTCTAAGGCACTTAACTCTTTCTTCAGCCTTTGTTTACTGGATCTGTCAGAGTAATTAACCGCTTGTAACCTCGAGCTGTCAGTAATTCCATCCCAGTGTTTCACTATGTGCTGATTCATTTGTGTCTGGCTGCCCATCCTAGCCGTCCACGACACAAACTACTGACTGCTTTTAACAGCTTTCAAGTGCTTTCTGCATTGCATGCTCACACTTTCTTTACTATTAGAGTTCTTGCCAGCATAATTAATCTGTCCTCAGGCGGCCTGTACTAATAATAGCAGGTAGAGACAAGAGGTTTGTCTTGGACAGCGTGCAATAGACGTGGGGATGATTAAGTAACTAAGAACTGGTGATATAATCAAAACAGAATTCCCAACTAAATGCTAGAAATCCACATCAACTGATAACCCCACTCAAGTATGTTGTGTGGTATAAGCTTTTAAATCAATTTTATTTAAAAAAAAAAGGTGTTAATCAATATCGATATGTCACTGCAGGCTTTTGCGTTGGAATCTCAGCATCAACAGAGTGTATACAAGCAATCAGACTGGATGTGGACCCTGGGCAAATGTGTCGAACAGTCGAAATCCAATAGTATTTCCAGCAGTATTCTTATAAGTCAGGGGTGTCAAACTCAACCACAGCAAGGGCCATAATCTGGATTTAGGTCTAACCTGAGGGCCAAACAGGGTCAACATTTAACCACAACTGTCAACCTCCATTTCAAAATATATATAACAAAAAAAGCAATGATTATAAATCATTTGGAAATTCAAAAAAGTTCAAAAGATAAGTTTAAAGGCAAACTAAGATAGAAAAAAATATTTTATTTTTCATTTTATTTTTATTTATTAGTTCAAAAGATCAGAACATGATATTAAAAATAGAAAAATAATGCTTTTAAAGAGCAAATATATGAGGAGAAAGTTGAAACCATGTTGAAAGGTCAAAATATTCATTAAAAATTATAAATTGGAATCGAAAGTATAAAAATGACAGAAGTCCAAATACTGAGTTGAAAAAAAATCAACGGATGAAAGAAAAAATCAAATCAAGTTTGACTTGTAATCTTTGGATTCAAAATTGAAAATATGAAATAAAACACCAATAATTTTTTCCCCCACATTCTTGACTAATTTTAAAATCTTCTGTACTCTTTACTGTCCCAGATTTTTGTGGTTTTTTAAGGATGTTTTAAATAATAGTGCTAAAGTTTACATTATTATACTGGAGGAAATCTGCAGACTTCACACTGGTGGGACAATAATAATGCAAATACAAGATGATCTCTTAAACCAGATAAAATTGTTGCACAGGCCAGATTTGGCCCCCGGGCCTTGAGTTTGACACCTGTGTTCTTTAAGTATTTACTTTTGCAACCGCTTACAGGTGAGTCACACAAGATGTAGTCTTAGGAGAAACACTAAGGTAATGGAAGATGACAGATAATGGAATGTAGTGTGTCTTTACCTGTTGCAGCTTCATCTTTAGAGGCAAATCTCTTGATGTGTTTGCCATCTCATCCAGACTGTCCAACTCTCCATTTGAAGTCCTCATAAAACCAGATTGCACCCCGTTCACTGGCCTGTCAGACCCAGCCTTCACTATTCCAGGTGACTGTGCAAATCCATCCCCACCTATGCAGCTGCTGTCTGCAGAGGCTGGCAGAGGGGCAAAATCTGAAGCAAACGAGTCGTCTGGCTCCAGGGGAGGGGATCCCCCAGCGGAGTTGTGGCGCATGGAGCCGGCCAAGTCCGGGCAGGGTTTAAGGATCACCCCGGCTCTGGTGCTACTTGGCATCCACCTGGCCAGGAAGTCTGCCTGCGTGAAGTGTAGCCCGGCTGGAGATGACATGATGACCGCGCTGTCTCATGCAGGGCTCGCTAATCCGGGATTTGAGCGACAGATTATAGTGACAGGTTAGAGGTTAATCACACCGTGAATAAACACTTGCTCTGACTTAAACGGTGCCAAGACAGCTAAACATAGTGAGCAGTTGGAGTTTAAATAACAGAGGCTATAAATGATCATCTTGTTTTGGCCGTTAGCTCAAGGAGTGTCACGGCAGCAGAGAGTCGGTTTAAACCGAGTTTGTTTGGTTAGCAACAACAAAACATCTCAAAGTAGGAGATGAGACCGAAATGGCGAAAACAGAAGTGGTGAAACAGAGGGCAGAACATATGTTAATGCAATGTTAAAATTAATCCCCAAACATATACTTTCGTGTTAATCAAATATTGATGCATTTAAAAGGCAGGGATCTTCGACGATGTTAGCTACAATAACACAAAGGCAAAAAGTTTTAAAATGTAGTTTTGTGACATTGTGATGCAGCATACACATTTATTAAAACTGTCGGAGGGTATAAAACACATGTTTTACCTTTGACATAGGTGAATATAGATGTTTTGAGTGTTAAATCTTCCAAAGTAGAAACATAACAACAAAAACTTTCGAAGCCTGCCGCCATATCAAAACAAAGCCCGCGAGAGTAACAGGCGTCGTCGAAAAGTTTGTTGTTGGATTGTGGGTAATGTAGTTCAGATGCTTTTGCGGTCCAAATTCCAAAATTTTGAATACCTTTTCATAGCGGAAAATATTCGTTTCAGATAAATAATCAAATAATTTCCAGTTTAACTGCGAATTAATGAAATAAAATAGATTTTTTAAAATCTTGGTTTGATTGAGTTGCATCCACCATGTTGGCGCATTGCTGCCACCTACTGTTGCGGAGTTTTATGATGTTTTATTGCCTCCACTTCTCTCTTCAAGAGAGAAGAAGGAAAAAAATAAGAATCTCTCAACCTTCTTAACCTTTCACATTTATTTCTTCTTACAGTTTGGTTTATATTGCCACCGTAACAGTAAACTCGTACACTTTCATTACAGCTGTAGAATCATATCCGGTATAACGGCCGCTAGTACGTATTTTTCACAATAAAGGTCACTTAGTGGAGAAAAACGCCATCTTACATCGATTTGAGTTCGTATTTGGTAAATTCTTACTATCAGCGGCCTTCACTGAGTAAGTATATACGTTTTCACCAACGTCTAATATTTGACACTTGTTGCTGCTTTAAATAACTCAGACATTATGATTTATTCTGATATCCCATTACCGGATGTCTTTTCTGACAGCTGTGATTGGTTGATAGGAAAATCAAATGTCATGTGCTGTTGGTGACTGGGCACTGGCAGACTGGGCGAGTTAGCACAATGGAGAAGGTTTTATGTGATGTTCACGGTAAGTTGTCTTAAAGTAATTATTGTGAATGTTTATTTCGAACGGAAGAGTGTGATACTGTATATCAAGAGGTCAATTTTACGTTTTACTTTAAAACGCTTATGAAGTGCATGACAGTGCAGTTTGTTCCAACGGTCCAGACAACGTTCACTGTTTAGTTGATCAAACCCTCTTGACCTGTGTTTGGCAGCTCTCTTGTTACTTGGTTTAATCTGTAGGTTTAATTGTCTCTGTCCTACCACAGACAGCTTGTGTATGCTGAAAACGGGAGTTAAAGATGGAGCAAATAAAGGCAAAAGCTTCTACGTCTGCGTTGACAAGCAAGGCTGTGATTTCAGCCAGATGACAAGGTATTTCCACTCTTCTGTCTGTTGCTTTTGATTTAACTTTTGCTTTCGAAATATACAGTACCCAGCTCTAAATACCTTTCTTGTCATAGTGATGGATTTGTGGATTTACATTTGTCATCTCCCCTAGCATTTCACCATCCCTCTGCCTCCATCATGAAGATTCAATGGTGGAACTCCAAGCGCTTACCTACAATCAACAAAAACAGAGCCACAGGTTAGTTTGTTGGGGTTTATGTTTCATACTTTTACATGCTTTTAGCTGTTCAGAGAGAGGTGATAGAATTCTACCCTGTCATACTCCATTCATACTTTGAAGGCTGTTGTGTGTTGTCAGTATGTTTTTCCACTGATAGACATTTGAATACCATCAGTGTATATATAAGACAGAATGATAGCCACAATCAATTACTATCTGTATGCTAAAAGGATGAGGATTGTGCTATGGTATAATTTTTCACAATATTTAGTTCTGTAAACTTAAAATGAGAAAATGGTAAACATTCCTAGTTAGGAAATAAAGTTATGCAACAGAGATCTGTGAGGAGGTTTACATCATATCAAACACCATGGGCAGTAGGCTTGTGGTCTTTGTCAGTAACAAAGTAGTTGTGTTAATGGATTTTTTTTTTCTATATAAGAGATAGATTAGTGTTGATTCAGAACCCCCCAGGTTAACTTAGAAACAACAACATAAAGCATGTGGCTGGTGGCTCTTAAGTTAATGGGTAGCATATGTTTTCAAGACTGCTCAGAACTGAATTTTGAGACTGCAAAGAAATCAGAGGAGAGTGAGATAGAAAGAATGGCGTCTACAACTCTTCAAACGAAGTGTCAAGCAAATGGGTTCAGGTGATCCTGTTGCAAACCTACTACAGCTAGATTAGGGTTAAGGTTGATTTTATGCAAAACGAGTTACATAAAGTCAGCTGTGAACAGAAAAATCAACCATCACATCCAGTTATTAAACTGGGCCTCTGACTCTAATCCATAGACTGTATATAAGTATATAATCTTATATACAGTCTATGCTCTAATCTCATTCTTACTTTCTAGGTTGTTCTTCAGGTGTATTGAGGGCAAAAAGGCCGGCCAGAGGTGGTGTGGAAATGTGCCTTGGAGTGCGGTAAGAAAACACTCAGAGTACACAGCACAATGTAACCTACCATATCAAGTACTGATAATCTATAGAAACACATTTAAGATACAAAGATATCCTGCTGTGTTTTTTTATATTACTGGGTATTTTTCGTCAATTCCAAAACTATCTAGATCCAGATTTGGGGTCCAAAACATACAGCTATATGTCAGAGTTTTTCATTTCGAATAGAAAAACACAACTTTGGAGCATGGCAATAATGGAGGAGGCTACCAGGGTGCAGCAGAGGAGCTTTAGTTATGTAAAGCTGCTAAAAAAGCTATCAGAGGGACAATACACAGACTGAAATTAAGCATTATACACCCTCTCTCCTCCTTGCTATTATCCTAATTTTCCTTAGAGCCTGAATATAGGTTTATAAGTTGACATGACCTCACTCCCTATCTTGCTGAGACAATTTTTAATCACTTTCTTCAAAAGTAATGGCCATCCACTCTGATCAGTAACGTGTCTTTCATCACTGCAGCCAGAGAAAGAAAATAGAAACCCTCGGTTAGACACACAGCAGCCATCCTCCTGTCTGCCACCTGTCAGAAACCCCTTCAAAGTCCCTGAAAGGACAGACAAGGACTCTGAGTGGAAAAAGCTGCAGTGCAGTGGAGGCAATGAAAGAAGAGAGGACAGAGAGAGTGAGCCAAACCAAGAGGCAAAAGGAGGAGACACTCATCCAAAAGAAAGAGAGGAGAGTGAAGCTGCAGGGGGAAAAGACAACAAGGACAGAAAGCCACATTCATCAGATACTTACAAAGGTAAACAACTTCCAACTGGGATGAAGGTGAAGAAGAGAGTTTCAGATGAGGAGAGACACAGTCCTGATGCCCACAGATCAGAAAACACTAGAGAGGAGATACAAGACAAGGATGAAGAAAATCACACTGAGCGGGTGGATAAAACATCCTCTGCTGTTAAGAGTGTTCATCCTGAGAAAACGAATCGGACCACTCAGGATCCTGACAAACCCACTGAGGGAGAAACTCACCTGGTGAAACAAGCTAACCCTGCTGTAAAAAAAAGGGCTTCCGAATCTGGTGCCAGTACAAACACCAAGCCTTTAAGAGACCCTGATAACACCAGGAACCCAACATCTAATGAGACATCACCACCAGACTCCGGCCAAATCAAAAACCAACAAGAGAAAGATGACAAGGATGATGATGATGATGATATAGTGTTGGTGTCAGTCAAACCTGCTCCACAGAAAACTCCTGTTTCAGCCAAGCAAAAACCCCTGACTGCCTACCCAGGGTTCAACCCAGTCTCTAAGACTGTGGGTCAGCAAAACGATCCCAGAGGCCTGCACAGCCTGCTCACTGCTCAGCTACAGCAGAAAAAGGTGAGTTAGAGACCCATGTTGTTATCTTTAGTATTTTTATAAAGACAAATTTTATATTTTCTTAATTCATCATGCAGACATTTAACATTTTTAAGCCATTTTCCATTTAATTTCTTATAATTGTGGCTATAAGATCATGAAAATCAAAATTCCTGATGGTTGCCTCCAGTTTATCCAAAATATTCGAAACCAGGTTATCTGTTTGGCCTGCTACTCTTACTTTGAATGATCTGTCTAATATTGGCTTGACAGGGCGCCACAAGCTGGTCTCACAGCTACTGACAGTTGCTGTTTTAGATGATCCTTATATCAAGAGTATCTTTAGTATTAAGCTGTTTGCGATGCCAATGTCTATAAAATAAAAAAGTAAGATCACAAAGAGCATTTACGAGTGGAGTTTTAACAGTGGATACCAATGCCAATATGTGAGAAGCAGGTCAAACAATGGCTGATAGATAGTATCACACTGTTGTTGTTTTTGCACTTGGCCTGGCAGATTAGCTGGTCTATCTGTAATGGTTACTAAGCTCAGTCAAAAAAGAATTTAAAATGTATATCGCAACAGCAAAATATAGACGATCTTGATTTGACTTTCAAATTAAAGAAGCAGTGATCCTTCGGGGGCTTTCGCTGGTCTTTTCTGTGTGTTTTGTCATAAACCTCACATTTTTCTGATTGCTGTCTAGGCCACTCTGTCTGTGGTGAACGTGTCGGCTCTCCCAGATAAAGGGGAGAGGTTGAGGAGTCAGGTCAAAGAGCTGGAGGATGCATTAGAGTCTCTGAGCCTCACTGCTTCTTCTCAGCCTGGTAAATTTAGTCTCTTATAAATGTCAATCATCACACTCTTTCACACTGAGCCCATAACTGACTATTACAACTTTAATGCAGAATCACTTCCAGAGTCCCAGGGTGCAAGTAGCAGCCAGGTTAACCCTTTCAGTCGGCAAGGTGGAACCATACTGCTCCCTAAACCCCCAGCTCCAGGCCTTTTTCAGCACCAGGCATCTGGCAGCTCCTTTGGGCTTCAGCCTAGCCAGGGATACACCTATGGCATGTATGGAGGTAAGACATTTCTGCACGTGTTTGGCTTCTTTCTAAGATTTCTGTTCAGGCAGTATGATTCCAGGATGAGATTTAAAACTTTAATTCATGTATTTCAGTTTGCCTAAGAGGTGACTATCTTTCCTTTCCAACATGCAAGCTTAATTCTATTTTCATTCCAACTGTTCTTGTCCAGACAAAGCTTCTGTATAAGTGTTTTTATGTAAAAGTTGTCAAAAAAATCTATGACTCTGAATTCTTTGGATGTCCAGCAAACGCACAGGTGCAGGCCTTTTATGGAGGAAGGATGACAGAGGACCGTCTGCTGGCGGTGAAAAATGCAACCTGTGAGGCCATCGACCATCTCCACAAATCTCTGGAGTCCTGCCCAGACGGCGAGGCTGAAGCTCCAGACCCCAGGGGTGTCAAGGTTACCTGCTACTTTGGTTTTTCATTTAGCATTCACTAACAGATCTGACTGCAGTAATGGCATTTTTACACATATTCCACCATTTCTTCATACTTGTGTGTTGCTAATGCAGCACATTGTTCTGTTTTAAACCAATAATACTCCTGTGCGCAAAGCCTGCTCTATGAAATGTTAATTGTCATGTCTGTTCCTACAATGTTTTGAGAATTATAGCAGTGGAAAAATGCAGTGGTTTAGAAAAAGTAGTGAGCAATCACTGGGTCACTATAGACCTATAAAGGTCTTTCTGAAAGTTTGTAGTTTTTGAGGGAAAATTCCAATATTTTCACTTAAACTCAACTTGACAAATGATTATTAAAAATAAGCACCTATTGACTCTGAAGTGATGCACTAGTAACATTTTCTTTTTGTGTATCACTCAGGTGACACTCTTAGCCCATCAGAGGAGAGCTTTGGCCTGGCTGCTCTGGAGAGAAACTCAAAAGCCCTGTGGAGGAATTCTAGGTATAATTACAGGGTTTTGTTTTGTGTTTGAAATAAATCCTCTTTTTACTCTGAACAGTCAGCCCAGTCTTTTGATTTGCAAGGAACCAAATTTACATACTGTAATTGTTTTGTGTTTTTCTCTCTTTGTTGACACAGCGGATGACATGGGTTTGGGAAAAACCCTCACCATGATTTCTCTCATACTGTCAAAGAAGGTGAAGGAAAAGGAGGAGGAAGAAAAGAAGGAGGAGAAGAAGACAGACAGTTGGATTTCCAAAACTGGTCATTTGAGCAGTTTTTTTCCACTCTTTTTGTTTTTTGAGATGTTACGATTGTATATTATATAAAGCTTACAAACCATTTTGATTTGATTTAGACAGTACACATATTTTTACCTTCATTTTGGAGGTAAATTTGAGTTTCAGTCTCTTTGTCTCTTTGTTTGTTGATCATGCAGACTCGAGCATCGTGGATTCTAAAGGCACTTTGATCATTTGCCCCGCCTCTCTGGTCCACCACTGGAAGAGGGAGATCGACAGGCATGTGAAGACTGGGAGGCTGACCGTGTACCTGTACCACGGCCCGAACCGTGAGAAAAGTGCCAGAATGTGAGGAACCATGCAAACAATCACAAATCTACACCCCAATTTAATCTCCTGTTTGTTCTGCCCTCTGCCTTAATACCAAGCCTCCAGATCTTCTATAGAGAATAGAGGCAAATATTAAACATGAGCCGTACAGATGCCAAAAAAACAAGCAATTTCACACATTATTTCAGGAGACATTTTAAAAGGGCTTTTTGTAGAAATCAGACAAAGTTTTTTACAGACAAAAAAACAATCAGAAGAACAATAAAAAGCCTATTTTAAACCCTTTTGAAACACCCTCTCTGTCCCTTAGACTGGCAGATCATGATGTGGTTGTGACAACCTACAGTTTGGTCTCTAAGGAGATCCCAGTCCAGAAGGATGAGGCTGAGAAACCCGTCAAAGATGCTGAAGAAAAGGTTAGTATTACTTATGATTGTTGTAAAGCATCATCTCTGTTTACTTTATGTGCCTCAGTGTTTCAGCTTATGAGTCTGCAGGATGTAAATACAGAAGATGCTGACAGCTGATGCATGCCGGTGATCTTTGACTCTCAATCTTAAGATCTTGGCCGTATGTTCACATCATCCTCTGTTGCTCTTCTCAGCCACCAAGCTCGGCTCCTCTTCTGCGAGTGAGCTGGGCACGGGTGATTCTGGATGAAGCCCACAACATCAAAAACCCCAAAGTCCAAACCTCCATGGCTGTCTGTCAGCTGAGAGCCCGAGCACGCTGGGCTGTGACCGGCACACCCATCCAGAACAATCTACTGGACATGTACTCACTGCTCAAGTAAGACAAAATTCTGAGAATACAAAAGTTTCAAGGCTCTTCATTTGTAGAAATGCTCCCACTGTTTTACCTGACAGGATTTAAAGAAATGAGATGCTGTTTTACAAAATGTCTACCTCTCTCTGTCAGGTTTCTGCGCTGTGCTCCTTTTGATGAGTTCAAACTGTGGAAAGCTCAGGTGGACAACGGCTCCAAGAGAGGTAGAGAGAGGCTCAACATCCTGACAAGGACTCTGCTGCTCCGAAGAACCAAAGATCAGCGGGACACCACAGGAAAACCCCTGGTAGGGAGAGAAGCACACCTTGGATTTTGTCCTAATGAAGACATCACATCGACAACAGTCATTGTAACATTTAATGTTTCAGGTGTCGCTCCCTGATCGGACCTGTGAGGTGCATCAGCTTAAACTGTCCAAAGACGAACAGGCGGTGTATGACGTGGTTTTTGCTCAATCCAGGTAACATTTTTTATTTTTTCATTCAAGATTTGATTAACCAATGAGAAATGTTTTTTATTGTAACACTGAAAGGTATTCTGCTCCTTTTTTTGTAGATCCACTTTACAGAACTACCTAAAAAGACATGAAGGAAACGACTTGAAAAAGGGAAACACTTCCAGTCCTAATCCCTTCAACAAAGGTGAGAAAAAAAGACACCTGAATTTGGTACAGTTCTCAGCAGGCAGTTCATACTTTAGTGACAGTTGTGACCAAGATAATATAATATACTATAATGTGTTTTCCCCCGGAGACTGAGCGTGGTTTTTTTTTTTCTTCATTTTAAGCAGGGGAATTTTTTTTTTAATAGTTGTTATGAGAAATTAATGTCACAAAAAGCTAAAGACTACAAGACATTTGCTCTTATTGATATGAGAAGTGGACACACAACCTACTTTCCTCTCTGTTAACCTTGATGTGTCCTTATATGTCATATTTGTCTATTTATAAAACTATATAGAGAGTATAACAGACATCTAATACAACTATTTTAGTCATTTATCAGGTAGGTTAATGAAGTCTGACATTTTGCCTCAATTTGAGCTGAATGCTAATTTCAGTGTCGCTGAAACTGGTGTCTTTCTGTATCCTCTCTCCAGTGGCCCAGGAGTTTGGTATGTCCCAGTCTGACACTGCCCTGTCAAATTCCCAGCCGTCCCAGCAGGCGTCCAGCACCGTCCACATCCTGTCACTGTTGCTGCGCCTGCGACAGTGCTGCTGTCACCTGTCACTCCTGAAGAAGGCACGCTCTGCAAATGCTTGCCAGCTCTAACTGTATTCTCACATACCTGAATGCACTCAACCTAATTTATGTGTCTTTCCTCAGACTCTCGACTCAACAGAGCTGCAGGGTGATGGGATCATCTTGTCTTTGGAGGAACAGCTCAATGCTCTGTCACTCTCCTCCAGCCCCTCACCATCTTGTCCTGACCCCAAAGACACCGTGGCTCTTAACGGCACTCGATTCCCTTCACATCTATTTGAAGACACCAGTGAGAGCTCCAAGGTAGGCAGCTTCAGACTGGACAATGACAAATAGGTGCAGGGCAATCGAATTAACAGCAGGAGAGACAACAAGACTTGTGGATATGTGGAATGCAACCACACTCTCTTCCCACCAGTGTTTCCTAATCTAAACCACGAAAACAAACAATGTTATGATGGTATTGTACTCATCAGACTGTTTCGTAGAAAGGGTGAGTGTTCAGGCTTGTCCTCTGTTGTTGATGAGGACCACTGCTATATTTTCCAAATTTTGTATGTATCAAAAGTGCCCTCCATGGCTGGAGTACAAGTGGTATCATAGATGTGGTTTTGAAGAGATCTCATTGGGGGTGAGAATGACCAGAGACTATTAAGAGAGACAATTTTACCCTCTTTGACCACAACTTTGATTTAAGGGTCTTGAAATACTGCAGTGAACAGTGTCTGCATGGACAGTACATGTGCAAATAAGTGACTTTGGGTGGGCTCACATTTATGAAGATAATGACTGGAGAGTTTTTTTACATCTGTGAAATAAAGTGTATATTTATCCCTTTTTATGTCCAATTAAAACATGAATTGTAATAAAGTGTTTTTTAAATTATTATTTTAATTATAACCAGGCTGTAACACTGATGTTATTTCTTTCACACAGAGATAAATTGAAATTTTTGCCTTTATTTTCAGATTTCAGCCATTATGACCGAGCTGAAGGCCATCAAACAGAAAGGCGCTGATCAGAAAAGGTAAAACATTTTAGTCTAACAGTCACCTGACTCTCAGTTTGTCCTTCAGCTGTATTCAAGATGTGCTTAAGTGTCAGTAATCTTTTATTCTGTCAGCAAAAGTTTGAACGCACTTCTCTGTCAGACAGAAACATCTGCCAAATAACTTCATGTTAATCTTCTCTTTCCACCACATCGTTTAAGTTTTTCTCAACAGAGAGATGGAAATGTTGATGCTCACATTAATGCTTTCTTGGCTTTTAGAGAGCTTCTCCTGTGGTCTACTATCATCTGTTAATGTTACAATCATGTGTGTAACCCATCTGGTTTCTCCTCTCTGTTAATGCTTAGTGTGATCGTGTCTCAGTGGACCAGCATGCTCCGCATCGTAGCAGTTCACCTGCAGAGGATGGGTTTGAAATATGGAGTCATTGACGGGACTGTGAACCCTAAACGCCGCATGGACCTGGTGGAGGAATTCAACACTAACCCTAAAGGAGCACAGGTAAAACCCAAGCCAGACTTAGTGATGTAGGTTTGAAGACTCGAGAGATATTAATTTACATTGGTATGATGGACTATTGTGGGGGGAAAGAAGCAATGTTCCGTTTTTGTAATTTACTTTAAGAATGGAACAGATATGTTTTTAAGCCACTGATAAATTATTGAGATGGATTGGCAGCAAAGTTGTGTAGCATTGTATATTTGAATTCATGAAACACAAATGTGAGTTCATATTTCTGTTTCCTTGCTAAAGGTGATGCTGGTTTCTCTTTGTGCTGGAGGAGTTGGACTCAATCTTATCGGAGGGAATCATCTCTTTCTCATTGATATGCACTGGTGAGGGACCTGCATTCAAACTGTAACAAAAGACAATAACTGCTGATATTTGTTCCCCAGAGGGTAATGGGGACTCTTCTAAACAGTCTTTTTATTTTTTTATTCATTGATCCTCAATGTATCTTCCACTTAACTTCCATTGAATGATGCTATTAGGCGCATTGTTTGAAACTTATCCTACACAAAAACTGAATAGAATTAGTGTTTCAAAAACCATTTAAACTGTTTCTTCAGGCCCTGTTTTGCAGTCTTTCTTAAATTTCCTTAAAGAGGAATTGTCTGTTAAATTCTGCTCTTGAACCACGTAAAGTGTTTAAATTTTAAAGTCCTCTCTCAGGCAATAACTGAGTTTGGTGCTTTTTTGCTGTATTGTGAATATTAAGGAGTACTGTAGCATGGTTATTATTAAAAATAGTTTTGTTTTAACCACCCTGAATTTGACAGGAACCCAGCTCTTGAGGATCAGGCCTGTGACCGAATCTACAGAGTCGGACAAACTAAAGATGTCACCATTCACAGGTAATGAAACTGAACACGAACATTTGATGTGTGTGTTTGGATTCTGTTGTTAACTGTTATTCTCAATTGGGTGGTTGCAAATAAATATTAACATCAGTATACACAAATGATGATTTCAACTAGCTGAGTGTTTTACCAAAACGGTACCTAAAAAGAGATCATGTTTTTATTTACATGTAGGGAAGAAGTACTTATTTAGAGTGGAACAGTTTTATTAAAGTTTTAGAAATCTAGGGTTTTGAGATTGTGGTATATCTTGTTTTCATTGCATGTGTTTTTATTGTCATTTCTTTCCAGATTTGTGTGTGATGGCACCGTGGAGGAGAAGATTTCAACACTGCAGGGGAAGAAGAAGGAGCTAGCCCAGAACGTCCTGTCAGGAACAGGAAGCACCTTCACCAAACTCTCCCTGGCTGACCTCAGAATCATTTTTGGTGTCTGAGACAGAAAAGTTAAGTCAAACCCCTGGTGACACCAGACAGCTGCTTATTCAAATGCTCAGGTCATAAAGGATACAGCTCAGACGATTCTATAACACTTGAAGTAAGATTTCTAAACTTGAAGTATGCTTATGCACAGTAAAAATGCCATAAATGAAAACTTCTTCAGGTCCATATATTATCTAAGTTGAAGTACACAGGTCAAAGCAGACACAAAGATCTTTGTACTGCTCTTCTTTAAAATTGTGTTTTACAGCCTTTTGTGCTACAATATGCTGCAGTATATGTTGCAAGTTTTAAGACATGTATTTATTTATGCATGTATGCATTTTTTTTTTTAGCTTTTATTAATAACACTGAATTTTTCTCTGTAAATTCAGATCTTATTTTCCCTTTTTTTTGTGTGTGTCCACTAGTTTTATGTCCTATGTTTTATTGTTCTTTTTAAATGTGATGTGTAGTCTAAAATGATTATGTTTCAATAAATTTGATTTGTTGCAGTTATGCGAGTTGTGGTGCAAGGACATGAAATAAAAAGATTATGGATTCAAATTTAGCAATGATTGTTCAGAGCTATTTGTTACTTGCAAAGTGTGCTGTTTATATATACATTTTCCGTAAATATTATGGCTTCAAAAATTGATAATCCTTCTGCATAGAATGATGCTTCCTTTTAAAAATATATTGAATGCTCTCTAAAATATTTAGAATAGATTTTGACCATATACATTAAATGGTTTCATTAATGTCACTTGGCTTTAAGCAGAATACTCTATACTCTGGGTTAGTTTTACATGTTGAGAGGATTTTTTTTTTTTGTCATATTTCTGTTGGTTCAGCTCTGCATTTAGTCCACCATGTTTTCATTGCCCTCTCTTTTTGTCCATGCTGCTTTCATGAATCTTCGGAGTTTTCAACTCCAGTTTCTGAAAGGACGGCACAAGACAGTAACATGAGAAATAAGAAATACGTCCAAAATTTGCGATGCTATTTATAAAGGCTGACTTTTAAGACATTTAATGGAGACATGTCTGTTGGAGAATATTTACACATAGCATCAAATATACCATTCATAAGAGGATGCAATAACCCTCTTGTTTTTGCTTTATTGTATAGATGAGCATCGTGTTTGGTTTTCTTTTTTCTTTTTTGATGGGTAGCAAATTTCTGTTGCGTAGCATACGAAAAATGTATATCATTCGCCAGCAATTCTTCGCCTAAACAACAAATATTGTTAAGATGTATTATAAATACAATAGTGGTATGCGACTCCGAGGTTCAGGGTAGCATTTGAACGCATCATTGTAAGAGCGGGCGGTAGCTGGTCTACTCTGTACCCCTGTGAGCTGCAGAGCGAGTGCAGTAACTACAGCCAGGTACGCTAGCGTCCTGCCTCTCTAACCATACAGCCAACGCGGCCTTTACGAGTGCTAAATCAAAAATAGCTCATTTTTAGCACCAATCCGCAGCCATGGCGGCTGAAGCGGAGAAGGTAGAGCCTGGAGACAGCGAGCAAGACGAAGGAGAAGATGTGTACGAAGTGGAAAGGATCATTGACATGCGGGTGGAAGAGGTAAAGCTAGCTAACTGCTACTTAGCCTGCTGGCTAGCTTTGGCAAATATGGCTGGCATTGCTTTCACTCCACTCTCACGACGCATAGCCCACCTACAACGCTGTCTTGACATTAGTAGCTGTTGTTACGCATGTGGTCAATTGATTTGAGATGAATATCAATGCATTTTACTGCTCGTGTATCTCTTATTCACACGCGACTCTTACTGTTGTGCCGAAGCTCTCAGCTTCTTTTCTGAACAACTTCTCCCATGATGTCCGCTCGCCTCTCCCCTGCTGGGGCCAAGGACGGACGGTCTGCAAGCTTGCAAATAATCGCAACAACACGCCTCTTTTCCGCCGGCACAGAAGTATTAATAAACTCAATGAGAAAATAATGCGTTTCTTGATAGCTGGTACGCTGACTAGATGGAGAGATTTGGCTAACGGTTAGACGTAGAGTTAACGTAACTCTTACCGTTACTTCCCTAACGGCTTTAAGTTACGTTACTGTTCTGGCACAAAATCAGCTCTACATTAAACCTGTGTGTGTTGATTTAAAGTCAGTTAGACGTTTTAACCACGTCTTCTCGACGTTAAAAATCAGTAATGTAACTTTTACTTGTCCGTTTGCTGTGATAGGCATTGATAATCCATGTGGTTCGGCTGTTATTAAGTTATTAGTTAGATTTAGGCTACTGTACTTGTATTCAAGAGATACTCATCCCACTGAGTTTGTATTATTACTGTTTTGCTCAAAGGAATAACTCATTTTTTCTCTGTTCTGACACCCAATGCTACACCAGGACTCTCAAAATGTAAGCATGGTATCCCTCTCAATATCTTGTTAGGCCGATTCCATGTGCTCCTTGATACATTGTCACCTATCCGATATATTAATGGTACATAAGCAGCAACCTACGATTAAATCTGTTATGTTTGACTAGGGATGGGAATCGAGAACCAGTTCTTGTTGAGAACCAATTTCAAAATGGTTCAATCCATTGACATCATTTACATTTCATTTTAATGATACCCTTAATGATTCCTTTCTTCTGGGTGAGATCCAGAGTATGGTCACCCTGATTTGACTTAATACGATCAAGTAAATGTTGTACAAATAGTTTATCGTTTGATTATTTTTAGGCTACATCTTTTTCTGTTATCAAACACTCAAAAAAAATTTGAGTTAACATTGAAAACTTATAGTGTACTTTTTTTAAATCAAAGAAAGGCATTGATAAAGGAATCGATAATGAATTGAATTGATAAGCAGAATCTTTAATGGCAACGATATCGATAAAATCATATCAATTCCCATCCCTATGTTTGACAACATGATCATGATGCCATGCATTCAACCAAGCTGCAGCCATTAGTTTTGGGCATTGAACAAATGTCCTTTATTTGGAATTTATCAAGATATTATGAATAACCAGACTAGCTCTTTCCTTCGACTGTTTTTGAGGAGTTAGTTTCAGAATCACGAATTCTCTTCTGAATTTCTTTTAAACTCAAGTTTACAAAGTCTTGCTACATAGCAATTTTCACACTTAAATATTAACTAGACCACCACGTGAATGCATATGGAGACAGTGCTGTCATGTGTTTATGTGGGGGTGGGAAAGAGGTGGTGTTTGTTTTATCTTTGAGTGCAAGGTCTTCCTACACACTGTTTACATCCCCTGTGATGGTTTACATAAGTTTCAATTATCAGAATGTCCCTGCTTTTAGAGACAAAAATAAAGTTGGTTTGTGATATGAGAGGATTAATGGGGGTTCAAAGAACAGATGACTTAATGCTGAAGAATTATTGCTACAGGACGAAACTGTGCTTTGCTGGACTTCCAAAGATCTTTGAGTGTGCACAATGACCATTTATTAAAAGAGGAAAGAGCACTGATATATACAAAAAAGATATGAACCATCTTATGAAACTGTTCAATATTTTATTTAATCTTTCTGTCAAAAGTGAAAATGTTGGATACGTTTTTTTCACCTTTTCTGAACTGAGCCTTTTAAAAAACTGAGACGTGTTTACAAATGCAAAAGAATCAAATTGAGGAGCTTTTCTTTATTAATGCTTAAATTTATTGAAATTCGTCGACATTTTTTTGAGTTTGATTGTCTTAATTGATGTTAAACTCTTTTGAAAATGTAGTACACAAGAGGCAAAGAAATGAGTGTTTAAATTGTGAACATAATCCCTCTGTTTTGATATCACAAGAATTTGAGAGTTAAGGCCTACCTACCTTTGTGGGAAGATTTGACTAATAGCTATTTGGATTGAAGTTGAAGGTCATGTGATGAAAGAGGTACTCTTGTTATGATCAGCCCCACTGAGCTATTAACACACTCTGCTTCACATGAGCTCAATGCTGGCTTTAGATTATAACAACTCTGTTGAGAGTCTCCTGAGGGTTTTTACCACCTGCTCAAAAAATTCCAGAGACATGAATGAGAGTGTCGGACTAAAATATAAACAATTGGGCTGTAACTCTGTCCTATCAACATGTCTCAGCAGATGTTGGCACAGTGCCAATGTGATAGCTCTGAGTAAAAGGGGGAAAAAGCACAATAGGAGTGCAAGTAATGTAGAGGTGTAGTGAGACAGAGCTTTATACCAATTACATCCACAAAATTCAACAAAAAGTGTCCCATCACCATCTCAGGTTGTTGTGGAGAAAATGCTTTCGCTTCACATTTTCTTTGTCGGTCTGTTTTCAGGGTGAAGTGCTCTACAGAGTGCGATGGAAGAACTACTGCTCTGACGATGACACCTGGGAGCCAGAGGCCCATCTGGAGGATTGTCGAGAGGTCCTTTTAACTTTTAAGAAGGCCATGGCTGACATTAAGGCCAAGAAGGAAGCAGAAGCCAAGAAGAGCGTGGTACGTTTAAGTGACAGTTTACACAACAAGACTGACACTGTGTCAACCAAAACAATAATTGATGCTCCACAATGTTTGCTTTTGTTGATTATAGCTTATAAGTATGAGTGACTTGTATTCTTGTTGTTTGCTAAACTAAATCTTGCAAATGAGCTTAACAAACATCGTATGGTCGTAAAGTATCGTGTTTCTCACACTGTTGTCCTTTAGAAGGTGCTGCCAACAAAGAGTGACGTGTTCGATGCAGACTCCGAGAGCGACAGTGACAAAGATCGTCCCATCGTGACACCTGTCAAGAAGAAGAAGAAGAAGACAAAGAACCGAGAGGAAGAGGAAGAAGAGGAAGAAGAAGAGCCACTTCTCAAGGAGAAGAAGAAAAAGAAGAAGAAAAAAGAAAAACGGAAGGATGATTTCAGGCCTCTCCCAGCACCAGAGTCAGATGAAGACGAAGAAGAGAAAGCCCTGACTCCAACCTCTCCTCCTAAGGAGAAAAAGACTGACACAAAAAAACAGCTGGTGGACTCTGAGGAGGAGGACAATGAGCCTGTTCCCACAAAAAAGCACAAGAAGGAGAAGGGAAGAGATGGAGGAAAGCATAAGAAAGAAAAGGCAGATGAAGGGAAGAAGAAGAAAGCGAAGAAGGAAAGGAAGATTGAAACCTCAGAGGATGAGGCTGCTGCGCCTTTAGAGGAGGACCTGAGTGAAGGCCCATCAGAGTCTCAGATGGACGACAGTGCCTCGACAGACACTGCAGCAAAATCGTCTGAAAAGGCTAGTTTGGAGGACAAGTTTAAGCATAAGAAGGGGAAGTGGGAGGTGAAGCTGCAGGGGATTAAGGACCTGATTCATGACAAAAAGGGCAAAAAGTTAGACACTACACTTAAGGAAAGCAGCCTCCAAAAACTCAAGAGTCTCACCTCTAAAAGCAAAGATGAGGCTGCCCCACACTCAGACTCCAGTGATAGCTCCACTTTACACAAAAAAGCCAAGAGTAAAAGCCAGGAGAGCACACCAGCACCTCCCAAAGTCCCGTCTTCCTCCACTTCCTCATCATCCTCATCGTCCTCTGTCACAGCGGCTGGCAGCACCAAGGGTAAAGAGGAAGAAGTGGCTAAAGAGGAGGTATTGGGGCAGAAGGACGGGGCAGGCTCCACTAACCTGTTTGAGAAGTTCCTGTTAAACTGTGAAGCCAAGGATCGAGCCCCCCGCAGGCAGTCGGTGCATCAGCCCACCCCTGAAAAGAGCGTCAGCAAACCTGCAAAGGTAAAGCACTAGTGCTATATGTCTTCAGTTGTTTTTGGAATGGTGTACTTGCTCGTATTAGTTTGATTTAGGTGTTCATCTGGTTTTCCTGTTAGTTACTCTGATTTTTTTTTTTTTTTTGTGAACCCATAGCTGAGATATTTGGTTTTCCTTTTTTTTACAGTGTGGATTACACACTTCTCTGACTTTCCCATGTTTAGTGCGTACACGGAGAAGCACTGAGCTGATGAAACGAACAGTAATTACAGATGTTGCGCCGCTTTTGTGTGTGTCGACAAGTAAAAGGCTTCTCTCCCCACAATGATAATAATAGCGTGCCTCTTAATGTCCTTACCGAACCTGACACGATAAACAATGAAGTTTATCTGTAAAGTTCCCATGAAATCAAAATGGAAGTTCATGGATTTTAATTTATGCATGACTTCTTTAATTTCACAAAGAGATATGTATTTACCCCCAAAATAAATTTTGTTAAATGGTTTTTGTCATAGTTTGACCTTTTTTCGATTTTTCATGTCCCTGCAAATTTTAATGTAAATCCCAAACAGCCAGTTCTGCATTTAGTATTTAGGGACCATATGGGGAGAAAAAGTGCAAACAAATAGTTTCCATTTTTAGCCAGTATTCATGTTCGTCCTGTTTTTTGCTTAGATTTGAAACACAATGTGCTAACTCTGTGTTTTCTTTTTCCAACAACAGCTAATAGGAAAGATTGAGAAGCTCCCCAAGACCAATAAAGAGTCTCCTGCTCAGAAACAAGAGACTGAGAAGTCTGAGAAGGTCAAGCAGTCAGAAAGTACGTATTACACACATACATTACTGTGATAGCTGGGTATGTAAGGCCGCTTTTCCACCTTTCTTGTTCAAGGCTGTTTTCAAGTTCGTGTGCTTTATTTGTACTAGTGTTAAGGCTATCAGTCAACCCTGCTGCTGACCAAACAACGGTACCTTGAATATATAGGTCTGTTTTTCAAGAGTTTTTCTGTTTGTTTATTTCCGCTTGTTCGGCTCCTCAATGTCCAATGTGCAAAAGAAAAAGACAACATTAGTTGCAGTCGTAAATACAAGATTTATAGAGCTGTGAAATTTGAGACCTGAGATGAATGAAGAGAATGTCTATACACAGTCTACGTAACAGTAAAATTTAACTTTAAATGCCAACCTGCTGCATCACAGAAACCAGCACAAAGCCGGGAGCAGAAGCTCAATTATGCATAAGCTGTCAGCAGCATCTCACCCCAGTGCTGGTTCGCGCTACTGCCATACATACAGACCGTTAACATGACGTATGTCCGGCAGAATGTTTACTTTTTTTGTCCTAGCCTGCTGCATGCATGGTAAAATTTTGTGTGAGTCACTGCTGTCTCTGCGTCTCCTGTAAGATCAGTATTTTTTAAAACTTTGTTGTGGAACAGCCTGTTTTAACACAAAACACTTATATATATGTATATGATATATGTGGTACAATGAGAATTAAGAAAGTAATTATTTGTCTCAAACAGTTGGAAGCGCACCACTTCCTGTCAGTCATTTTTAAAAAGTTTTTATACTTTTTGTTTGAACACGCACATACGCCAACATTCCCTCCATATCTGGGGAGAAATACATGTTACTGGAGCTGGAACATTAGCCAGTTTTGATTGACTGTCGGGATGGAGAATGAAAGTCATCCTACGTCCTTAAGGACTACCCAGAAATATGACCGATTTTCTGTCCCCCCCTCCAGCCTCCAGACCTAGCTTTGGCTTCAGCCTGGATAGTGATGAGAGGGAAGACGAAGCTACAGCAAAGCCACGACCAGGAGAGGAACCACGGGAGAGGCGAGAGAGGACAGAGGAGGCGCAGCGGCCCAGCTGGGAGAGGAGAACATCAGCAGACGACAGGCGGAAGAGGAGAGAGGACAGTGAACCCAGACTCTTCATGGCGTGTGATGACAATCAGGACATTCAAGACCCAGCAGAGGGCGCTGACAGATCAGGTGTGTTCTCATTTGTCATTGTTTGAATGCAGCAGTTTGCTGATAGGTACTGTAGATCTTTTTGTCATCCTTCAGCACAATTTTCTAAAAGTTATGTCTAATTAAATCTATGATCTTAGAGTAACTGTAGACGGCCTAACCCTTTTTAACATGCATTTTAAGCAGCCAGGCTTTTTAACAAGAAAAAAATGTCATCTTTATTTAAGTCTAAAACTTTCAGTTCACAAACTCACAAATAAAACCCTTTGCAATTTCTGTTGTACAGACAAGGGCCATGCAACTTTGAGCTTAGGAATGGACCTAAACCTGGACTGGATGACCCTGGACGACTTCCAGAAGCATCTAAACGGGGAGGATGAAATTCTGTCTGGTCCTCCATTATCTCCCAGTGAGTATCGTCATTGACTTCAGAGATAATTAGGTAATTTCCTACTGGGTCAAGGACACTCTGAAGGATACAGTGGGTGGTGCCAAAAATCCTACTGACCACCCACTGTATCCTTCAAAGAACAACAGTTATATTCAATTTTGTTTTACCTTTCAACTCCATTGTCTTTAGGTTGTAATCTCCTGTCAAATGCCACTTCCAGCATCTTTAGATTCTTTTTTGGTCTGTTGCTTTCTCGAAATGTAGATTATCTCCAAATCTGCAACTGCCTGCCACTGAGTATCACTCATGAATCTCAGTTGTGGGCGGCCGAAGTAAATTTTTCATCATTTTAACTTGTCACTCTCAGGTTTTTTGTTTGTTCAGCTGCTGTCCTACGTAATATTTTTCTTAATATTTAAGATTATGTTGCTTTGACAGGGTGTTTTCTTATGGAAAACTTGTCAAGTATGTTGGATGGTGAGATCTATGTCTGCCACTTTAAACTGAATCTTGCTGTACTTTGTTCCGGTCAGGCGAGTTGCGGGATGCCGTGAAAAGTGGAGATTACATGGCTGTGAAATTGGCACTTAATTCCAAAGAAGACTACAATCTGGACCAAGAGGTATGAGCCTCCCCATTCTAACTTTTTTTGTTTTTGTAATTTTTATAAAACCTCTTACCTGACCATCTTGCTTTTCAAAAGTGGTTTCTGCATTTTTAAATATTTGCATTTGGTTGACATCTTGGTTGTGCCCTCAATTTCGAGGGAAAGACACATTTGACAAGTATTGCTGCTCGCACCTTGGTTGTCCCAGTGTGTATGTGTTGGATTGTTTGTGCAGTTTGATATGTGATGATTGTTGATGGCCGGTATGACCGTGCTGTGTCAGTCACAGGGGAAAAACCTAACATTGCTCTCAACACTTCTCCAGCTGAGCCTCGACATTGAAATCATTAGTTATCATGCTTTGAAGTTGCATCTCAATTCAAAGAACAGCAACATTTTTCAAAATATTCAAGCAGAAGTTTTCCACAAAATTTCTATGATCTGTGTGATGTGTATTGATACAAGACATTTCAATAAGGTTACAAATTTCAATATTTCAATCTTCAAACTTCAAAATAATTACAACAGATTTAGAAGCAAAAAAATATTTCCATATTTATGATTCTAAATGATCAAATTCAGGAATTGTGAAACGTATCTGTAAATCTGAATTTTAAAAAAATTAAAAGCAAGAATAAAAGTATCAACCAGCTCACTTCAGGAAAAATGCTTCTCAGGAGAAGATCATGCTTATTACGCCATACAACTGTTTGATAGATTTTTAATTACATGGTGCTTCAAGAAATCAGTCTCTACAAGATCTACATCTACAGACTTTACTGTTTCACGTCTACTAATGAGTCAACGCCTCAAGATGTTTTTTGCAACTCCAAAGTCTCCTCTGCAACAGATTCAGGTAAGAGTGTCAACACATGCTCTAACTTTGTATGTAAACAAAAGAGTGTCTTTAGTAATTTGTTAATGTTAGATTTTATAGTCAATAACCTTATTATTTTAGGGTTTAAAACTTAATAATTGTTTGGGGTTTTTTTATTGAGATACAGAGGGTTGTGCTGATTACTTTCAATCTAACTTAAGTTGCTTTAATGCTCGCAGAATATTTGAATCTCTAAGATAAGCTCCACTGAGCTGTTTTGAAATCTTAGTGCCGCTCCATGTTATCGCATTACAATTACAATGCTCTTTGTTGGAATCACACATGCTTTCAATAGTTAAAACTAAACTAGTTCAAGAAGCAATCATTGTATAGTCTGATTCTTTTTATTTATATGTTATTGTGGAATTTGACTATAACCTAATAATATTCATATTTGCATTTACATTTCCTTTAAAATGTGCACATTAGAGACCTTGGTTTCATCTGTCCTTGCAGGGAACGAGCTTAATGAAGAAGACACTAAACACATGAAGTGATAGGACAAGATGACCCCTTTGAACCAGGTACATAATGTATATGCTCTCGTATCGCCATCATGACCATAACACAACATGTACCACTAGCATGCACTAGTAATTATCATAAAATCTGGATTTATTTTTCTTTACCTCAACTTTTAACATTTTAAAGCTAAATAAAATCTACACAGATAATTGTTTTACTTGAATGGCTGAACACAATAAAAGTGTTCCTCTGTTTTGCATCTGTACCTGGCTTTGTCCTGGACTCTAATATGTTTTAGCCACATTGGAGACATGTTGTGTAAAATCACCACTTACATAGTCTTACTGTAAAAACACTGCTATGCCTAGCTTAAGTTTTGTCGTAAGTGAAAGCCATGCATGCAGATCTAGTAACAGTTCATATCCTGTACTCTCCATGTAGCATTTCATCCAACACCTCATGATTATATATACCTGGTTAGACATTTACAATGTCAAAACGCTTCTTGATCCAATAAAGCCATTAATTGTTCTCGAATGGGTCACATGTGGTTTTTGTACTGAAGATTTGAGAGGTGTCAGGGGTTTTTTATTCCAATGTTGGGCTTAAAAGTGATGTGTGGCTATTACATTGCCTATTGTTTGAATGAGCATGGGTCTGGGTGGGGCATTGCCAAGGTGCTGATGTGTAAAACAGCAAGGAAAAAAACAAAAGTAAATTTTCAGGAAAAAAAGACAAAACCAAAACAGTTTTCCCAACCAATCACCATCATTTAACAACCAAAATATCAACCAAATTCTGTTTTTTTATACCCACTCACATTCTTTTTCTGATTAGTCTGTTTCATAAGATTTCTCAAATTATTCGTGGCTGCTGATTTGGCAATGAGTCTTACATATACTTGTTCTTTTACAGGCTTGTACTATGGGTGAGACGAGGTCATTTGAAGCTGAGAGGAGCTTGATTGAAGAGAGAAGTTCGAGTGATGATCTTAGATTGACTTCAAACTTTGGCAGTGCAAGAGTTGAAGAGGGCACTCCTCAAGATTTGGATTGCCCAATAGCTGCTGAAAATCTGAATGACTCTCTTTCCAATACAAACTCTGAGCAAGTGACTTGTAGGGACCGTGAAAATGTGGAAAAAGATGGTAGGATTGGAAGTGATTTTACTGACAGTGGTTTTAATCCAGCTACCGATTTGGATGATGACGAAAAGGAAGGCCAGAGGGAATCACAGGAAGATGAGATGTCAGAAAACTTGACTGGTGGTTTATCAAGTACCGAAAGTTTAAATGTTGATCATTCACATCGGACCAGAACATCTGGAAGGATACAAACAAGAGCACAAGAAAAGAATGTTGAACCTAAAGAACAAAGTTCAAGCGAGGAAGCAAGTGACTCAAGTGATGAAAATGAGGATGGGGCGGAAGGACAGTCTGATAGTGCAGATCAAGCACCACAGGAGTTGGACACTAAGAGCATTACTAAGACACGATTACAACGACGCAAGAAAACTGTGGAGCGGACACCAACTCGATCAAGTTCAAGGACCTGTAAAAAAGTTCTTGAAGCAAAACCCCACATAGAGGAGGAGGTGAAAAAAGAGCCATGCAAAAAGCATTTCTGTCTTTATTGCAAACAGGCTTTTACCCAAATTGCAAAGCATTTGGAAAGGAGACATGGAGAGGAAACTGAAGTGTCTCATGCAATACACTTTCCCAGAGGTTCAAAAGTCAGGCAAACTCTGCTTGACCAGATCCGCAATAAAGGAGATTATGAACATAACTGCCAAGTTCTCAAAAGTGGTGAGGGGGAAATTGTGACCAAGAAACAGGTGAAAAACCCCAGCATTTCCGTTCGGGATTACCTACCCTGCCAGCACTGCTTTGCTTTCTATCGCAAAACAGATTTATGGAGGCATGAGCGATCATGTAAGGCCAGAAAGGGAGATCAGAAATCCTCTGAGAAGACCAAAAAAAGCAGTGTCCACAGTGCTGCTTCCAGGCTGCTTCCAATGTCAGAGTTTTTAACAGGAGGCTGTGAGGAAATAATCCATATCATGCATCAGGATGACATCTCAAGGCGCATTAGAAATGACCCTCTTATTTGTAAATATGGCAATGCTTTGTCTGCTAAATATGAGCATGACAAGTCTCAGTTTGCTTACATTGCACAGAAGATGAGGGAACTTGGTAGATTTGTGCTTGCTGTAAATGAGCTTGATGAGAGCGTGAAGTACTTGCATGAAGTATGTCAACCATCCAGATTTCAGTTAGCTGTTGAAGGGGCCAAAAAGGTTAGTGGTTTTGATCCAAGTTCCAGTAAGTTCAAAACAGTTTCCCTTGTGTCAAAGATTGGCTACTCCTTGAAACGAGCTGCTGAGATAGCTTTCGGGGAGAGTCGCATGACGGAGGACAGTGAAACTGAAAGTGAAGTCAAGAAGTTCATACAACTTCTGGATACGAAATGGAGTGAGTGCTTCTCTCGTAAAGCCCTTGCGTTATCTCTAAAGCAAGAAGTCAAAAAGGTGGAAGTAGACAAATCAACAGTGACTGAGGACTTGATAAAACTGCACAGGTTTATCACAGGGGAAGAAGATGAAGCCAGAAGGGAGCTTAAAGAGAGTCCAAGTCTGTCAACATGGAAAAAGCTCAGTGAGGCAACTCTGGCAGATGTGTGTCTGTTTAACAGAGGAAGGGTAGGGAACATTGGCAGAATGTTTTTGCAAACTTATACTCGCAGAAAGAGTAAGGACACATTTGTTCTCTCAGCGGATCAAATTAAAAGAAGCACAAAATTGGAGTTGGATCTTGGTGCTAGTTTCACAAGGTTGGAGCTAGAAGGTCAGTATGGCAGGAATATGCTGGTTCTGCTGACTGAAAGGATGGTTTCCTCAATCGAATTGATAATTGCCAATCGAGAACAAGCAGGCATGGCAAAAACCAACCCATACCTTTTTGCACGAACTGAAGGTCCATCCTTTATCCGTGGATTGGATTGCATTCGGAGGGCTGCAATGGAATGTGGAGTGAAAAACCCCGAAGCACTTCTGTCCTCATCATTAAGAGAGCAAATTGCCAGCTGCTGGCAGCTTATGAGCCTCAGAGAAAGTGAGTTGGATCAAGTGGCCAAGCTGTCGGGTAAGAGCAGCCAGGAGTGTTACGCACTCTCAAATGATGCACTACAACTGGAGGAAGTAAGCAAACAGCTTCTTAAGATGGAACGGACACTGCCATCAAGTCCACCCAGCACTGCAAAAGATGGTGAGTACTTGGGTCTCCATTGGTTGAATGCAAAGATTGGTAAGAGGACAGCTACAGCTCTTAAGTCAACATAGGGTTTCTTACTTGCTTGATCTTTTGCTCAATCCTGGGGTTAATTTGTCTAAGTTGTCTCAAAACAGATGTTTTAAATGTCCTACAATTCTGATTACTTTTAGGACTTGACATTTTATTCTTGGAGAGCAGCTGGAAAGACCAATCAAGCCCCACATCAGGTATTGGAGTATTTGACAGTATGAAAAAGTCATGCAAAGAGCAGTTGATGAATCAAAATCTTCCTTTTTCCAAGCTGAAGAATGAACTGTCAAGCTCTACAGTAGGCCTGGTTTAACATTAAAAAAACAGAGTACGATCTTATTTCTCATAAGTAAACGTAATTATTTTCTTTTACTCTTAATGTTTTCAGGAACTGTACAAAAACCTGCTCTGAAGAGAAAATCTTGGAGTGAGAAGGAGCAGTCAGCAGTGAAGCGTTACCTCAGTGAATTCATCACAACAATGAAGGTCCCCGGCAAAAAGGAGTGCAATGCTTGCATAGCTGCTGAACCAGATCTTTGTGGACGATCTTGGACGGATGTCAAAAACTATGTGCACAACACACTGCAGACAATACGTAGGAGAAATAGGTCTGACGAAAATGTGAATGAGAGTCCAAAAGCCAGAGTCCGACCACCCAAAACAGATCTGGAAGACACAAGTGTGGTCTGTACAATGACCACAGTGAACCCAGATCACATAAGAGAAAGTTCGGACTGTTGCATGACAATGGCACAGAGCATTAGGGACTCATCAACGCCGTACTCACAAGACATGACTCAGAGTTATGCAACCTTGTGTTCTACAAGTACAAATTTGGTCCATTCAAGTCAACCATTGATGTCTACGTTCACACCACTAAATGCTACCGATACACAAGTGGTTCCTACATTTACCCCACACAACACTACAAATGCACTCATGTCTTCAGCATACTCATCGGAGAACAACATAATCATGCCAATGTCTCCCTCTTATACCCCACATACCGCAAGTATGCAACCTCCATCAGTGTATACACAGCAGGACACTACAAATTTACCAATGATTCCTAATTATAGCACCCTTAATGCTCCAAGTACCTCTATGGGCCCAACTTACACCTCATTAAATACAGCAAGTCCACCAATGATCCCTGCGTACTCAACACTAAATGATGGAGGCAGGCCCATTGTTTCCTCCTTCACGCCTCTGAACCATCCAAGTACACCAGCATACCTCACCAACCAATCTAGGGCTCCTACAACCGCACAAGTTGTCCCAACGATCCATAGACCCAATGTTCCTGATGGAACACCAGCAAGACAGGACAGTACAACCAAGTCCTCAGCGGGAAAACGGGCCCCTCCAACTGACAAGCCTCAAAAGAGAATCAAGAGGTTGTGGAGCGAGGAGGAGCAGACAGCGGTGAGGCGTCAGTTTGGAGACTTCTGTAAGCTGATGAAGGTTCCAGGAAAAAAGGATTGTGATGCATGTTTGGCCGCTGAACCAGCGTTGAACACTAGAACATGGAGAGAAGTCAAATATTTTGTACATAACTCAATTCAGTCCATGAAAAGGCGAGGGCTTCCAGTCGCTGCCAAACAAAGTGCCGCACCAGAACCAGAGACTCCAAATCCAAACCCTGAGTGGGATGGCCCTGTGTACCTCTCTTTGTAAATACTTGTAAATAACTTTGTTTGAGTAATAAGTGATGCGCAAGACTTGATGCATATTAGGGGTGTTGTGGCTTTGGCCCTTAAATGTATGGGTTGAAAAAGCAAATATGTAAAAAGTTCTGTCTGCAGTCTCTGTATCCTTACAGATGTTAACACGAGTTACAGTCTGCCCTGCCATTCTTTGAATCACACTTCAGAAAGTAGCTAAAAGCTTTCAAATCACATCACCAGATTAAGCTATCAGTGTATTGTTGCATGAATATACACAAAGTAGGTGGAAACAAGGGTGTTCGTTACGTGGTTTTGGCAAATCAGTCAGATATCAATGTGTCATATGGTTAGACTGCTGATATGTAACACATTCAAATATTAGACGGTCTGATCATCAGACAATGTCTCTCCAGAGTGTTCTTTTTTAGCTGTGCGATCACTAAGTAAGTATGAACCTTGTTTGCCAGGATTTCAATTTTCTATCTCTCATTAGTGGTGGAGAGTAACCAGTGTGGCTTCCAAATGCAGATGCAGAACATTGAACACAGTACTTTTGAGAACATTGACAATGTCAAATTGGAACTTCCACTGTGACCAGGGCATTTCCACCCTGCACTGAGCAAAGGTAGGCCCAGTGTCTGTACATTTCTAGGGGGACTTTTACCCTTCTTAACTTCAAAACACACTCGGACATCAACCTTTCTGCCTGTGCTGTTTTTGGTAGCATTTTTACAAATTTAAGTACAAGCTAAGACATAGAAGTCCTGTCCCAAATCTTTGCATCCGGTCCCTGCCACGTGAAAGATGTGCTTTGACTTGCTGTTCATGATTCCTCAATGCCTGGCCCATGTGTACTTAATTCCTGCTTTAGCCAGTAGCCTATAGTGTAGGTGGCCCCTGATTGCCTGCAGCAGTAATGGCATACTTTCCTTGCTGATGTTAGAGTATTAGGAGCTCTGTTTATATACCTCTTACTTAAATATTAGAAACCTATTTTTTCTTTGAAGATCCTCTTTTATAAATGTTCATTAGCTTAATTCATTTTTTATTTTTATGTGTGTAAACAATCTGCTGAACAGTTTGAGTTTTTTGTATTACTATACAGTAAATGTGTAGACTATTTTAGTGTTCATTGTATTTTATGTACCCTGATTCAAGGTCAAAAAACAAATTGGTCATTTGTATCTTTTTTTAAGCTTCCAGGACACTAATATTAAGTTGTCAATATACTAATGCCTTATTTTATTGATAATTTGGTGTATCATGTTTTTTCTAATCATGTGGATTTGGCAATACAGCACTCCACTACCCTGAGTTTGTGAACTTTAGTGAATAACCCCAGAGATGAGGGTTAAATTATAACTATTGATATGCGCTGATGACCTGCTCCAACACAGAATAAAAGTATCTGTGGAGAATCTCATCAAATTGACATGATCAAACATGCCTGTTCTTATAGAAGTGGGCAAATTGGCGAGATCCTAATTCTATTTGTCTAAAAGCACTTACCAAAAAAAAAAGTATTTAGGTTGCCTTTATTGTGAATAAGATGTGAACTACTCACATTGTTCCAAGTATGATCACATTTGATTTTAAAAATTCGTAGACTTATTATAAAACAACCAAGCATTTCTTTAAAGTTTCACTTATTGTTTGAGTGTCAAACAACCTTGTTGGAAGTTTATACTGGATTGAACACTCGCCAGGAGCAGCTGGTCTTCACAGCTTCTGTCCTTTATTTAAAAGGGTATCATCCCGTTTTAGTTTCAGAATTAAGGTGCTTTTACGTTGTTTATTTTACACTGTTTATTCTAGTGGGCTGTGGACCATCTGTTGAGCCAGTGTAAGGTTTACTGTCCACAATTTCTTTTTAATGGTTTCATACAGCAGCACTGTTGAAAATGTGTTTTCTTCAATAGCAACTGTTTAGAGTATCCAGTGTATCCAACTCTTTCATACCAAAGCCATTAGTTAAATAAAATCCTGAGTTTGAGTGGGCTTGCAGACCTGTGTGAGGGTACCTGCTCTCACTTGTTCATGGAGACACCAAACAGGTTTTCTTGGTCACGGATTTCTTGGAAGAGAGTTATGAGTGTCTCAAAGTAAAAGCAGTAGTCAGCCAACAGTCAGTGTTACCACACAGCTAAACTTGTGTTTTGCAAATGAATCATTTTAAGGTTTCAAAATAAGAAAACACTCATTCATACACTACCTTTCCTTTTTAGTGTTGCACAGCAGCTTATTTTCTGTACAGTGGCTTTCTTTTGTTGTTATGAGCACACTTGGCGTGTTACTCTTCATCCTGTTGTAATCACGTTGCCTTCAGTTTATGCTTCTGATCAAGTATTGTAAGACACTTCTGCTTGTACAATAAATTGCTCCTTGGCTTAAAACCTAAAGATTTTGTTGATACTGCATGATGAATACTTTTTTCTGTGTATTTAAGTTGTAACAGGCTGGGTTTTTTTTTATTCCTCTACAGTATTTTTTTCAATTTTCACATATACAGCATGTGATCCTTGTAGTGGAATGAAAACCAAGCCGTGGTCCCAGGTATCGGGCTCTGTGTCCCCTGAAGTGAAAGGAGAGTGGGTGATTTAAAGAAGAAAGATCAGAATGATTGAGATTTACGTGCTCATTATTTTTCAGATTGCAATTTTAACTCTTCGTTTCAACCAATTTTCAAAAGACTCCTGGAAAATGATCAAAATACAGGCTTTAATTCAGATTCCTTAAAATATCTCAAACTGAATAGCCTTGTTGCCCTCTGATGTCAATAAAAGTCGCAAGGAAAAAAAAACCTCAGTAAAGTGTTTGGTTCAAGTTTCATGGAGTCCCCTTCAGCTCTCTACATGCCATGTTGAACCTCCTCATTTGACCGCTTTGGTGTTTGACATTGTGGCGTCTTTGTTTGTTCACAGGATGTTAGCGGTATGTCTCTGAGCATGCTGGCAGCTGCAGGAGGCCAGGACGACGTCCTCAGGCTGCTGATTAAGAAAGGAGCAAAGGTGAACGGACGACAGAAGAACGGCACTACAGCTCTGATGCATGCTGCAGAAAAGGTAACAGGCTTTCCACCAACATCAGAGGGGATCATAGTTTGGACAAAGTATTTAGTTTAATTGATTTAATTTTTGTCCCCCTAATTTTATTTCTCTCTCCTGTTAGAATTTCTTGACAACCGTTGCAATCCTGTTGGAGGCGGGTTCTTATGTTAACGCACAGACGCTGGGCGGAGAGACGGCACTGATGAAGGTAAAACAGAAAAAGTACCACTCATAACACAAAGCAATGAGCCCAATTCAAATGTGTTCATTCAGACCTCATTAACCATCTGACATACCATGAAACATAAGGAAAAGGTGAGGAGGCAAGCAGAGCTGGATTAGGAAACAACCTAAGTGTACTTGAAAACTTCCTATCAAGACTGATCTGAAGTGGAAGGATCTGCATCAGAGGCAAAAGCTGTTTTGGTAAACATCTTCTGTCTTTTCCGTCAGGCGTGCAAAAGAGGAAACGCTGATGTAGTGCGCCTCCTGCTGGAGTACGGAGCAGACTGCAACATCCTGTCCAAACACAAAAACACAGCCATGTACTTCGCCAAGCTCAGCAACAACCTGATGGTGTGCGACTTAATCAAGGACCATGTCAGCATGTGAGTGTTAGATAACATATAGGAGTGTACTTGAGAGACAGAATTACAATGCAGTACAGTTTTTTTAAGGATCTTCACTTCAATACCGCCGAGTGTTCTTAGTCATATGATAAATACATTTCTGACCAATAACAGATATTCTAGTTACACTGCAGCTCTGGACTGACTTACAGGCTTTTAGTTTATTTTGATTCCCATGGATCACACTTAAGGATTAAAACTGTTATTCTCTGCATATCCGTCCATCTCTCAGGCTGTCCAGTGTGGCTGAGGATACAATCAGAGCGTACTTCGAGTCTCGCCTGGTGCTGCTGGAGCCTGTCTTTCCTCTGGCCTGCCACAGGCTTTGTGAGGGACCAGACTTCTCCATGGAGTTTGGCTTCAAGTCACAGCAACAACCAGAGGGTATAAAACTTTTCCTCCAAAGCCTTCAAGGCTGTAAACATTTAGAGATACACATCACTATAATCTCATGCAATGGGAGACAGAGTCCTTGTTGCTCCACTCAAGTGTCTTGTCCTTAATAATGAACTCATGATGGATGTCTTGATCATAAACAGCCATTCAGGAAACTTCTAAAACTCTTCAATCCTTCTGTCTTAATCCCTGATTTGCCGTTCCACTGACTTTCTCTCCTACTCCAGGCTCAGGCATCCTCCTTTTCGTCTTCCACGCAAACTTCCTGAATGAAATCACAGCCAGGCTCTGCGGACCCTGCAGCGTTCACGCTGTGGTGCTCAACGACAAGTTCCAGCTGCCCATCTTCCTGGTTAGAGCTCCATAAACACAAATACAACAAGAAGAGCTCTTGGCTCTGTTCACTTCCTTACCATCGACCTAAAGCCAAATAATCCAAGAGATTTTTAAAAGACATTTCTGTTCTGGATTCAAATATACCTACACTATCAATTTATGGCAAAACTTCAACTGCTTGTACTTCAACATTGATCGAAACGGTAACGCTTTCTTTTATGATACACTTATTACCAGGTAATTAACAGGTAATTACCAAGTAACAACATGAAAATATCTGGTAATTACATGATAACTACTAAGTCAATACTGTCTAGCTACCAGGTAGGTAACCTTCCATCATCATACAAATTTGAAGCTGAATTGCTCTGGTATTTCCAGGATTTTCTCCACTTCCTGGAACCACCACTTGCGCAGTAGCATTGTACGCATTCGGCGGGTGAGTCGCTGTGATAATGCTCGGCTCAAACAGCGTATAGCTACACAATCTTCGCACACCCCATAGGCTGTATCAAGTGTCAATCATAGAAAATAAGAACCCCAAATTGCTTTTGAAAATGGAGCTGCACAGAAAAAAGAAAAACTAGACAGTATTGGCTTAGTAGTTATCATGTAGTTACCAGATAATTTCATGTTGTTACTAGGTAATTACCTGGTAATAAGTGTACCGTAAAAGATAGCGTTACCCTTGAAACATATACTTTATAAATGTGTCAAAATTAGTCAATTTGTGTTTATTTCTCCAAATTCATATATTTTTTGTCTTCCAACATTCAGGATAGTCACTTTATCTACTCCTTCAGTCCAGTTCCAGGCATCAACAGACTTTTCATTCGTCTGGCAGAGGCACCGACAGCCAAGGTAACACACACACACACCAGCACAGAGATATAGAGATATTCAACTATACATCTGCCATCAGAATTGGTTGATGTAAAATGATTGAAGGAGTTAACATTGTCAATGTTAGTTCATTTTTAATTATAATAGATGATCAGGCAATCATGTTCAAGAGAGAGCAGTTAAATTTGAAGTCTGTATTCTAGCCTGTAGTCTTCTGTAGTATAAATACACACTTGAAAAGAAGTTGTTGACAGCAAATGAGAGTGGACTCTTAATTTCATTTTTGCTCATCAGTGACAATAGCTGTAACTTTGAGTATAATTGGTTAAAGCTTGAACAAAAAAATTTACAACCAAAGGCCAAAACCCTCATGAATTAAAAATCTGTCTCCTGCTTTATTCAAAGATCCTGTCTTCGTCTGTCGCCCATTCCCTTAAAACAAGAATAAAACACACAAATCCAATTTAGAGCAGTCTGCAACAGAATTAAATTGCGTTTGTCTGGGTCTATTTTCAATAAGTAGATTAATACTCAGTCAGCCAAAACAAGTGAATATTTTCAGCTGCGGGTCAGCGTGAGTGATAGTGGGTCAAACTAAAGTCTGTCTGTCTGACTTTATGGACTTTATGAAGAAGCATGTCCTGCATGGACTAATAACTGGTAATACTTTTTTGGTCAATGATGGAGCACTATGACTTTGACACCTCTAGCATTTGTGGCCATTCCTGTGAAGAAAAAAGAAAAAGATTTTAACAGTGTGCCAAACTTTCTCCCCACAGGTCAAGCTCCTCATCTGTGCATACAGAGTCCAGCTACAATGATGCGTCCCCTGACTTTGTCACACAAAATACCACCAAACATACTGAAGTTCAGCTGAAACACTTTGCCAAGCTCATCGTCGACGATGGGAGGAAGAGTTTGTCCAATTCTTGTCACAGGGAGGAGAGATTACAAAGTCTCTGATGCTGAATTAAAACTCTTAGAAGAGAAGCTGATATTGTTTGTTAGATTACACCTTGAGAAATCCTGAAGCAGCCTGTCCATTTCTGAAGATGCCATCCTTCCATAGGTTCATGTCAGAAACTCCCTCCTCTCCCCTAGAAACCCTCCTGGGTCGTGCCTTTTCTCCTGGCTCCACTTGCTGTCAAGCCTTGGTGCAATAGGAGCATGTGTTTGTAAACCCAGCATGTGTGCATAGCTCCATAGATGTTTTTTGGTGCATTTAAAGACAACACATGGGGGGATTTTCCCTCTCCACTTCTCAGATTTTCAGCCTTTTCTTGGACCAACTTAATGCTTTTTCACTTCTGTTGTATTTGGTAACACTGTACTTTATACTAGACTAATTTCTGTGTGTTAACATGTGGGGATCCCCTTAGGATCTTAATCTCTTCATGTCAGAAGTCCATCAAAACCCTCCTCTACCAAATCAACAGCCTCCATGTCCTGCTCTGGCTACTTTTTCACATATGAAGACAGGTGAGGATTAATACTACAAAATAAAAGTCGGCAAATGCTTCCAAAACTGAACGATCAGATCACAATACTTACAGGTTGCTTCCCTTAAAATTTAGCGCCGTCCACTTGTGATCTGATTCCCAGACAACATTTGAACAGAATCACATGTGCTTTCCTTAAACTGGGTCCCCACAGGTGAATAAACCAGAAAGAAGTGAATGCTGAGGATAATGAATTGTCTTTTAATGAGTGAAGAAAGAATTTTCTTTTGCCTTCCATGCACAGAGTTATTGTTTATATTTTCTGGTCTGTAAATATTCACACACTATTTATAGATATATACATACAACTATACAGATAGAGCGTCATCTGATGACCACTCACCTTTTATTGCCTTTTTGCCTTTGTAGGAGTTTAAGTTATTAAGCATGTACAATAAAAAGCTCTGTTTACTTTTAAGGGCGTTTAAGGGTTTAAGTGTGTCACTTCAGTATGCCCTCCTAGAGTCCCCTAACTTGAATCAGTTAAACATGAAACAGTGACTGCTGCTGAATTATGCTCTTTTTAAAACAGATGTTAATGCCCCTCTTTGTTGTCCTCGATCCTGATTTGAATCCATGCAGAGAGATGATGCTGAAGCACTTCATCTACTGCAGATATCATCACCTAACCAAAATTTGTAAGGATGTGTCGATATTTTAGTTTGTGTGATATTATTGCCTGTGACCTCAGCTCAGGCAGCAAATTTTTTCTAAACATCAAACAGTTCTGGTTCCTTTTTACTTAGTGTCACATGAAACTCTAAACGATACTGTATGTGTGAGGAGGTGTGAAAGCTCAATGATGTTTGTATAAAACTGCAGTCACTGCTTACAATGGGGCTGTACCTCTGTTCTAAATAAAATGTGTACATATGTATTTCCACACTTAATTTCTATCTGTGTTTCTTTACCACCAACGTTTAAACAGTACAGATTAATGGTATAAAAATGTCTCATTCAATCCACAGTGGGCAGTGTTGGACTGTGACGACCAGGTTGTTTGACAGTTGTCCTTAGCTTATCTGACTGACTGTGTCTCTTATCTTACAAATATCATACAAACTCTCGATGAGGTGCGGGTCGGGCCATTTAGCTGTCCAATTATGCACGATGAAATCATAGTCAGTAAACCATTTGGTAGTAGTCCTGGCACTGTAGGCAGGTGCTGGAAGAGGAACAGGTGCCATGAAGTGCTCTGAAGTCTCCTGGTAGACCAGTACCAACAGATGACATGGCGCCCCAAATCATCACTGACTGCATAAAATCTAAGTCTCGTGAGGCTGTATGGATAATGCTATAATGCCATGGTTTCCCCCTCTTAATTGTTTGTTTTTTATGCAGATCCTGAGTAATACGTGAAGCCACATGTTTGCTCAGTAAGTACTTTTTTGTTGTTGTTGTTGTTGACATGTAGGCCTTGATTGTTTTAAATGTTTTCATGTATTGGTACTACTTTGAAGGCAGCTTAGCATGTGCAAAACTAGAGTCAAAGATTTCCCCTAACAGCTGACAAATCGTATCAATAGCATTAAACTATATCCTGTCCTATAGTAATATAATGTAATGTAACATAATGTGACGTAACAAGGTAACGTGACTTATCCCATTGTAGCATAAGGTGTTGCAATTTATGGGGCTGTATCGTAACGTTACATTATGTTACATTATTGTAGTAAAAGAGTTATCATATCGTAAAGTAACAAAATGCAAATCATTGAAACTTATAAAACCCGATGTAAGGTAACAAATTGCATCATATAGAATCATATCTTGTTGCAGTATATCGTAGCACAACTAAGATGACATAACATATATAACCTAATGTTACAAAACACAACATATTGAATCATATCAAATCATTTCCTGTTGTGTCAATAATAGAAAGTAAATTACCTTGATGTTACGTAATGGCACACAAAGATGTCACAAAAATATATCAAATCATATCTTATCCAACCATGTATTGAATCATAACGTAATGTATTGTACTGAAATGTACCGTATCATATTGAGTTGTAACTTTTAACATGGTTTGGTATGATATGGCATTATATCTTAAGGTGGATCTGAATGCTCTATAAGTGAATTTGTCATCAAGCTGGATATCCAGTAACACCAGAGAGCGAGACAGAACAAACAAGACTTGTTCCTTAATAACTAAAAAACAAACATATAAATAAAACAGTCAAGGGAAGACTATTCTCAGAAGAAAGGACTTCAGAGTGTGTTAAACTGGTCCTGCAGAAGTTGAAGCTTTGAAACATACACAACATGAAGTCCTGTGTGTTTCTTCTCAGCAGACCCAGCAAAGCCTGAGGAGCTAAAAATTAAATCAACTTGCAGTCTGCAAAGGCATCTCGAACAAATGACATTACTGATCTAATATACTTCAATCATTATTCAGAACACATGACAGGACTCTGTAACATCTGTTTCCCAAGATTTTTATAAACTAATAAGGAAATCAAAAGCAGACGTAATTGAAACTGTCATCATCAGCAAATCAACTTCAGCTCTAAGGAGGCGGTTAAATGTAGGATACAGTGTAAGGAGAGCCTGACCCAAATTAGCTCATCGGAAAGTCAGAGACCCCAGCCTCTGCATCTATCTCACAGCACATTAATAACCCAGAATACCCCATTCTCTTCTCTCTCAGGTTTTACTGGGATAGCAAATAACATATGGAGGTTTTCTCAAAATCTCTGTTTAGTTTTCTCCTATATAAAAGATACAACGGCTTACTTTTACTGTGATAATCAGAGACTGATATCACTCCTTGGAGTCAAATCTCATGTTATTTTTCTCATCATCTAGAAATAACAAATCTGGTTTTCCCATTATTTTCATTATTTCAAGATGACAAAGACTATTTTCTAAATTTCCTGGTCTAGAAAGCAAAACAATAGGCTGGTCACTGTGCTAGGCCATTAGACCATGACTTGCCATGTTGCTATTGTCCACACTAATGAGGTAGTTTGGCTTATTTCTGTGTTTGTTTTGTGCTTTTGCAACACCAGGCATACAAGTCATTATCTTTTGTTAAATCAGAAATTAACCAAAATGGAGTAGATGAGCTGTTGAGATAGGATTAATTCAGGCGAAATTTTAAAGTTTAAAGAATAGGCAGCATAATTTTTCTGTCCTAAAAGGTACGAGTTAATGCACTTAGTGCTTGCTTTGGAAGAACAAACTGAATATATGTGACATCACATGGGGGGTCAGCTACAGTGAACTACAACTTTTTTAAACATATTATAAACACTTTATTACCTCTAGATTCAGATCTAAATTACTAGAATAACATTGTATGTCACTTGCGTTATTACTAGAATAAAATGGTAGTATTACAAGGAAAAAAAGTAGGAGTAAGTAGTATGAGTATTATATAGCCTGTACATAATTTTGAAGGAACACAGCAGGAGAGCCGCTTGCAGCTTAAAATAAAAGAGAAACATGGGGCATCATGTGAACTCAAACTACGATGAAAACTTCTTTAAAAAACTAGATATTTTTCATTCATCTGAGTTTGTTGTAAAAGCAAGAAAGCTGGCAGGCAGAAGGTGCACTTTTCTGCAACTTCTCTGTTTGTCCTTGGCTGATCAATTTAACCTCTCCAGATGATCCACATTCCTCATTTGAGTGCAGGTAACTGGCTGCTCCATTACACATTATTTTAGCCTTCAAGATCAAACATACCCTGTTACTACAATTTCTACAAAGTTGTTGTTGTTGTTGTTGTTTCACAACTTTACTCCACAAATCTTTACAAATTCAAGTTTCTCATATCAAAAAGTATTTTTCTTTTGCTATTAAATACAGTCACTCTAAGTGAAGTCTGTGCTAGTTGCTATGTTACTGATCATACTTGTCACATAGCTGAACTGAAAAGTATGCTGGTTATGTTTAATGATCAAAAAAGACGCCAAAGATAAACGTGTTTCCACTCCTGTGGGTGCAAACGTGAAAATTGGCCGAGGTCCATGAATGCCTCACTGACCATTATTTGATAGAGGATATATGTACACATAGGGCGATCATGAAACACATCCTCGCCCTGTTCTGTTTAACTCTGGCTTACATGTTGACGTGTTTAAACTAGGACCGGTCAAAATGTTGATATAAATGAACATTTGATCACTAACTGTCATCAACAGCAAACCTGGCAACCCGGCTGTCTAGTCAGCCGTATTTTGAGTCGAAAATGTGCTAAACTTCGTTCGCTGTAGCTTTTAATCCGCTCGATCTGAACATTTTACAGAAATATTTCGAGTTGGTGATGGAAATCAGGTTTCTTCATCACGTGAATGGCATCTGCACGGTCAACCGTTTGTATTGGTCACTTGAACGCACCTGATCCGCCATATTAGAAACGTGATCACCGTTTCATCCGGCTTTGATTTGCATCCACGGGGCAAAAATGTCACGATTAAACCCTACATCGATATCCCCTGGTCGAAATTGTTTTTTAATGTGTGCTTTAAAATTGATAGTTTACCTGGGAGAAGAGTGTAAATCAATATGGTGGAGATTAATGGTATTATTGGCACATTTGATTCTCATATAAGCTTCTTTCGTTGTTTTTATGTAAGTGTTATTAGATTGTTATTAATTTCTGGCACCGTTTTTTTCCCTCCGTCTTTGTCTGGATAAATCTACGTGAAGAAACCCTCTGTTGGACTGACAGATCTTGCTGAGCTGAGAGTATGAACTCTCTCAACCCGGATTCTTGCCCCTGATTGGACCCGAGTTGTGTACTTAAGCGCGGCTTGTTATAGTCGCTTTGATAAAAGCCACCCATCGTAGAAGTTTGTCGTGTCTGTGCAGCTGAAGAGAGGTCACGTTACATGACAGATGTGGCATGTATCGATGAAGTTAACGCAGTTTAATGAAGCAATTTAATTGCCAACCATGCAGCCACTGATTGCTCATTCTGCGCCTGCGCGAGGGGGAAAAAAGATGGAGAAACAGAATGAATGCCGTCAGATGGGATAGTAACAAGAAGAGGTCTCACTCTGCCTCTTTTTCAGTTGGGTTAAAATAGACATGTGGGGGGACTTCATCCTTAAAGGAATTTCGTCTGACCTATTGAGTTTACGAAAAGGTCATCGGGACAATACAGAACACAGAAATATGTGTAAGCCTTATATAGCCTACTTATGAACCCATAATTAAAAATATAAGTTGACAAAAGTAACCCCTGTACAGTTGTTTTAAATTTAGGAATGGGAAACAGCAAACAAAAAGATATGACAATGTTTTGCACTAAACTATAACTTTTTAAACTCAGCCGCAAAGCATTTTAGTATGGACTCTATTTGAGTTTTGAAGCAGCCTCAAGTGGAAATTTGAAACTGCGTTTGAGTCAATAAATTTAGTGTCATTTTAGAATTTTTGGTTTGACTTATGCCATCTGATAACAGGAAAGAGATGGAGGTTATGACCTGTGCTGCAACCAGTCAGGAGAAGCTCTAAATCTTTGGGCTTCACGGTCTGTGAACACTTGTGGTAGCATGTTTAGCATCATGTAACTTACGCTGCATCCCAGTTGTCCTCAGAAGTCGTGATTTCCAAAGCTCTGAGTCGGAAATCCATCAAAGTCAGATGATTCTTGCCAACCCCGACTTGACGACAACGTTATAATTCAAGATGGCATTGCAGTGCATCAAGAGTACAGTAAAGAGTAGCAGTAAAAGCTCGTGTAATGTATTATTTATTAGCACTTCTGTTTTGTTTTTGTGAAATTGAGTAAGTGGTTGCCCAACGTCTAACTGTGAACACGGTGCTATGGTGTTTGTAGGGTAAAATACTGTGTTGTGTGTTGTTTACGACTGGTATCGCTAACAACAACTAACAACCGCTGACAACAGCTAACAACAGCTGACAACAGCTAACAACAACTGACAATGGCCAACGACAGCTGACAATTGAAAACAGCTAACAGTGGGTAACTGTAGGCGTCCATCTTGGTTTTCCGAGCCTTGTTAACTGTAACGCTGTCAACTTGGGTGTAACGTCATTCCCAGCTCTGGCGTCCAATGTAACTGGAACACAGCATTAAACACCATTACCCACATTCCCAAGGTAACCTCAAATTTCAGGACATCTGTTTTTAATTACATTTGTACAGCTTTCAAAAGTTGAAACCAGGTGCAGTTTTTTTCTTTTTAAATCAGTGTTTTCCTTAGCAGTTCAGGAGTCCACATTTTCTGAATATTAGTGTGCAAAGAGGCACTATCGAAGGTCATGCCAGGTTTAAGCCAAACTAGGATGTAGTGTGTTGTCACCACCTGGTGTAAGCTAACAATGCAAACAACAAAAGGAGCAAACAGCTCAATAGTCTTCCAATCTAGGATGCATATTGTGTATTTCTGATCATCATGTCTATGCTGTGGCTTTGGTTTGGTTGTATTTTGTTTGAATCTGTACATGCCAAAGCGTTTCCAAAAGACAAAGGAAGAAAAAATCAGAAGTGCAGTCAACTCAAATGTGACGTCATTTCACCTCTGACATCCACGGTATATTGAACACGCCACATCCTAATGTCACGTGAGCAAAGACTGTATACACTATGGACAACTTGGTTGCGCCTTCCGCCAGTATACGGATTTGAAGCCTAAAAGCTCTCGGTAATTTCGTGTTTTCTCTCCATTTCCTGAAACCAACATTGCGCAGTAGCGTTGTACGCATTCGGCAGGAGAGTCGCCAAGAGTTGCTGTGATGACACTCGGCTCAAACAGCGTATCCCCCGGGTGAGCTATGCAATCTTCGTACGCCCATAGGCTGTATCAAGTGTCAATCATAGAAGACATGAACCCCCTAATTACTTTTAAAAATAGAGCTGCACAGAAAAAAAGAGGACTTGAGCACAAACCAGTCTTACAATAACTACATGTCAACATGGCAAGTTTATGTTCTGTGTAATACATTTTTAAAGTTTGTCCACATCTCCAAAAGCTTTGCTAGCGGAGGCGGGATATATGACCTGTACTGCAGCCTGTCACCAGAGGGTGCTGTTCTCGGAGTGACTCAACCCAGCAAGGAGGCAGATGGCATCCATTCTATATACAGTCTATGGTGTAAGCTAAATGCAGACAACAAATAAGTGTATTTCTGATCATCATGTCTGTATTGTGGCTTTGGTTTGGTTGTATTTTGTTTGAATCTGTACATGCCAAAGTGTTTCCAAGGGACAAAGGAAGAAAAAATCAGAAGCGCGGTCAACTCGGATGTGACGTCATTTCACCTCCGACATCCACGGTAGATTGAACGCGCCACCTCCCAACGTCACGTGAGACGTCACCCGCACGCCGTCAGCCATCTTCGCAATAGACGATCTTCGGTGGTAAAGTGGAAAGTTCTGTGTTGTGCGCACGCGCTCCCTGGGATTAATGTCAAGGCACAAAAGTGGCGCTACACCGTTTCAAGCTCTACTCCGGTAAGCGAATTTCACTCCCGTTTTTGCGGTTTCAGTTTTACGCCTAATTAGTCAAAGTTTCAGGAACTTGTGCGGGCCGTTGGCCGGTTGTCCAGAGACTCTTTGGGGGGCACCCCGGGGCGTGGAGACACATTAAAGGTGCATTAAACAGATAAATTTTACAGATTTGCTCCCCTTGATGTGTGTGTGCTGCTGCTGCTGCCGCCTCTAGTCTCCAGTATTGTTCAGTTTGCTCCCTAATGGCGGACGGCAGTCAGTGCTGTTTTCCGCTGGGGGAGGAGGAGGGGGAGGGAGGGGGCAAATCTAGCTGGTTTGGAAAGGTTGGGTCAGTATCTGGTTTAGGGTCACAGTAACTGAAGGGGGGCTCTTGTAAACACGATGCGGGCATTTCTTTGCGCCTGGTTGTTTACCACCGCATGACACAAATGAAGGTAGTTCATGTGATATGTTAAGCGAGGGCGCCCCTAGCGGCAGCCGGCTATATTTGCCACTGATTGCGCCAGGGGTGGACTCCGTGTAGGGTAACTTTCCAATTAAACCCTATCGTCACAGGTATCATACAAATCGGGATTTTTACTCGGATTCTTGGTCTGTTTCGTGGCACTGGAGCGTGTTCGACTTGAAAAACACACACACCATAAGACATGGAGAGTATCTGAGGGGGTTGTTGAGTAAAACCGCCCGTTGGTGTGTGTATTTTCTAGAGACGCGCCGTGTAACGTCTCTCCATACCTCGTCTCATTTGCTGTGGGTTAGTTGTGAGCGTTTCTGGTGCTGTGTTCAACAATGGCGCAGTCTGTGTCTGCTCTCCTCCCCTCGATCCGCCGCTAATCCAATGGCTGTTTGCGCCAGGAAGGGCAGGGGTGGGAACGGAGCGGAACAGAACACCCTGAACCACGTTTCTCCTGGAGCCCAACTTGGGAGCCAGCCTACCCCCTCATTTACCTGGGCTATTTATGGAAGAGCTGCGCAGCTCAGGTAGTGCCGGTTCTGTTTAATAGTCTTGATTAAACTTTTAGTCCTGATGTGTAAAACCCAAGTTTTCTTGGATGATACAGAAGGGAAGGAAGCAGCTACGGTCAGGTCGAGTCCTAACCCCATTGTAACCGATTGCCTTGACCGGATTTGGTGCTCGCTATGGATCTGATCCTCTCCCCATTGAGTGTTGGTAATCAAGGGCACGGCCAGGGGGACTTAGACGACCTCTTAGAGCTTTGTACGGGCTGTCCTTGCGGTCAGATTCTCTAACATTTCAGATGAGAGCTCATCAGCTCTGTGGGGCTCAGAATAGTCCGGATTCAGTTTTGCATTTAGCTGCCAGGTAACCGGAATGGGCTGCATTTTGGCCCATCAGCTGGCTTGAGGGGGGGAAGCTGTGGTGGCTGCGCATTACGCATCACTTCTCAGTGACATAAGCCTTATATAATAATCTCAGGCGTTTGATTTGAATTTGTTATTAGTCTGCTCTGTCTGCGCAACTGGCGCAAACATCTGCATGGAGAACATGGTTCCCGTGTGGCTTGATTTGCAGACAGACAGGTAAAGGAGCACCTATGTAAGGTGATGATGTGGCGCAGCTGTTGATTTTAGGTTCACCCCCTCACCCCCTCGCCCTGCCCACCTCTCCTCTCTGTCCACCTGGTATTCACGTTGGGAGCTAGGTTGCATGTCAGAGCTCATTAAAGCGTGAGCCTCGTTTCCCTCTCTTATCCACGTGAATGCAGGCAGCCTCATAGCTCTGCATTGCAGTCTGAAGTGAGTCTGGACCAGGCTATTTTTTCCTCTCAGAGCTTCACTGAGTTGCTTTGCTCATAGACCCTCTCTCTTGGTGTAATACGAGGACACAAAGCAGTCATGTATCGTGTCTTTAGCTCTGGAGAAATGTTGCATATGCAGAAGGGGGGGCCTGAGGTCCTCTCTTCATATTTTGACATCAGTTAACCCCACAGCCCCAGACAGATGTGTTGTAACCCGTCTCTCATAACACATAGACAAAGGCACTATCCTCTAAAGTGAATACTAACACACTCACTGGAGAATGGTTTTGCAGTCGTGTTGTGTTTAACAGTAGAGAACAACTTATTGATCTTGAATGTCATACTGTTTTGACTTGTACTTCCTGTCACATGGTCACTGTGGGAAACTCTTCCCCTCTCAGCCTCAGTATTTGACAGTGAAGTTGAGCTCAGGCATTGTAGTGGGTCTTTCCTTTGAGATAATGATTAATAGATTGTTTTTGTTTTAAAACATCGGCTTTAATTAATTGTTAGAGCAGAAAACCTGCATTTTTGATATGAGGAGAAAAGAAAATACCATCTCAGCGATGTCTTTTAAGCCTATTTTTACTTATTTTGCTCTAAACTGCTTATATCTAAAATGTCTTCAAGTTAATGAATATTATAACTATTATTGTAATTATTATTTTAATATATAATATAACTATGTTGGAAAATATTAAGATCTCTGTTTTTCAGTGGCTAGTAATAGTGCTGTCATGGTAGGATACAGGGCACCTCGATATGGCGAAAACACAGATCTTAACAATTTTTCGATATTGATCGATATTTGTCTCTACTGCTGCATTTATTTATTTATTTTTTTGTGCTGGTAGTTTGAAGAGCAGACAAAGATATAGTTGATAGTTGATATAGTTGGGATAAGATTTTGATAAGATGTTATTGATAACAGTGGCATTGTTGATTCCTGTTTCTTTTCTGTGTGGAAGATTGTCAGCTTTAACCAGCTTTCTATGTCAAAAACCAGGGCTTGACACTAACTTTTCTCACAAGGAGCACATGTGCTCCTAAATTGAAAAAGTAAGGAGCACACAAAGAACTAAAGGGGCACAATGAAAATTGATCAAATAATGTTTGTCTTATTGGCCGACATAAGTACTGTTATATGAAATCAATTTTAGGTCTTTTGCTCACATGACATTGAAGCTATTGAAGAAAATGTTCAAAATTTGTCTTTTAACACAAAACAATTGGTCACATGACATGGAAGCGATTAGAGGAAAAACAGCCTTTTCGGAAAACATCAACCGGTAATTTATTGATGGTCCCTTAATCAACACTTGACATTGACAGCGAGGGTGCTGAGTAGATGTAACCGTGCTGCTGTTGCTATTCCTGATTATGGGGAGTGAGAAGACACCGGTAGATCCGCAGTGAATGTCAGTCGAAAATGCGACCTACAACTAACTTCACCGCGGTATTTACATGAGAAAACATTTGTTGCCTTGGCTAATTTTTTTTATGCACACATGTGCCCATAAATCCATTTTATAATTCGCACGCATCTATTTTTAGTTGCAAATGTGAGTGAAACATTGTTGAATAAATCAAGAGTCGATTTACATTGATTGAAAAAACTAATATCTAACAAGTACTGAACATGGTGGTCAGTCACTTGCAATGATAGCTGAGCGTCCAAAACTGTCCAAAATGTGGCTACATGTTACCAAAGCTAAAGACAAAAAAGAAGAGAAATGCAATTGATGATACAAATTAGTGTATTGCAAAAGGTGAACAGAACCTCAATGGCCAAACACACCAGCACCGTACTTCAAATGAAGCCAAAATGCAGAACTTTTGACTGTCTGCAGTTTTAAGCAACTCTGTCAACTCTCGCTGCTTCTGCTGCTGATGCTACAGCTACAAGACTGCCATCAACAATGGCAACTAGGGCTGAAACGATTACTCGAGTAACTCGAGTAACTCGATTAATAAAATTCCTCGAGGCAAATTATATGCCTCGAGGAATCGTTTAAATCCGGAACCATGTGCAGCGCACGGTGTTTGACACGGACGGTTATTTCTGTTGCGCAGAAGCGTGCTCTTTCCGCTCCTTCCGCTGCCGCGCGTTTGGTTCAATCACGGAGGGAAACGAGGACAGACAGAAGCTGTGTCCGAAATGGCATACTGCCTGCTATCTACTTACCTACTCAAGCAGTAGCTACTGCCTACTGACTACTCAAAGATGATTTGAGTATGCCGCGGCTGCCCGAGCGTTTACACACATACATACTAAATACCCCAGAATGCATTTCGTGCCGGCCGGACGCAGCGCCGGGAAAATTTAAATAGTCCTACCACAAGCTACATAGAACGACTGCATACCGGACAAATTATATAAATTCATTCAATAATAATATTTTTTCTAGCGAGAAAGTAAGTGTTTACATCACGATTATGAGCCCAGTTGTTTGAAATAGTGGCTGTTTGTAAATTTGTCTCGGCGTTTTCGGAGACCGAAGCGTCCACTTGGTCGGTGTTTGCGTCTATTTACCGTAAACACCGGGCAGCAGCAGCTCCCCCTTCACGTTTCCAAATTATTGCGAAGTGTTTTCATAATCAACATCTACACGACACAAACCGGGCGGCAGTGGATGAAAAAAATCACACAAACATCCGTGTATCCATGGTGATAATGCTATACACCACCTGCTAGGCGTGTGATGAGCAGCAGAGGGCTGCAAAATGACCAACACACAACAACATGTAAATAAAAATGTAACACTTTTATATATTGAATAAATGTACATTTGCTTGTCAAATTATGTTAGTATCCAAGAATTATATTATTTCAGCCTATTAATTAAACAAGTAAAATTAGATCCAAAGCCTGGAAATAGTTGTGACTGGTTTAGTGAAAACTGCAAAGATCATTACCATAGCAATTAAAAGACCATCTGCAGACCTTGCCTTCAGTAGTTTCATGTGAACTACATGGTAAAATGTAAAACTTTTGGTTCCTGATTTATGCAGTAAAAATATTCATTTGAAAGACCTGGCCTATTTCAGTTTTGTGTGTTACTGATGGTTTTTAATGAGGCAAACGTGATTCAATGCAAAGTATTACAGTGAGAGCAAAACATTTCTTATCCGATTACTCGATTAATCGACAGATTAATCGATAGAGTACTCGATTACTAAAATAATCGATAGCTGCAGCCCTAATGGCAACATTGAATTTAATGTTTCGAAATCCACGTTGACATCAGCAGAACAAAAGCTACTTAGCAAATGAACTGAGGTGGTTTACGATGACATTGTGAGGTGTTCAAGATCGGGTCAGTAAAACAAGAATTAAGCGAAAGTCCATCTCTTCATCAGCTTCTATCACTGTTGTTTGGCTTCATCCCATTGTCGTCTTCTGCTGTGATTTGAGGGAGTCAAATTGGCAGGGAAGTCTGTTAAAAGTGCTGCGTTCGTTTTTCAATTAAAACATCAGTGTCGATGCTGGCTAATTGATGACTGCATCTTACTTGTCAGGATGATGATATACTATACCATCTATTTGTGTTTTACCCGACCCAAGTACAGAAGTGTTCTCATGGTTGCCAAACTATCCACAGATGTCTCCTCTGCTCATAAACAGACAGACCTTACACAGTATGTGATGATCCGGGGATGAGCTTCAGGGGCTGTGAACTGAGGTACTGCTAGCTTTAGCTTAAGCTTGTTTCTCTGGTCAGTCCACAGTTTTCAGTTGGACTTACAGACATTGCTTATATTGCTTATTACTTGAAATGATACTGATTTCAGATCTGTCCGTTTAATCTAAACTTGTCAAGATCTCTCACTGTTGTTGACCTCTGTTTTGTCACAGTCACTCCAAACTTTTATTTTTTCATACAGCCTTCGTGGGACATCATTGACTGCATAATACTGTCAGGATTTAACTGGATTAACACAGCATTTAAGCCAATGTGTGTTAGAAGATATAGCAAGAGAACAGTTTATTTTTGCCTCACACCTACCCTGATGCAGCGGTTTTGGACATCAGTAATAACTGTGACAGTCTGTCTTGTCACTGATAGTCTGCTGTAATGTCAGTCTTTCAAGCCTTGTGTGTTTTGCACTTGTGGTAATTCAACTAATTGAAGTTTGATCACAGAAACTTAATTGTATTTTTGATTTAAATCAGTTTTGACAATGTATTAAGTTTCTGGACAGGCAATTTCTGGGATCTGCTTGTGTTGGATAACATTTGTCAGATTATAAAAGGTCTTAAATTCCTAGAAATGTCCTTAAAACTTGAAGTTTTTAACATTGTGAAAGTTGGCACCAGGTTTGAATGATTTTAAATAAGATCAACCTTTTTGCAGGACTGTATCATTTTGTCTTTGAACCTTTCTTGCCAAATGGTGTCTGTGTTGAAGTGCCCAGTAGAGTGAAGTCAAATGGCCAATGGCTAATAGTTGATCAGCTTCCTGCTGTTAGTGTCAGAGTGATGTACATGAATGTTCCAGATGTCTTAAAAAACACATGACTATTTGGGGTCTTAAAGTTATAAAACCGATCATCTCTTGTGAAATAAAATGACCTAATACTTTTATATGTGCTTCTGTAGACAGCTGAGACACTTGATCTGTAGTTACATGTTGTGTGGAATCATCTCCAGACATGGAGATGTGTCCCAGTTAGTGAACATGTGATATTTCATTGAGCTGTGTCGGGGAGGTCGGGGTCACCTGTCGGACAGCACAGCAGCACTGAAACTGATCGGAGTCGGGAATGAAGCTTCAATCAGGACAGTTATAACGAAAGATGATCTTTCATCTATCTATAATCTCTAAACCCAGATTGTGACTCTTTTGGAGTAAACAGAGATATTAAGAGCCGGTCCAGCATGGAAATTTTGAGGCTGATTATGAAGCGGAAAATGGACCAACCCCTGTTATGGTAGCCAGTATGGTTATTTTTGAGCAAGAATTAAATTGTCGTTGCAGTCTTATAATGTAAATGCACAGTTTATATATAATTTAAATGATACATTACTACTTAGTCCTTGTGCAAACCACTGTCTGTGACACATGCTGCAGACAGTCCCGCAAGACCAGCTCAAGATGGTCCCTGAATGATTTGATGATACTGGCCCACTTGAAAATTATCTCTAATATTTTACTACACTGTAATGATGTGTTGTAAAATCTTAAACCATTGACATATTTTTGAACCTAAGTGTGAGGGTAGTAGAAATGTAAAAAAAATGGCTCCACAGCATCAGTTGCCAAGCTGCTTTGGCAACCACTTTTAGAGGCTGGCAGTTATCAAGCAATTATTGGCCTTTGATTGCCACCAAATGAACTTAACTGAATTTAAGATTAACAGTCAACCTGGGGTTGGCTAGAGCAATTTCTATTCCATCTTTGAGAAGAGTTTCCTACTGAAGCTCCTGTTCAACTGGTATCATAATTATACAACATGTTTTTTTAACTCTCAGTGTTTAAGTGTTTACTCCACACAGACAGTATGAAGCCATGGCAAACTGTCTAAACCGCCACTGACCAAAGCGCCTTTCCTTCTTAAAGGACTTTTCTCTCCTCCATAGGTTTAAAGTTGCTTTGCTGCTGTGTTACATTTCTTTACTTTGTGCCGTCAGACTATCACACGCTGGATTCAAGTCCCTACCTACTCAGCGTTTCATTAAGCAACTTGCCACTAACTTAATATCACTTAGCTATTATGCATTACCTTTACCTGAGTGTGTATTGCTTTGGGCTGATCCTGCAGATGCTGCATTAAGCTTGATATTTGACTTGTTAGCTGTAACGTCTTTTTTCTTTTAAGCAAGTTTTGCAGATCAGTGTTTGTCATCTGGAAGAATTTCACTTGTTTCTTTGGTGGATACAGATCTTTGCTATTCGATCCCTCTGCCGTAGTTGACTGAGGTAGTGCAGTCTCGGTGTCTCTTAATAAGCATGGTACTTAAAGCTGGTGCACTATAGGTGTCACTTTCTGAGCAGGTTGTGCCAAACATAATGTACCAGTCCTCTTATAAGAGTACAACTGGAAACACTTCATGTAGCTGCGATTTTACTAGGGGTGGGTATTGCCAAGGACCTCACGATACGATACGCATCACGATACTTGAGTCACGATACGATATGATATTGCGATATCCAAATGTTTGCGATATATTGCGATATATTGCGATATTCTACATAGTTCACTGAAAAATGTAAAAGGCATTATGCATCTTAAAATCCCAGTTGTATGTACATCAGATGATAGTGATAATTCATGGGACAAACAGTCAAAACAATGTAATTCAAATTATCGATGCCATTTTATTGTAAGTGCAAGTTACAACATATTTGCGTGAACAACACACTGTCTGAAACACATTGAAAAGTGCAGTGTGCATTATTCTTAGTCTCCCTGAGCACAATTATGACACAAACTGCAGTGTGGGTCAGTGTCCACATACTGAAACTGAATTGAAACCTCAGTGGATTATGTTTCTTCTGAACTTAGAGTAAATACTCAAAATAAAATGCAGTGTCTCACACACACTGAAATTGAAAATGCAAAATAATGTAGGACTCGGTGGCTCGTGATGTCCAACCGTCACAGGACAGTGCGACTCTCGGAGCAGAGCTAAGAACTGTTTTTATTGTCTCCTTCACCTCGTCATACATTTTTGGCACAGCTACGTTAGCCATGTACTTACGCTGCGGCATCACATAGTGCGGCTCCAAAGTATGAAGCATCCACCGAAAGCCGACGTTTTCCACAACGTTGTATGGGCGCAAATCTTTACAAAGAAAATGCACCATCGCCTCTGTGATCCCCCGGGCTCGGGTTGAAGTAGATGGGAGGACTTTGGCGATGTCCAGTGTAGTTTGCTTTGGATCGGAAGGTTTCGGTGGCTCCGGCTGAGCTAATATGTCGGGGTGGTGTCTTGCTAAATGAGTTCTCAAGTTTGTTGTGTTACCCGAATATCTAATGGGAGCGACACAGAGTTTGCAAAGCGCGTACTCTTTGTCCAGCTCATTGTGTGTTTCTCCTTTCCTTTGGAATCCAAAGTATCTCCAAACATCTGCCTTAAAGTTCGAGGGCGTTTCTAGTTTAACGTTACCAGCCATGCTTGATTGTTTTTTTCCCGGCTCCTCTTCCTCACTGCAACCGGCGGGGGAAAAAAGAGAAGAAGAAGTGAGGTAGCGGTACAGCGACACCTAGCAGAGCGGAGGTGCGGAAGTCGTACTGGATTTGTTAACCCGTCTGAAACCTGATTTATTATTTGAACAAAAAATCGATATTAATATTTTGAATATCGATATTGAATCGGAAGTCAAAGTATCGCGATATATTGCCATATCGATATTTTTGCCCACCCCTAGATTTTACTGTAAAATACATGTGCCTTTTTTGTAATCTAAAGGTTAGCTCTATTCTTCATCTGTCTGTATCAAAATGGTGTGAAAGTCTTGGCACGGTCATGAAATCCATCGACCATTTTAACAAAGTCAAATTTGTACATTTGAAAACGTCTGTTTTTCGTCTGATCGATTTGAGATGTGTTTTGTGCAAAGGCATATCAAGACTGTGATAAAAGTGTGATTTATTGTGCAGCCCTAGATCCAATTTACACATCTGAGGCCAAAATGGCTGCCATGGTGATGTCAAGGATATGACCTGGCTGCCTCTGTAGTGCAGACGACACTCAGTTAGAGGTCTCAAGGCTGCGTTCAGGTGCTTCCAGGCTCTTCCTGTTCACGGTGGCGACTATTATGATGTAGAGCATCAAGCTGCGAAGATCATTGTCTGCTGCACAGGCGAACGTCTGTGAGCTCGAGTGTGTGTGTGTGTTGGTGTGTGTTTCTGTGCTGCAGCTGACAGCAGTGATGTGGTGTGTGGCTCACGGTCTCCCTCACTGCTGTGTAACATGAAAAGGAGATTTTGACAGAAACAGATCAACCCTTGTGAGTGCAGAGATCCCCCAAAAGTGCTTTGAATATTTTTTTGATGCTGAGTGTGGTATCAAATCAGCCTACAACCCAATTGATTGTATTTTCTTCTTCGTTGGTTAATCTTAGAGATCCTTCAGTGTTTTGAATCGGCCGTCATCAATTCCTCATCGCACAGTTTGAATCTTTAATCCATGTTAATATCGTGTTGGCAAACTCATCAGCACCCAGATGTAGAACACAGACAACAAGTCCATGTGGTGGTGGTGGTGGTGGTGGCGGGCCTTACTGTCACCATGGCAACCAAGGTGTAGCTTCACTAGTTGCTGGGGGCAACAAGAGAGAGAAGCGGTGCAGAGTGGCACACAGAGGTAGGGGAGAGGAGACGTGAAAGGCGGCAGGTGAGAAGAGGAGGCTAATGCCAGGCGATGAACATGAAAAGAGGAAGAGGAGGATGAGAGGAAGAGACGTGACAGGGACTAACGAGAGCGAGGAGAGGGAGGAGCAAAGTTGCTCTCTTCGTTGCCGTGCAGGCTCGTTGCAGCTCTTGAGATTCTGCGTTCATACACTAAGGAGACATCTTCTCTACTCTATGAAGACTGAGCCGCCAACTTTCATGCCCACATTTTCAGAGGGAGATGCAGTCAGTCAGACTGGAGCTCCAAGCCCTCCATCATCATCCCTCAACCATATTGAAAGAATACTAATCTGAAGATATTGGCTCTAATATTATTCTGATGAGAGACAGTTGAAAGGTTTGTGAACTGACTCTGGAACAGTCTGAAGCACTTAAAAGCTGGGCAGTATCAACTGTGTCCTAGACAGTCATTATGTTGTTGTTTTCAGCATCTTTTCAGAGTCTGTTTGTGAGGCAGGAAGGTTTAGGACAGACAGGAAACGAGGGAGCAAAGTAGGGGAAAGGCACGCTCAAAATGGTCATGGTCACAATTTGATTAAAAAAAAATACTAATAAGAATATGTACAGTACTGTCAAAGTCATTGGTTATGTCAGTTTCTACACACTAGATGGTTTTAGGCCTAGTGTGTGGCCTTCCCAGCCTTGGATCCTGAATATCAAACTTGTCTGATATTTAGGATTTCAGGTCTCCAGAAACAAATGACAGGAGCAGACTGGGAACCGGATGTTGCATAATTTCACAGCTCACAAACACAGCAGCAGGCGTAAACATATCTGCGCCCTTTGTGCTTGTTGATTCGCTATCACAAATGTGTGTCTTCTTCTGTTGCTTTGTCATGGAGTTATGGAGTTCAATGTTTTCAGTGCTCCGCTTCCTTCTCAAAAAAAATTCTCCCAGGGTTAGTTGATTTTAGCTGCTGCGTTTTCAGTACTCCCATTTAATAAATGTATTTGGAAGTTCACAGCGCTCAGCAGTGATCGCCTACCAATTAAAACCGAGGAGGGGCGGGGCTTCTCATAGCATCTTTGCCATCAACAATGGCAGAGGTCACAGTGTTACAGCGTTATGGAAGCACAGAGTATAAACTTCAAAAACAGTGCAGTTCAGTTATTATGACTGGCGTTTTGCCTCTTTTACTGCCTCAGATACCAGTTCAGGGTGGAACTGCCCACCATTCATTCTCTGCATGTACGAAACAGTCCTGTCTTGAACAGTCAACATACAGAGGGCTACTGTTCCTGCTTCTGTTGTTGTTCTTTGCAACTCAGTGATCGAAAAATCTTCTGAGCTTCATTGTTATGTGCAGATGAAAAGGACAAGGCTTCAGATGTCCTGCTGGCTCTGCTCTTCCTAGAGTTCCTGACTTCACCCAGGTGTGTCTTCCCAGGTTGGACAGAAAATGGGCATCTTTGTGAAACTTTTCTGCCAGAGTTTCAACTGGATGTTAGTGGACTGCTGTTAGTTTTTTTTGACACCTTTAAAATGGAATATTTGAATCGGACAGTTTTGATCTTTTTGAGGAATTGTTCTTCTAAAAATTTCAGATTTTTGCTTCTCATTGTGAAAGTAAATTGGTGGTCTTTAGGCTGTTTGTGAGACACTGAGTGTTTTCCAACATTTTCTGATCATTTTGGAACAAAACTTGATAAATGTGGGAAATTGGCGACAAATACGCATCATGATTCTGAGTTAAAGCAGACCACTGGTTTAAACCTCACTGTACTTGAACACGAAGGGCTTACATAAGTAACCAGGTGTTATCAAACCAGTTCACCTGGATGAATAGGTCTGGGTTCGCTGGGTCTTCAGGTACGGATGTATGGAGAAGTGCTTCTGGGAGCGATTGGAAAGACCCACAACAAGTCGAAGCAATGCAGCTGTTGCACAGAGCAGCACAAAATGTAAACAAACAATGAGAGGAGAGCGAGAATGATCAAGCACCAGGATGTCTGTGAATGACAGTTTCTGATTTTGTGACAGAAAATTGCAAATAAATGGTGTTATATTATATTGATAAAACAACAAGTGCAAAGAGTGAACTGTGGACTGAAACTGACCAAAAAGTCAACACTGATTTGTAAAACATGTAATACAATACTTTCATAGCTTGAACAAGATTCACTGGAGGTTAGATGATGGAGAGGGGAAGAGAAAAACCTTGCTTTAAAGGAAGAAGCTGTCAGATACAACATCTGATTGATGGACTCAGGAGCAAAGTCGTTCAGAGACACTAAGGGCTCTGAAAAAGTCAGACCTTGGTACACCAACTCCAAGTCTGACAGAGGTACGCCTGCTGTTAGGTGGTTTTCAACAGTGAAAGTCCGGGCCAGAGTACCAGAAGTTGGCAGGAAATTTAGAAAAAAAAAATTTGTGATTAAACCCTCCTGCCAGCGAAAATGAATATTAGCGGAGTAATGTGTCTGGGAATGCCAGGTTACATATTCAGGGAAGGATCAGTTGAAGGGGATGTTTTAAAGATCTGTTTTCCCCCAAAATCTAAATACTCCTTAAAAAAAACCCCAAATGGTTCAGCCAATGGTCTCATTTCTACTTAACAGGTGGTGGTTAACAATGGCAGTGAGTCATCACACTGTGTGAAGGGTGGGGGCTTGTGGGACACCTGCTCCACCTCAACATCTGTCGGCTCTAATGAAACCAATCACTGCTGCCAGCTCTCACCTGATTGTCATCTTTTCTTTGTGTTCCCAGGTGGTTGCCTTAGCGATGGACGGGGAGTCAGAACCAAACCCTGCCGTAGCAGAAGAGGCAGAGGAGCAGGTGGAGCCCATGGACGCCACTCCCTCCCCCGAGCAAGAGAGCACGCCTCCCTCAGAGGAGGCAGGGGAGGTGGTTTCCACAGTAACAGAAGATGGTGCAACAAAGGAGGGTGGCATAGAGGACAATGATGATGATGTTGTTTTAGTAGGGGAGGAAGCCCCCCAGCCTTCTGTCACAAACCCATCCAACAACACGCCAAGCAGGGACTGCCCAGAGCAGGACATGTCCACTGCAACGCCTTCCAAGACCCCCTGTTCACCCGTGTCTTCCAGCACATCCACATCAGCAGCTCCCAAACCTCCAACCACAGCAGCAGAGCCCATCGTCATCGACGACGAGGAGGACTCTGAGCAGAAGGACGCTTCCTCCACCTCACCAGCGCACCCCGGAGGCTCCTCGGCCGCACACTCGCCGGGTGCACTCAGCAGCACCGAGCCGGATTCAGAGATCAGGATCGCCAGTGTCACCACCCTGGGTGTCAGTAGCCAGAAAGAAAGCTCTGCGATCTTTTCAGTAAACACTCCACCACATTCAGAAGATGACCACGCAGACATGAACCTGATGATAACCTCGGTGACATCACTGCAGGGCGGAGACACGGCTATCACAATAGTGAGTATCACATGTAGTGTTTTTTGTACAAAGTAATGTAAATATTTAAATAAAAGTTGGCCTACTTAGCGCCAAACTTCACATGTGACAAATGAATGCAGGTCTGAAGCAGAGGGGGAAATGAATTCAGTCTACATTTGTTGGTGACCTTGGTTGCTGAGAGGAAATGGTTACGTCTGAATGTTTTGTCTCTGAAACAAAAGTGAAAAAAGTGATTCGTAATTGATCTGTTGTTTGGTAGCGTTCTTTTGAATACAGGGAAACATTTTCCTGGTTAAAGTCCACAATTCTTGGGGCGCCTCAGTTCTTGCGGTCTGGGTGCGCCCTGTACATTCACAGGCCCCAGATTTGATTCCAGCTCCTTTCCCTGATGTCTCTCCCCATTTCCTGCTCCACTCTCTGTCCTGTCCTGTCAAATAAAGGCCAACACTCTCCCTGAAACTCACATTTTCCTCAGTGTTGCTTGACCCAAGTGTTGTTTATCAAGTGAACAAAAGTCTGTCTTCTATAGATCCTTGTCTCATAGCAGGAGGAGTTCTTGGATTAAAGCAATAAAACCTGTTAATTAAAGTTTTACAGTGCTCAGATCCAGCTCACTGTCCAGCATATGAAACCATCTCATCTTATTTTGTAATGTTTTTGTCACTAGGCAGGGGAAAGCCAAGCAGAAGAAAATGGTCTTCAGATCAGCAGTGCGTTCAGCCTGAATCCTGACACCCCACCTGGTAGACTGACAGCTTCCTTCAATCCCGGGCGGGGCTCGGGTCCCGTGGGCCAGCTGGTACAGAATGGAGACACGGGGACACACAACAGAGCAGGTGATGAATTTATTATTAGGAAGAAAATATCTAACTTGGCATGTCCAGGCACAAAAATTAGAGGCTGGTTTAATGAATCTTCAGTGATTTCAAATTGACCATCTATTCTTATCAAGTGAGTTTAGTCCACATCTTGAGAGAGGTGGTAAGTGTCCAAAATGAATTCAATTAGGTTAAGGACTGCTTAGTCGATCACATGTAAGTCAAGATCAGCTGATTTACAGAACTCATCAAAACTCAATGAAACCAGCTTAACTTTTGTTGCAAACAATCCAAAGTCATACACCAAAGCACATGATTGGCTGATCAAATCGGTACAAGCTGACTTTGGATTGGGTCGGTGGATTACTCTGTGATTTGAAAGGCTGCGTTTTCAATACTGCTAAGCCTTCAATTTCTGAAATATTCACACCAGTTGGCTTTTTTTGACAGTGTCACAATCTGTATGTATTCTCTGTAATATGTAAACTGAACCGTTAACCTGAAACGGCTCATGTGACATTGTCTTTTAAAAATGACGCTTAATGAAAACAAATACGAAGCACACAAAGCATTTTATAACTGTAATATGAGAAGCAAGAGTGGCTTAAACGCCAGTGAGAAGAGCCCTACCGTTTCGGTCATGGGTGCTGTCTGTGCAAAAAACAGCATAAGTGGACAAAACCCCAAAGAGGTAATAAAGATCAGCTTTACTTTATCTAATGGCTTATGCATTCATCTTTATGTTTCATCCCACTTATTGATAGATAACAGTAGTTAAATTCTGTCAAGAAGGATGTAGTCTCCTATACCTGACATCATTGTCCTTTAAGGTCATGTCCTTCTCTTCTGGGAAGACTTAAAACAAGATTTAAAATCCTGCTTTCAGGCATTTTGCTCCCTTTCAGCCTCAGTGGCCAAGGATGCTGGGTAATTAGGCCTGGTTTATAGTCGGGGTTGCAGTGCTGTGAAAAGGAAAAAATGAGGTCAAGTCCTGAGTCTTGCCCTGACAAATTGAGGCCTCAGGATGAAGTAAAAGAGGCACGTAGGATAAACACATGTGTCAATTTTGTGCCTTCTTTTCCCGTGCTTCAGACTCATGGATCTCCCAGTCTGCGTCAGTCCCCCGAAACCAGAAGCAGACAGGGGTGGACTCTCCATCACCGGCCACATCCCTGCCCAAACCTCCAGGCCAGTCTTCCTCATCTACTTCCTCCTCAGGCACCCAGCCACAGCCCAGGACAGTCAAGGTCTGCTCACGTGTAGTCCTTATGTACTTAAACAAAAGAGTCTTGCAAAGAAAATAAATGTGATCTCTCTGGAATGTTCTTGGTTTTGCCTCAAATAACACTAAAATATCCTTTGAATTTGGAAAACACCAACCATAACTCTGTCAAATTTGCTCTATTCAGCTAACTTGATGGTGCTGTTGATCACTTATATGACAGTCACCAATATGTCTACAGTTTCTTTTAAACCCAGGCTGAAAAAGCTGCATGTATCAGAGTTCATCTGTATGCGTTTCACTGAGGGATGAGTGTTCAATTTGCAGCTAACGGAGTCTGACTTGATGCTGTCGTAAAACTTCCTGGCAGTTGATTAATACCGTGTTTGTCTTTCCCAGGTGACCTGTGCTAACTGTAAAAAGCCTCTGAAGAAAGGACAAACAGCTTACCAGCGCAAAGGCTCCACACACCTGTTCTGCTCCACCACCTGTCTGTCTGCCTTCTCACACAAACCCGCCCCCAAGAAGAGCTGCACCATGTGCAAAAAGTAAGAGTCCCCCGAGAGATTGCTTAAACCAGTCCTGTTCCCATAGAGATCGTTTGTGGTTTGATTTTTGCATCGTTTGTTAAAATAGCCAGGGTTTAAAATAATCACCCAAGCCTGTAAAGATGTTACGTAACCCAGATGCTTTCTTGTCTTCTAGGGACATCACGAACATAAAGGGTACCATAGTGGCCCAGGTTGACTCCAGTGAGTCTTTTCAGGAGTTCTGCAGCACAGGATGTCTAGGAGCGTACGAAAACAAGCAAAACCCTCCAAAATCAGGCCTCAAAACCAAATGCACTGTCTGCGGCAAGCTCACCGAGGTCAGTCTGCCTTACACTGCCAGTCATAACCACAATCACACACATGCTCATAAACTCCTGATAATTGAATCAATGATTTCTTGTAATGTAACACAATGACTCTCATTCTCCTAAGCTTCAGTTACTCTTCATTATTTACATCCTCTGCTGGGCTGTTTGTCAACCCTTGTTGCTATAATGTACATTTTTCACTCCTTCTTTTCACATCCTCTACATCCACAAATGATTATTCTCCTGTCAGCATTTATCCGCCTCTGTTTGGCTCCTTGTTTTATTGTTTTATTGTTGCTCCTTGTTGTATTGTCCCCACTCAGATCATTCTTTCAATCTCATTCAATATTTATCTCTTGTCTTCATCCTTGTGTGACGTTGCTGCTCTCTTGTTTCTTCCCTCTTTTGCTCCATCCCTCCATTTCAGCATGTTCTTAGCCACCAGAAGCAAAAATACTTACTCAAAACTTCTGTTTCCCCCATGTCACACTGAACTATTATAAAGTTAGTCAGGTTGTCGTGTTGTTATATGTTGAATGAAATATTCTCTGGGATAAAGGTGAGCTGTACATGAATTTTCTCAGTATTTTCTGGCACTCGCGGTTAATTTGAAGCTGTGGGATTGTTCTGTGACCAGTTTGAAGGAGAGATTTGCAGCAACCTAAAAAAAACTTGAGACATGGTTTGACTTTACAATTTCAGATGGTTTTTACCAAACCAAAGCACCTCTAAAATGAAGCCAAAACATGCATCATTATTGCTCATTTGCACACATTGCACTTTTGATTACTTGGTAGTAGTTTTTCTCCATTTTTGGTATGAGCTCTGGACTGAATTTTAGGTGGTTTTGTGTATGTGTTTTGGATATTGTGTTATGTTTTTAATTGTTCTATGTTTTTTAAATTTATGTTGTCATTGCGTACTTGTCTTTTGTGAGCCCTGCTGCAAAACTAATTTCTCTTTACGGGACAAGAAAGAGATTCTGATTCTGATTCTGATTCAACATGACTTAAACCATTTTAAAATCTTTGCATGCTGTTTAAAAGAAATGTTAATGTACTTGAGCTTTAAGTGTCTTCTGGTTTCATTCCTTTGCCTCCAGATCCGGCATGAGGTCAGTTTTAAAACAGTGACCCATAAGATCTGCAGTGACGCATGTTTCAACGTTTATCGTCGAGCCAATGGGTTGATCATGAACTGCTGCGAACAGTGTGGAGACTACCTACCCAGCCGAGCGTCGGCCAACCACTTCCTGCTGGTCGACGGTCAGCAGAAACGTTTCTGCTGCCACAACTGCATCAGGGAGTTCAAGCAGGTACCAAGCTGTTAAAGAAATATTTGTTTAATCTGTGTTTCATTTCATTCATCAGTCCATGTCCTATCTGTCAATACAGTTGAGTTAAGTTTCATGAACTACACTACGCTGATCAGTAGGGTAATGACAATGAGCCAGGTACACTTACCTGCAGATAACTGGTGTACAGTCTGCAGTCAGAGTGTTGTGTTGGCACGCATCTTTCTCTCTATAAACCCTGTTTTCTTTTCACCCAGTTGCTTACTTCTAAATTGTGTCGCTATTCAATACTTGCCAGATATTAGACAGCAGAATTGTATTAGTTGCTTGGTAACAGCAGCTCAATGAACATACTGGTAATAAGTGGGAAAGACGACTGTGTCCGTCTCAGTGTTGTAAAATTTGAAAGGGAAGGCAGACTGTTCAGGGAAGCTACCTCTTATTCTATAAACACGGTGTCCAGTAATGAGCTTCCTATTTCAAACAAACATGGATGGCTGATCAATGGCTGGGGGACTAATAGTTTCTTTATCCAGTGGGGGTTTAAAATCATCTATACCGAAACTTTTCTTCACACCATAAGTGCTTGTAACTGTGATTGTAAAGCACTACAGGCATATTAAGATGCATTAAATGTATGTCTGTCTTGTGTCATACTATGTTACAGAGAGAGGCTTCATAGAAAGTGTAACTAAAAGTCTTTTTAGTCTTTCAAACTAGCAGTTTATCTCTGAAACCATGTGTTAGCAGGAGATGATATAATGTGCGATGCATTTCAGTTTTAAATCCGTTTTTCACGCTTAAAATCAATTAAAAAATTACATATTTCCATCACAAGGACAATGCTTCATTCTTTTCTCAGATAAGATAATTCATATTAAGGACACATCATTAATTATGCTATGCTCCGCTGAAGCCTACTCAAGGCTTTGATGATGTGCAGGTCAGAAGGGGAACCATTATATTAGTCAGGAAATGTTTTCAACTTCAGGAATTACAGTATTGCGTCATTACCATGAAGTTTTTTCTTCTCTGACTGTCTTACATACTTGGCATATCTATTGAAGGCAGAAAACACTTCATTCCCAGGAAGGGTAATGCAAATAGAAAAATCTGGACTTAAATGTTTTCTTGTTTGTGGATCTGATCCACCAACATTTGGTCAAAGGTGTTAAAATCTGGTCAACATCACTCCTTGTTAGTCAGCTGTATCACTCTCAAACTGGACAAGTTCTATTTTTTAAACTATTCAGCACATTTTCAGTACGCTGAATGAAAGATCAGGGCCAGAAGTGTTTTTCTTTACTAGTGATTATCCCCGGTCCACACGAAACACTCCACACTCTATTCACGACGCACATTGAAATAGAAAGAAATAGCTGTAAGTATTGCAGTATGCCTGATAACCTTGTTTCTGTCAGCCTCTTCCAGAGGCATTTGCTGCCTGTGTGGTATGAGCTTTAATTATTCACGAATGAACATGGGAAACTTTCACCTTAGATGCTCCAAAAGGCTGAGAGATGGAAGGAGAAAAACTTTTAAATTAAGGCCAAGCTAATGAAAGCAAGAAAAATGAGAAGTATCATGTTGCTGTCAGAAATCAGGCTAGAAGTTTTTACAAAAAACTTGATCTTGTTGGTGGTAAAATCAAGAAAACAGATGAATCTATGTACTGTCATGACCAAACAGTAGAAATTGCATCAAAAATAAACAAGTCTATGAGAAATTTATGCTGTTTTCTCCAAAAATACTCATATTATCTTCAGGTTTGATGGATAAAATCAGATGCCGCTCAGTATTTTGATAATCACAGTTAAACCTTGAGCTCCATGTGGATTTTCATCACTTTGTTGTACTCTTCTTTCTCTCTGGAGCAAAATTAGTGTCCTTCTTCCATAAGTTGATGGCATGCTTAAATATTATTTCATCATAGTGCATCCACATCTCATTGCCATTGCAGACTTCTGAGTTTATTGCTTAAATGTGATGTTTCTGCTCTGTCTCAGGCTCACAGTAAACTTGCAAGCTGCACAACTTGTAAAACGCTGATCAAGACGGGTGAGGTGCTCCACAGCATCGGATCGGGCGGCACCATGGGCTCCTACTGCTCTGTCAATTGCATGAACAAGGGCAAGCTGACTTCGAGTTCCTTCACCAGTGAGATAAAGTTCTATGTTTTCACTATAGCTATAAAATAAACGTTTTGGTTTTTGGAAACCCTGTAAACTTGTTTTTTCACTGATCATCGTAAATATACATCACTATAGTATGTGGCTTAATTTTCGTGACCCTTTATTATTGCCTGTTTGTGCAGACACAGAGCCGACGTGTCACTTTTGCAAGAGGAATTCATTGCCGCAATACCAGGCCACGCTACCAGAGGGAAACGTCCTCAACTTCTGCAGCTCACAGTGTGTCACCAAGTTTCAGGTGAAGACTCGTCTGTCTTTTCAACACAGAGGACATAAATCAGAGTCCTTTTGCAACAAGAAATGAATTTTAAGATGGAAACAGAGTTGACCCTGCAGGTGAAGATAAAGATAACCTTTATTTATCCCACAGTAGGACGGGACATTTGCATTATTAACAGCAGCAAAGGATCACCATTACAATATGCATTTCCTAATGACTTTTGTCTTTCTGTGCTCAATATTTCTTAAGAGAATCCGATCACAAAGGTGGATTATTTTTAAACTCACAAAAGACAGTGAAATATAACAAGCTGCAGAACCAGACACCCTAGATCAGGGGTGGGCAATCATGTGCCACAGAGGGCCGAGTGGCTGCAGGTTTTCTTTCCAACCCAAAACTCCACCAGGTGATTTCACTGATTAGTCCCTGCTCTCTGCTTGGTAAGGTAATCAGTGAAATCACCTGGTGGAGTTTGGGGTTGGAAAGAAAACCTGCAGCCTCACGGCCCTCCATGGCACGATTGCCCACCCCTGCCTTAGATGTATCCATCTTTTTAAACATAGTTCATGCCAATGGGATTAACAGTTTTTCAAACAACTTTTGATGAAGATTTAAAGGTGTCTCTGTGTGCCGTTTTGTACAGAGTTTATTTCTTCTGTTTCGTTGTAAATTTAGATCGCTGAATTCTCAACACATTCACGAGTCTTTTTATATCATAAACATCCTTTTCAATGTCCAGCCAGTTATTCAGAGTAGGAGAGTCTTCTTTGCACCATTTCCCGGTGATTGCTTTCTTTGATGCTGCAAGTAAAATCTTAACCAAGTAACAATCTGCACAAAAGAGATATAGAGACAGACAGCCAACTGTTATAAGAATTGGTTCACAGATTGAAAGAAAATTTTAAGATATGTCTACAAAGTGCATACAGATGAATAACATATACATATTAAAGTTGTGTGATGAATAGTTGAGATAATTGTATGGGACTGATGTCTTGTCTAATATTTGATGTCCTCTGTAATGAGGACTCGTGCGTTCAGCAGACCCTCCTGTATCCCCATGTCCCTGATTACTCTAACAGGATAAAAACCTGATGGGAATGAATGTCAAGGTTGTAAAAATAAAATCCGCATTAACCTTTAACGACCTAATTAGCTTTCTAGCACCACGTTGCATAAATTTACACTTTAAACTGAGAGCAAATGATCCTGATCAACATGAATCCGCTGTAGTCCACCAACCAAGAGAAAATTAAGGGTATGAGGAAATTCTGTAAGTCAGTCTGTTTATTTCTCTGCAGTTCAGTCAGTGGTCTCTTCTGTCATATTAAATATTTATTTGAGTATGACTAAGAAGTCTTTAGATGGTTGTTAGCTGTTATGAATCAGATAAATTTGAAGTAAAATTTTAATAATTTCTTTTTTCACATCTTTTTTGCACAGAATGCAACTTTTCAAACAGCCACAAATGGACAGACGCCGCTCTCCACGACAAACAACACCGTCCAGCTGAAATGTAACTACTGTCGAGGAGCGTTCAGCCTGAAACCTGAAATACTGGAGTGGGAGGTGAGATCATTGAGAGGACTTGGAGTTGACTTTAGTTGTTTATCAACATCAGTTTGGTCCTGGGCTGTTTTTAAACAGAAGATGATATGTTCAGGTCAATTAATGGCCAACTTGGAACGTTAAGTGATAATCTAATACTGTCATGTGAATATTTCTGTAATAAATGCATCTATATGCGTGTGTTTCAGGACAAGGTCTTTCAGTTCTGCAGTAAGGCGTGCTGTGAAGACTACAAGAAGCTGCACTGCATCGTGACATTCTGCGAGTACTGTCAAGAGGAGAAGACGCTACACGAGACAGTCAAGTTCTCGGGGGTCAAGAGGCCGTTCTGCAGCGAAGGTACTAATCTTCCATCTTCCTCTCCTCTTGTCTATAGGACACTTGATTAATCGGAGCAATTTTCTTTAAAGGTTGGAAGTGTTCAGTGCAGCTGATTATATCCATCGGTGGCTGATGGAGAGTGGTTTTTAATGCCTGCTTCTTTGAAGGTCTTTCTTCAATGGCTTGTAAACATTATTTCATACTAGTTCTATATTCATACTTCCCTTATAGCTACTCATTTGACATGTTGAAGAATCTCTCTGGTCAATTTATGTCTTCCAGGTGGGAGTTTATCTTTCCCTTTTCTGCTTTACATCATGCTTTCTTTTTTCTTTTTCCTAACCTTTCTTTGCCGTGTGTTTGTTTGTGTGTTTGTTTGATTTTTTACCAGGTTGTAAGCTGCTCTTCAAGCAGGATTTTATCAGGCGACTGGGCCTGAAGTGTGTCAGCTGTAACCACTGTAACCAGCTCTGTAAGAGAGGGGTGACCAAGCAGCTCGGGGGCATGACGCGGGACTTTTGCAGCGAAACCTGTGGAAAGAAGTTCCACGACTGGTACTACAAGGTCTGATAATACATTATGTATCTGTTAAGAATTTTCTTTTTAGGGAGTAGTTATACTAAGGAATATTTTTTCTGAAATGGTTCCTCTTGTGGCCACTAGGCGGCGAGGTGTGACTGCTGTAAGGTGCAGGGGAACCTGACAGAGTCTGTGATGTGGAGATCGGAGCTGAAGCAGTTCTGTGACCAGGATTGTCTGCTGAAGTTCTACTGCCAGCAGAACGAGCCCATCATGGTGACACAGAAAGGCCCTGAAAACACAACCATAGGTACAAACTGTGTTTGTTTGTATATCAGAAAGTAAGGCACATTATTATCTAAAATCTTAGTTCCATCTCAAACATATATTAATAAGTGTAAAATACATGTTGCGTGCCTAAAATGATGGGTTCAAATCAGGAGCTCTTTGTGGGGAAAAGATTGAATACCTTCAAATTTTTCTTTCACAGGGTATGAAATGCAAGGAGCCAAACTTGGGGTGAGTAAGAATGTGAAATTTGCAAATTTCAGATGATGCTTCGTCTCTTTTAAGATTCCTAGTGTGTATATCATTCATTTGAATTTCAAATTGTGCAGATACTTTGTTTGAAATTTAAACAACAGATCAACTGTCTCTTTTAAATACAATTAGAGTACATGTTTCTTTTTAATAACCAATTGATTTGTGAGAGGAGAGGTTACGGTTGTTTACATTTGTTGTGTTTTCTCTTCTCTGTGTCACAGCTGGTGAATCAGGGTACTGTGGCGTACGCTGGAGGAGGGGTGATGAGAGACGTCAAGAACAAAGCTGTGCTCTGCAAACCTCTTACCCTGACCAAGGCAACCTACTGCAAACCGCACATGCAGAGCAAACTTTTACAGACAGGTACCCGCAGGAAAATTCACTTTCCAGCACAAAACTTTTATTTACAAGATTCTATCTCAAGGCCTGTTATCTAAATATCACTTCTGTTAAACACTTTTATTATCAATCAGAAGACACCTGAGTTGAGACAACTTCTGAATTTAATTAAAAGCAAAAAGATAGTGTTTGCAACAAGATTACACAAGTTTAGCTAACCTGGCTGACAGTGCCAAGCTGATAAACATGCAGAATAAAATGTTTCTTCTTCTACTGACCAAAATGTAGAGTTTTGTTTTGTTCTGGTTTCTGCAAATTGAAGAGATCAGCAGCTCAAAAAACTCCTGATACATTTACCATAAACTGGTGGCCATAATAACTCTCATTGCATTTTGGCAGCTGCATGAAAGACTTTGTTTTCCAGTGGTACTTAGTTAGACGCAGCTTGTGGTTGTTACTCTTCACACAGCTTTGTAGTCATGAAATTCATGATCTAAATTACAGTTTGTAGTTCCCAGTCTTCATGGAGAGTTTTTTAGATGAAACGACCCCAAGTTTCAGTCAGTCCCAGTCATGAGTGAAGTGGCGGCTATAAACAGCTGCTGTTGTCCTGACAACTTCAAAGGAGGCAGTGGAGGAATTTTCCTGCTACACACCTTTTTATATCACTGCCTCAAAGCTCAGTCATTTTTGTATTTAACCTGAAGATATCACATGTTTGTGTTCACAGACGTAGACGATGGTGTGAAGAGGGAGTATATTCCTGTACCCATACCTGTGCCTGTCTTCATCCCCATGCCCATGAATATGTATGCCCAGGTCACCCCAACTCCAGTTTCTCTGCCTGTACCGGTGAGACATGAGTCGTCAGATTATAAACATTTCTCCAGATTAAACCAGATCTCTGAAGGCCTGTCTTATAATTGTGAAAGTTTTGCTTAAAATGGTTCTCTTAAGACCAAACCTGTGCAAAACAGATAAAAAGTGGAGGTCTGTTAAAATTCTGTTGTTAATTTTAAGGTTAAAAAGCAAAACCCAAGCAACTTCATTAAAAATGGCCTAATCTTGGTTTTCTGGTCCTGTCTTCTCCAGGTTCCTGTGCCTGTGTTCTTGCCCACCACCCTGCAGGGGGCAGAGCAGATCGTAGAGGCCATCAACGACCTGAAAAACAAGGTGTCCTCCAACCCTGCAGAGTCTGACCTGATCTCTAAGACTGAGGTGACCACAGAGGATCAGAAACCAGGTACAGCCCAGTGAAACTTTATTGTCTCAGTTTAAAAACTAGAGATTGGAGAAGTGATGCTGTTTTTTTTCAGTGTTATGAAAACACGATCCTCTGCAGTCTCTTGAAAGCACTTCTAAACAAACAGATGTTCCAGTTCAGTTCAGATCTGAAGGAGTTTGCAGCAGATGATAATGACTTTCTTGTTTGTGCCAGATGTGAAGCCCGTGAAGGTTAAAAGAGAGCGAGAGGAAGACGAGTCCCCGAGTGGCAGCAGCTCTGCAGGAGAGAAGGTTGTGAAAAAGGAGAAAAAGGAGAAGAGTAATAAGGAGGACAAGAGTAATAAGGAGGAGAAGAGAGAAAAGGAGGAGGAGAAGAAAGAAAAGGAGGAGGAGAAAAGCAAAAAGGAGGAGGAGAAAAGAGAAAAGGAGGAGGAGAAAAGCAAAAAGGAGGAGGAGAAAAGAGAAAAGGAGGAGGAGAAAAGCAAAAAGGAGGCGGAGAAGAGAGAAAAGGAGGAGGAGAAAAGCAAAAAGGAGGAGGAGAAGAGAGAAAAGGAGGAGGAGGAGAAAAGCAAAAAGGAGGAGGAGACGGAGGAGGAGGATGACAAATACGACCCAAACCTGGACCTGGAGGCAGACTTTCCTCAAGGTAAACACCCTCTGAATGTTTACTGACAGATCTGTCGATGTGAGGCATCAATGATTCTGCTTCTGCATTTCAAGGACCAACATTTTCTCATATCATAATTTGATTAAAAAAAAACAAATCCGCTTTTTGTTCAGACTATTTGGTTTTTACCCACTGAGGAATAAATGAGGTCTACAGAGATATAAATGAAACTTGAAACAAGTTTATCTTTTTCATATTTAAGTTTGATGTGATGAATAAATACTCCTGAATATAATCAGTCAGCTTGTCACTGTCTCTCACCTTCACTCCTTCTGTGCGCACATCTGTTTGAGCAGCTCTTACGTAACATCTGACCACATGGGCTTGTTTTCAATGGATCAGTTCAGTAATTGGGATTAAAATTTTTCCCTCTGGTTATTTCTGGGCCTGCTGTCATCATTACTGTCAGCAAAGAGGGTTGAAGGTTTGGTGGTCTGTCCAAAGAGAGGGTATTCAGTCATGAACTAAGCCAGGAATATCATGTATAGTTATTTTTATTTGTTTCATTCTGTCCTGACCTGCTAACCCATGATGTCACTTTATTTCATGTCCTTGTTTTACGAATATCTTTCTCAAACCATTGAAACGATGGAATTAAAGAATAATGTCAATCCAAATATGAAAATAATTAACAGTTTTTGTTTCTTGTCTCAGCCTCAGACCCTGCTCCAGTCCTGGAGGGAATGGACGAGGACATGAGTTTCTCACTACCTACTGTTCTGGCAGAGGAGAAGGAGGAGTCAGCACCTCGACCACAACCCAGGAGACAAGTATGCACAATAAACAACATAAAACATAGTCTCTGTGGTATCCTACTCTTGATTTAGAGGTGTAAGGAGGCTTGTTCAAAACAAGCAGTACACTGTATTAAACAGTATATAATCACTACACAACATTAAGTCCCTTCAAACTGTCACTGATATTGAACTCAGTACAAACTGCAGCAGAACCCAAACACTAATTTGATACGACATCGACACTGAACATGCAGGAGAATACAGTGTAATCTCTGCAACAAACATGGACTTCAAAACAAGGGATGAGTTTCCTGGAGAGAGTGATGAGACTGAAAAGGTCATAGAGTAGGTGGTTGAATTCATGGTTTTGGACAATCTCCCATCTCTGGAGGAGAACGCAGGCTTTTGTCATCTTTTTGGAGCTTTTGGATCCGCAGTATTTCCTGCGATCTCAACACTACTTTGTATCAGCAGACAGTATTAATAAATCTGATAAGGATTGGGATATACAAACAACTATGCTAAAAACGACAGCAGAAAAAAACAAGGTTCTCGATTTCAGATGGTGTTACGTCCACTAACTGATCTGTAATCCTCTTTTTTCAGTCTTTAATAATTGTTGTGTTTGTGTTGCAGGGTAATAAGAGACGGGCTGTTGAGGAGAGCTCGGATCTCGCCTCGTCCTCTTCGTCTAATCCACCAGGAAAACCCTCAGAAAGACGATCGCTGCCTCTTAAAGTTCGATACGGCGTCCATGCCTGGAAACGCTGGGCGATGTCTGCTCCCGATAAATCATCTGACACCAAAGTAAAAGATCGCTCCAAGCCAGGTGAGCTGAACTTGATCTTTAATCAGCCGCCCTTCCTGAAAAGGCTGAATTAGCTTGCCTCTAGTTAGCTTTCTCGGCTGTAAAATAAAGCTTGAAATGATTTTAGGATCGTTCACCGACTGCCTGTCTGTGTCGTGTTTTTGTCTCCTGCAGCTCGGTCGAAGAGTAATCTGTTGTCGCTGAGTTCGAAGGAGCTGAACGAGGCTCTGTCTCGGTTTGTCAGGGAGGTGTGCCGGCCCAACGGGGAGCGCTACTCTCCAGACAGCATCCTCTACCTCTGTCTGGGGATTCAGCAGGTTCGTAACAGTCGAGAGTATCAAGGACTACAACCCCAGCAGTACCTGTGTGAAAACATAGGCAGTAGGATATTCATGTTAAAAAATTTGACCACTTTGAACACAAAAACTAAAAACGTCATCCAAACTCACTCATTCCCTATTTCTTGTTTTTCCTTCGATCCTTTTCCAAAGCAAGAATATCATAACACAACGGAAAATAATTTTTTAAAATATATATTATGCTGGGATAAACAGGACCCTATTTTGTTTGTTTATAGTTTAAACCTAAAAAAATACAAAGAGTAGGAAAACAACTTAACATCTATTACAAATAAAGGCTAATAGTCATATAAAATGCCTTAAATCATGTTGAACAAATGCAATATATATGAAGGTCATGCAAAATTGGCAGTTGTGTTGTTCCGAGATTTATTGTGTTGACTGCTTCTGTACTACCACAATAAGTATTTTCTTTACCACAGAGTGAGTATAATTGTAAGCTTCAGAGTTAAAGACTCTAAAATTTGACAGTAAATCCACATGTTTAAGCTCAAAGTACAACCTTAACTTCCAGCCCATACTGTTCGTGTTTGCTAGTTTTAATGTGGCTTTGTGTGTCAGCATTTCCACTGTGGGTGGCTAAAAATATATGTAAATAAACTATCAGAAAATTACAATCTAGTGAAATTAAATTCTTCTTTAATCAAGATTATTTCAAAAGCTAACTTCAAAGCTAACTTCACTTCATGTTGTGGTAAATTTCCATCTGTGTTCATAATGAGGGTAGGAACTAATTTAAGGGAGAGTGTTTCCAGGGGGACACATATTCCTAGTGCGCTGTCTTCCTCCCTGCTCCCTCACATGTGAGCAGCAGCAGTAGCAGCAGCATGGCTACTAAAAGAAGGTCTGGATTGCCTGAGGTCTTTTGGATTGTGACTTTTCTAAAAGATAAATGTGAGGTTAACTTTATCTTCCTTTAATAACAACTATTTCCAGAATGTATGTTTTTTATGTAAATTATCAGATTAAAACAGACTTAAAACTCTAAGAAATGTCTTCAAACTTTTCAGGGCCTGCTCTCCTTTACCTTCTTCTTAGGAATCTAATTGAAAAACTTGTTTTTCAGTGATTTTTACAGAGAAGTAGAGTTTTATTTTTCCATTCTTGAGTAGAAAAAAAGTGAAAAGGTGATTTATTTTATTTTATTTTATTTTTTATTCCAGATGGGTCTGAATGCAGAAACCGTGTGTCTAATGATTATAATCATTTGCTGTTCACATCCTGATAACAGTGATGATCATTTAAATATGAGGACACCCGAGTTTTTGAGGAAAAACACATTTCCCCTTTTGTTCTTTTGACCTCTTTCTAACATGTGATTTTTATTTATTTTTAACTTTTTTTCATGTATGTATGTTTTTATTTTTTGGAAGCATCTTCATGCAAAAGGCCGGAAGGATGACCTGTTTGCTGATCCTTGCTATCAGCAGTTTGGAGAAGAGCTCAACAAAGTCCTGAAGGATTGGCAGCCCAGTGTGCTTCCTGATGGTGAGAGAAATGAATCTCTGCCCTTAAATATGAAACTTTATCTTGTTATTCTTGCGAAGTTAGAAACCTGTTAAAAAAAGGACAATTTGCAAACATAGAGGCCAGACATGGAGGCTTAGGTCAAATAATAATTCAGTAACTAACCAAAGTCTGTATACCGTGCAGCTTTAGAGCTTGTTGAATATAACCATGTTGTTTCTAAGGGCGTTGATTTTGGACTTACTGTGATTTTTCTTTCTACTACATTATAGATAAACTTGTGATAAAGCAACCCTTTTTAGGAATGGAGTTATTTGATATTGCACTGTGTATCACATGCATTTCTTTTCTATAGTCCTGAAATTGCAGACAAATATTCGACAGAGAGGAAGTGTAATTTGGGAACAAAGATACTAACAAAGATACTGGAGTGAGCCAGTAGCTCTCACAATTATTGGTTTAACTCAAGTGTTGAGTTTAAAAGACGGTTATCTTTAAGGAGCAAAGATGCCACAGAAATAGTCCGAGGGTGTAATTCTGTTCATCTGCAGTGTTGCTGCAGTGTCCGATGATTAAAACTCTTTGCTGTTCACATCCTGATATTTTGTGATTGCACTTTTTGTAATATGAGGACACTGACAGCCAAAAAAAGACTCACATGTTTAAAGCAGGATCCGATACTAAACTTAGATTAAGGTGTTGTTAGTACGAGTTTCTAATATTGTCTTTTTCAAGTTTCAAGATGGTTGTGAAGCTTCTGATCCAAAAAATGTAGGTGGCAAATTAAACTAATCTTTTCGGGAGGCTAAAAAAATTGAGTTTTAGACAGAAGTCCACTCAAAGAAGAGAGTTATTCTAAGTGATTTATACCCCCCTGCAGGATCACTGTGGGGTCGAGTGGAGGAGCAGAGTCTATGGAACAGCCGGCAGCTCGGGGAGCAGAGTCCAGCCGCTCTGCTACGCTCTCTGGTTTACCTGAACACCAAATACTTCGGCCTGCGCACCGTGGAGCAGCACCTCCGCCTCTCCTTTGCCAACGTCTACGGCCCCGACACCGTCCATCCTGTCACTAAGGAGACCACCGTCTGCATCCGCGTGCCTTCCATCTCTCAGGATCACAATGGTGAGACTTAACTTAGCATCAGCCCTCAAGTTTAGAGTCTATGAGGTCAAAGCCCAGATACTCTGAGACACCGAAATTTAATGATTTATGTCTTTGGTTCTTCAGTGCAAACAGAGTCGAGGAAGAGGAAGCGTAAACTTGAGGACAAAGATCAGGACTTGGAACGAGACGATGACTCGGGAGGTTCCTCAGCGTGTTGCCCGGTCAAGAAGCACGAGTGTCACCTTTATGAACTCTACAGGTCAAAGTGGTGGGTTCAACCGCATTTCATTAATACTTTTTCCAGTGGAGTGATAATACAGAGGAGCAGCTTGTGCAGAATAAAGTCTACCCTAGCCAAAGCTCCTTAAATCTGCTGGACTGGTTGCCAAAAAGGGTCCATATCCACGTGTGCTTAAACAGGATGTGGTTGAATGAAAGCAAACATGAAGCATCAGGAGCATTCAAGCAGACTTAACAGTCCCTGCTAAGAGAAACAAGAGTGCTACAGAACAGCCTTCGTAACCTAGCAGCAGGAAGTGCCAGTGAGAGGGGAAGTTAAAACAGATTTATACCAAAAAGGGCAGATTAGATTGAAGCTCTCATTAAAGGATCTTAAATTAAAGATGCAGTGTGTATCATTCAGTGGCTTTTTTTGTTTGTTTTTGGTAACTTGAATTAAAAAATCAAAAGGGCCTACTCAGGATTTTAAAAAGTGTAGAAAATGTGACTGAATCAAATGACCTGAAAAGTTAGTTTTGGTGTCTTTTTCTCCGGTTTCAGTCGGTTGAAAGTTGATTTTAGAGAATGCTTGTGCTTCCAGTGTCTTTGTTTTGCACTCTTGATGAAATTAAAGCTGGTTTCCATATTTTAAGTCCTGTGATTATAACTTTTTGCTGTTCACATCCTGAACCACGGTGTTGATCATTAAAAGATGAGGACTTAACATGAAACCATTTTAAAATGCAGAAGTTCAGAACAACAGATTAAAATTTTCTCTCTCCCCCACCCCCTTTTGCCCTCTTTGTCTCTCCTTGAATGTTTTTTTCCTCCTTTTTTCATCTTAATTTATCCCGTTTTCATCTTTTCTCTACTTCTAACTCATTATCTTTGATTTATTCTTATTCATTAACTTTCTCTCTTTCTTCTCTTCACTAACATCACTCCCCCACTTCCTCCTCTCTCACTCCCCCCTCCAGCCCAGCGTCATTACAGGAGCGTCTAGATGTCTTCTACGTCCAGCTGGATCCGTCTTGCAACCCTGACGACCCGCTGTGGTTCAGCTCCACACCCTTGGAGCGACAGATCCTGGAGAGCCTCCTCACCCGAATCCTCATGGTCAGGGACATCTACACAGACAAGCAGCACCTGGAGGGAGACGATGAGGAGGAGAACAGGGGTGATGTGGTTGAGGGAGAGTAGCAGAAGCCTGGACTTGAACTAGAACCTGAACAGAAGCAGACGAGGAGGAAAGCTAGCAGAGCGTGTGCCGCTCCTCCCCTGTCTTATCGTCCGGTCCTTTTTCCCCTCCTCGCTGACTGGCTGTCTCCTCCTGGTGGGGAGCGTCCAACACAGGGAACTGTGGAGAGTAGAGGAGGAAGAAAATGGCGAAGAAGAGCAGCCAGAATCGTTGCTGATTTTGTTCTCAAAAAAAAAAACTTTGAACAGAAGAAGAAAACAGCAACAGCCGTGTTTTGGTGGGAGACAAAGGAAGAGGCGTAGTCTGTGCTCAAGATGTGAAAACCTTAAATCAGGTAGAAAACTGACTGTTTTGACGGTTATCCTCCGGTATTTTTTGAAAGGACAAAGAGACGAGACAAGGAGTTTAAAAAACTGATAAAATCACACATTCATGCTTTAACAAAGACTCAGCAGCCACACTGAGAAGGGGGAGGAGGAAAAAGGCTGCTGTGTTTACAAAGTTAAAAGTAGGAAACTGCAAACTGGGAGGTTGAAATTTCATCTTTGAAGCAGTCAGACTCTCATGGTTTAAAAACTACAACAGAGCTACAGAAAGCAGCTTTATCATGCTACTGTAGCTGCTTCTGTATCTTCCATAATCCCACTAAAGGACGATTTAGGATTTCCCACCAAAAGGGCTTATAAAACCACCTATTTGTAGTATGCTGTTGACTTTACAACATTCCTCCTCCATAAATGGGAATATCTTTGAGAAAAGTGGTGCACACCCATACAGCCATTAGTTCGAGAGATTTTTCCTCAGGTAAAAGTTTGGCAAAATCTACTTAGTGGTTACAGGAAAGTAGTTTATGCAAAGGTAATGGAACAGCTAAAGTTATAAACATCAAAATGCAGCAGCTGGAATAGTTACGCCATTCACTGAAATCCACCTTTTTACAGTCATAAACCTCCATTCTTGTGTTTATTCAGCTCAATTACAACATGACATCTTTGAAATATATTGTCTTGTGTTTAACAGACATTAACAGACTTAAACTCATGTTACTTGCTACATTAAGATGGACTTTCAGACTTTCATGCAATGCAACACCAGACCAGCAGCCTCCTCCTCCTCCTCCTCCAGTTTCAGTAACCTGCTGTCTCACTCATCCACCCTCACCTGTGCTGCTTTCATTTCGCTCTTCCTCCGTCAAACTGCTCTCAGGCAAAACCTTCGCACCACAGAGGACTCCTCAGCTCAGCTGGGCCGGAGTCAGGACTGATCCCAGGACAGTGAAAGAGGATTGGACTCTGCTGTGGTGCCGGGTGACCTCCTCCCAACATGCTGCATTTCTTTATCTTAAGGGGAACCTTCATCCATGCAATGTAGCATTAAGTGCGTGCTGAACCCACACCGGGTCGTTTCGATGTGTAAATAACTCCGAAGCGAGGCGGTTCTTTGACGCGGAGTCCACACAGAGTGACATTGTGAGGTTTTGTTGATGGATGAAAACCCACTGAAACCTTCAGCTTGAAAACCCGCCTCCTAAGAAGCCTTTTTTTTAAGACTGATTATTTATTTCTTTTTTTATTTGTTTGACCGTGTCTTCTTTACGTCGGGTGGGATTGTGATGTGCACCGTTTCTCTCTCAGCCGTCATACATGAAACACCTGCTGCAGCTCTGCTCCTTCACATCCTGTCCTTTTATAAAGTATAGTTTGGGAACCTGCATAACCCGTCAGACATGAATTATTCAAACCTTATGAGACTATTTTTTTCTCTCCTTTTTAAAAGCATGTTTCTGTTTTCATCCCTTATTTTCCGTTAAACTCAGTGTGGATGAAGTTTCAATCACATTACTGGGTTTAGAAGTTCCCTGTTTTCTGTCCAAGCTGGTTTTGTTATAAAAGTTGAGAAACGTGTCTTTGTTTACTTTCATGGACTGAAACATGTCGTTTCACTGCCCATTGTTCATTTCCATCATACTTTTATACATTTGTGTTTAAATTCCCTTTTTTTATGTTAGAATTTTTAAATTTGCTTCGGGATCATACAAATAAATTTGCCATTTGGCGTCATTTAAAGATGAAGTTCATAATATTTGAGGGTTTCTTTTCGGACACCATTGATTTCTATACAAAATGGGTGGTTTTCTGAGATGTAAAGCTCAATTTTACCACAAACTAATGTATGTTTTTCTCCAAGTATAAAGAACACCCTCCTCAGATGATGAGTTTGAAACACCATAAACACAAACATGTCTTCTCTGTAAGATCCAAACCGTTCTATGCTGCAAAAGAGTTGTGTTACACTTATTTTGTCTACTTGACTTCGCATTTTCTGCTCTGGATTTGCAGCGAAACATTTCAGGAACAGAGGAGGTGGATTTTGAGGAAGAACTGGTCTGGTTTGTCAACCCCAGATCAGTTACCAGCCCATAATTCAATCCTGCAAACTTGACTGAGGAAGTTTTTAAAAAGTGACCCTGGATCAGAGGACTCTGTTAAAACCCCCCTCCCTGATTTCCCTGCTGGACTCAGAGGCGGTGACCAAACCTCTTCCTGCAGGTTTGGACCTACAGTAGTCGCTGTTGCTGGCTCTAAAGCCTAATGTGAATGTGCCTATCTGTATATACTGAAAGTGAGTGATTGTGACTCTGATGCTTTGTGTGTGGGCGGATCTGCTGATACAGTCGTGTTAAATAAATGGTTTCATTTTCTAAACAGATTGTTGCCGTTTTTTCGTTCTGCAGCTAAACCTGAACGATCTTAATTTAAAGGTCAATTCCGCACATTTTTGAAAGTGTGTTCAGTCATCTGTACTAGTAAGTCATGGCTGTATTTAATTGTCATTTCTCTCTGTGCTGATCATATGTACTTTAAAGCTCCTGTGAGGGGTTTTTGGTTGGTTACTTAACAGATTAAACTTCATACTGATGACTCCATTACAAACAAAAGCAAGTAGTACTACACAGAGACATTAACTGTTTCTATCACGTTATTTTCAGGGTCTGAAACCTCTGCTGGGGGGTAGGTGTCAAAGTGATTAACTGGACACTTGAAACAACATTTTTTTTTTGTTTATTAGTCAGAGTTTGATTAGAGACATATTTAAATGTTAATATAAACAGGATGAGATTTTTGTTTACTTACGCATGTACAGGACAGGTCAGCAAAGAATAAAAACACACCACTCTGTTCACACGGGACACCAGAACCGAGACAGAATTCCTCATTGGATCATCGAACGAATTCCTATTTAATCGCTGTAGTCTCAAAAAGTACTACTTTTTATGTAATGTTCACAAGATTAGTTGTGTATAACTTAGATATATCTACACAGGTAATTATCTTGTGGTATTAAGTTATATCATGCACATATAATCTTTTGGAAATGCTAACTTGCACGAAGCTCAAAATGATATCTTTGTGGAGCCAAGTTATCTTGTGTTCATGTTATCTTGCAAAGACAGTTGAAATCTAGGATTTTGGGCAAAGGTTGCCAGTCAGATTTTTTGAGGGTGGGAGTGGTCTATGCCAACCCTGTTCTTCTCCTCTGGACATACCCCTGCTCCAAAACATGTATATGCAGAGGCGTGTCTATAAACTGAAGCAAATCTAACTTTATCAGTTTTTATCACAAATCTGTGTGATAATTATACAGCAATTTTCTTTTAAATTTAGAGAAGAAATATAAAAGTTTTGCAAAATGAAGCATTATCAACGTGTGTGGAAGTTGCCACAACATAGAGGCCTCTTTGACGTGTTCTGACCTTCCTTGCTATCATGTTCCTTTTTTTTACAAGGTGCCAGGCAAACGTGACACCGAGGCCGGATGTGTTATCTCAGAGGTGACGGACAGCTGGGCAGCAGGAGGTGTGGCCTGTCTACACCCAGGGGTCATTGCAAAAGCTTGGGAGAGGAGCCTCAGGGTCACAATGACAGGAAGCAACAGGGGATAAGCTAAAGAGACCTGGCTGTGTCGCTTGGCTGTGCAGGGAGAGATGAGACAGGACATGGATGTCTGCTGGTCATACAGCTGCCTCTAAATGTTGTGATGAAGAGCAGTCTGGGTGGGAGTGGTCTTGCAGTGACATTTTCCCACCCAAGAAAGATCATCTGACTCTTAATTAATCATTTATCACCTGCAGATTATTGGTTCATTTGCAAATATCTGTCAGCCCTGCCCCCCATGATGTAGCTCCTCTCCTCCCCTTCTAGTTAGTGCAAAGGCATGACTGTATCTGCACGTATGCACAAGGCTGCAGCTGTTATAGATCTGCGCTCACAGCCCTAATGTCTGCATCAGTTAAACAATAATTAATGAACCAACCTCCCATCTCCCTCTCTACCCTGTCTATCCTTTTTTAATTGGAACACTTTTCTATCAAGTCTTTCCCAGATCTGAACACTCTGTCTCTGCAGGTGAAAAAGAGGCAGTGTCTCATCCCTGCCAATGGGTGGCGCTGCGCCCTCGTTGAGGACCCCTCTCCGCGGCGCTCGCCATCAGCACCACCACCACCACCATCATCGCCAGACCTGTTGTAAACTCTGACACCCATAGCTGCAGGTCGAGCTGCAGCTGTGTCAGTCTGACAAGAGGTTTCATCTGCAGCCGGCTGACGTGAGGCAGCATCCCCTCTCCTCCCATAAGCCTGTGCACACACACCCCTCCTCTACCCCCACCCCACCCCCAGCCTCACCCTGTCACCCTCCATACAAGCATGAAATCTTCAATCTTTTAGGAAGCTCAGAGGAAAAGAGGCGAAACGTTCCCCCGTCTCACCTCACATTTTTTGTCAGGGACATGCACGAGTGGAGTTACAAAACATGGTGACAAAACCTAATTTTTGAAGAGGCAAGCTTTTTTCTTTCTCTGCTATCTGTCAGAGTTGGCCAGACTCCAGTAACTTGTCCCATTGATCTAAAGCTAAAACGGCCGTGTGCGCCCACACAGCCAGGCCTGCGAGGGAGCGGGGTGGGTGTAAAAACATTTTTTCACCCTCGTGGGGTTTTTTTTGTTTGGGCTCAATCCCCAGCTCTTTCAGGGGGCATAAAGAAAGCGCTGTGCTCAGCAGGGTCATGTGGGCGAGGCCCGGGGGGCAGACTATAGGTGGCGATTAGGGCCTCTAATGTGCAATGAATCCTCTTCGAATCACATGATATGAACTAATGTCGCCATTTAATGATAAAACAACAGCGACAGGGAGGGAGAGCCAGTGTGTGTGAGAGAGAGAGAGTGTGTGTGTGTGTGTGTGTGTGCAGTGTACAGCTGCACAGAGGACAAGAGGGCAGGAATGGATGACAATTGCATTTCTCAGGTTGTGTGTCTCAACACTTGGTGCAGGACAGGCTGAAGGATGGGAAAGAGTTAAGATGGGATTTGGATGAAAGTGCAAAGCAGATATCCTCTCAGAATACCCCTCATTTCACCCCCTTTGCCTCTTAAAATTTAATTTCAAATATCCCTGCAAAATGTTCAACAACAGTCTGCAGTATCTGTTAACCCCCTCCAGACAATTTTGCAGACATGGGACAGTGTAACCTTGGCTCTGAATGGTGCTCAGGAGAGGAGTGGGGGGCTTGGATTGGGATAAATTTAGGATGGTGGGACTCTATTTGGAGGGTCACACAGTAGAGCATTGGGTACAAAAATCCCTTCAGCACAGAGTCACCAAACTCAAACACCCTCCTGCTGCCACATCAGCCACTTGAACCCACACACTCGGCTCCTCTTTGGGCCCAGGGTCTCATTCCTGTCTGACATATCGCTGAAAACAGCCACTCCAAAGATTAAAGATTGTGATCAGACAGTTTGACTTCTTCTAAAGCTGTTGCACAATTTTTCTCCACTTAAGTGCAAAAAACATTCACTGATGGTCATCATGTTTAAATCCTGAAATTGCATCTTATTAAGACGAGGAATAAACTTCAATGCAGGATGCAATATCAAGATGCATGCATTGCTGTGGTTGCTAAGTAAATGTCTGTGTTCTCACTTTCTGCACATTTGATAAAAGAATGAGGTAGACCCTAATATCAGACATTTTGAACTCAACATTTACACTGAATTTAGCCGTTAAATAATGCTAGTTGAGAGACCTCTGTTATTTTTTTCGTTTCTTTTCCAACTTTTTGAGTTCATTTTGCATTCTCAAACATACCACCATCACTTTTTAAATAAACATACACTGTATAACTAAATGATGACGACTGTGCAGCATGGCAACAGTGGTGGAGGCTTCTGAAGAGCTGGCAAATCAGAAGATGAACATTAACCTACTTATTTGACATTTCCACAGCTGATTATTCTGAGAAAATTCTGAGTTTACTATATAATCTTGTTTTTCACTTCTCGATCTCGTCTCTCTTAACCTCTGCTGTTTCTTGAGTCTTTGTCAAGTTGCTTCTTTGTATGTACCAAAACTCTTTACTAGCCATTTTCATGAAAAATTAACATTTTTAAGACCCTTAAAAATGCTACAGAAGCACATCTGACTGGATCAACACTGTTAGCATTACACTGACAAAGCCCTAAGTCCTTCCAAAGAGGCCTGTGGAAACAAAACTCGCAACAAACACTTTAGTTTTGAATTCAAGGCTTCAAACTCTTAAATTAAAACACCCAAAGTCGAAAAAATTAATCCACTGACATCCCCTGGAAACTGAGGCCAACTTTAATCTGATTCAAGCTCTGATATGAGTTTGTTTGCACCTCTCAGGTCACATAAGGTCAAATTGACAAGAAGCTGCTGACTCCACCTTTTTAATTTTTTTTTTTACCTGAAATATTGCAATAACAGATCAGGCCTTGGATCCATTTTTTCTTTTACATTTCCTAAGTTGTTTGGAAACACTTTTAGAGAGAAATGATGTTTGTTGTTAAAGTCAGTCAGATGCATTGTGGGCACTGTGTCCATACTCTTTCCTGACCTGCAGGTGTCCCCGCAGAGCTGACCTCTGTTCCCATAACTCTCTCATAATGCTCTTCCTCCCAGTGCAGCCCCTAACCCTTTCCATGAACAGTCAAAACAAGCCGTCCCACATGCCCACACACTGTACAAATGCTGCAACATTACATCACTTTTAGTCTTAAACACGGGGGATTTCAAAAGGCTCTTAAACACATCCATAAGAAATGTTTCAGATGCTAATGTCAATATGAGATCTTATTTGACTCATTGAGACTTTTTGTCTCATAATTATCAGATAAAGACCTTTAAGGTGTTCCTCAAGTAGCCAATTTTTATTAATACAGAGGAAATCTTAATTGGAAGAAATCTTAATATTTTTACACAAGACTAAAGAGGAAGTCTTTTGGACTCTGACCAAAGTTAAACCCGGTGTATTCATGTTTTTGCCAAAGTGTTAACAGGTAGAGGTGAAATGTTTGGGACTTCTCCTGTGGATTGATTTATGTTGACAGGTGGAATTGGGTTGTCCTCAGCGACACTTTGCTGTAACTCTCTATTATTGTGAGGTAACACAAATGGGTTATTAAGGAACATTAAGACAAAACATCATTTCCTCTCTGAAAGTTTGTATTTCTTTTTTTTTTGTAAGTAACTGTCCTTTAACACGTTTCTTCTTTCGATTGTTTTAGGATCCAGTTTAAAGTCGTTTTTCGAATCTGTCTGTACTATTTTAAATCAGTCCTTTGAAGCTGTACAAGCTGATCTTTAAAAGCTGCGGTCAGAAGTTTAACAGCCTGCTACCAGCCAAGAGGACTTTCTGTCAAACAAACCAACCTCTATCCATGAGCCAGCGGCCAGGCCTCCTAGAAACAAATTCATCACACTCCTGAAATACATAAAGAGGGGCTGAGGTATTTGTGCTGTGGGCTGAGTGTGAATTTGTTAGGTGATTAAAGGCTAAATATAGCTCCCTGTCTGCTTTGAGCTGTAGACTGGTGACTCAATTCTCTTTGTCACTTTAGTAGTAACTTTTCCACCGCGGGGCAAAGTGGGATTGATCCAGGACTACGGGCTTTAAACCACTTTAATTACATTAAACCCTTATTTTTCACTCATTTAATAAAGACCAGACTACTAAATTATTTCACTTTTTTTCTGTTTAAATTAATATTTACAAACAGGATAAACATACAAATGTCTTCAAAGAAGCTCTGCAGGGGGGAAAAGCTGTGCACAAGTTAAGCAGACAAGTTGGTGCTCTTAAACTCTAATGAGTGGAAAATGTCCCTGAAAAGCACTGAGCTCTGTTTAGTCCTGTGCAGATACAAGGCTACTGACTGAGTGACATGACTGAGGTCTTCAGCCTGTCTTGCCAACAGAACAACTATCACCCATCACTCTTCAGCCTCTGGACTCAAGAGCCCTGCACTCATGTACCGTGCTCTGTGGTAAGACTCAATGCCAAATATTATGTGAAACAAAATCACCTCAAATCCTTACACTCTTTGTTTAAAAGGTTAGAGGTCATAGCAAAGAGTCTACTAAGGCCCTAAACAAGCCCAAAACCCCCACTGTTACTCAGAGTATTATTTCATTCTGTTAGTTTGTTTTTAGATTTCAACCTAACCTCTAGTGTTTCCTTATCTTGAGTCTTAAAATGGCGTTTCCTCAGGGTGCAAATTAATGTTTCCACAAAATCAAGCCATTTTAATACATGTTTCTGTTGCGTTTAGATCATGGGGTTGGAATGAGGGGTTGGGCTGGGGTAGATTTGGGTATTCTCTGTTTCTTTTATTTCTTTCCCTGTGTAAAACATTTTGTGCAACATGGTCGTGCATGAAAAGTGCCATATAAATAAAGACTTGATTGATTGATTGATTGATTGATTGATTGATTGATTGATTGATTGACTGATAGACAGAAGGAGGCAGAGGCAGGAGATTAGTCTAGTCTCACAATTATCATTAGAACACATCAGGTACACAGCTCATGCACAGGACTGACTAGCTACTGGGAGGAAGTGAAGAGTATGTTCACCCCCCATACTACCTGCCCGTTGGAACCCTCCCGGCACCCTAAAAGGCTGTCTGTTTCCCCGGGAACTCTTTTACCTGCGCACCCTGGGGGTGGAGACAGAAATGCACAGGTAAGTATTGGGCATATTAACAACATATTCAACTTAATACTACACCTTTTCTATTTCACACTGCATCCAAACCTTCATGGACTTCTCGAACTTAACCTGTTTCTCAAAGGTGGTGCGGCTAAATCAACCCCGGCTACCACACGACCGTGATTGTCTGTAAACCCCATCATTAATCTGAATAAAAGTACTGTCGCTGAAATAACTCTCAGACTCCTCTGTGGACATGTCGGGTTTGTTTTTCATCCACACAATCCTACAATGCCCCTTCGATTTATACACGGTGACCACTGGTTGCTAGCAGCCTCAATCCTCGGCTACCTGACGTAACGGAGACTGGAGAGACGTCCGTTACGTCAGGTAGCTGAGGCTTAAAATTACCCACGGTTTTCAAGAGAAACATTCAGAAGCTATGGCTTTAGAAGGTGACTACGCTGACACACAAGTATAAGATTAAGTTCCTTACATGAACAGATTTATGGTCTTTCACTAAGATTGGAAGGAGTAGGGGGTGTTTGCAGAGTCGGAGCAGATCCACAACCGTGACAGACCCACATCCCTCTTTGCGCCCCTGCTGGACGGAGTAGGTCATTGCATGACACCGCTGTTCCACAGCCCTTTTATACGTATATTGTCTGCCAACCTATAA